GCAGTTTAATGCTGCTTACATAATTTCTGCGAATATCGTCGACACGTGTCTTATATCCATGGGAAAGTGTAACTTATACACTTTACCACGATTTAAAAATAACAATAATTTGATTCACTAATTTCGTGGTCCGCTTGACCAATTAATATATTACAATTAATTAAGGTTTTTAATTGAGATAAAAAAGTCAATGGCACGAGCGGGATTCGAACCCACGATCTTCGGCTTGATACGCCGCTGCTCTACCACTTGAGCTATCGTGACCTGGATCCACTCGGACACCAACCTTCTATCTTAACCGCACCTTTTGAATTTTCCCTCCTTTTTGCCATTTTTCAAATGTCGTGTAATCGGGTTGGATTCTCGACGACAAATGAAATGGCCACGGAGAGCTTTAGTGAAGTATACTTCATTTTTAATCATTAAATTCACTAATTTCGTGGTCCGCTTGACTTAATGTATTACAATTAATTAAGGTTTTCAGTTGAGATAAAAAATGGCAAAAAGGAGAGAAAATTCAAAAGGTGCGGTTGAGATGGAAGGTTGGTGTCCGAGTGGATGGAGGTCACGATAGCTCAAGTGGTAGAGCAGCGGCGTATCAAGCCGAAGATCGTGGGTTCGAATCCCGCTCGTGCCATTGACTTTTTTATCTCAACTAAAAATCTTAATTAATTACAATAATTTGATATAACTTTATATACCTACTTTGTCGTAAATTTGAAAATAGCAAACAAAAATCGCCATTTCTTTTAATGATACGAATTTATTCGTGTTTACATTTAAATGTAAATTTTAAAAAAATATAATTAAAAAAGTCCAGCGCGACAAAAATATAAGACAGTAATTCTGTTTTATTTATTACCTCATTGCTTGTCTTTTTCTGACAAATGCGTTGATCTTCTGTTGCTCTTTAAAACTTGTACCATCCATTTCGGACGAGTTTTAAAAAGTTTCTTTATGTACTTTTGTCGAACATTGCCTTAATTTTTCCTAAGCAGGAAAATATACATTGTTTTGAGTTTGCCAACTCTACGGGACCTATCTGTAATAAAATAATATTTATTTGCTCCACCTTCGAGTCATTAATTAACTAGATATAAAATGCTTATACATTAATACTACTTATGTGGCAACCGATGAGCAAAGTTTATTGATAAGATTGATATGTCTCAACCAAGACCTTACATGGAAAGAATTAATTAATTGAAAGAAGTAACTTGGTCAATTCACCACTAAAACGTAAATGAATTTAAATAAGGCAAACATGTTGAAAAAACCTTTTTTAGAAAAAAAAATTATTTATTCTCAACATAAATTATCAGAATGTTAATTACAAGGAAGGTAAAGTTTAATTGTGCATAACTTTATATAAAGTAGTTTATAACCTTCAGAAAATCGCAAGGAGTCTGGAAAAAACTGGGAAGATATATGGATCAATTCTCTGATCATGAGTGTATTTATTACTCGCAACGAAATAGTAATTTCCATTCCAACTTCCATATTGCAATTTGTAATTTTGTGATTGGAAAATATGGAATGGCATAAACTGTGGAAGTTGATAAATTATTGGGCTGTATTCTGTATAAAGAAGTGTCGACCTAGCAGTACACAAAGGGAAAATGACCAGATGTGTTGTACTAAAAGTTTGATGGAATTTTTTCTTTACTGATTATTTTTTATTATAAAAAAAAATTTGATTTCGTAACATTCAATTTAAGAAAGGTTATCACTTTTGACGGGCAAGAATAACAAACCACAAATCTTGTTCTTAAAATTTATTTTTTCATGCATATTTTCTTTGCCTATCTGCATTTATTTTTCCAAGGATAAGAAATAAGGATAATAAGTGTTCCGTCTCATAATTTAACATTTCAGTTATGGCAGATATGACGTGAATTTTAGATTATTAGGCCAACTAAGTAAATATCCACATTCTTTTTCTTTCTTTCTTTCTTTTTTTTTTCTTGCATCCGGTATCCGTGTTTTATTCCGGCCTTTGGCGGCGAGGATGGTGAGTACAGATGTAGAGGGATGGGGGAAATTCCGTGAAAGTCTATCGACCCCGTTACCAAGGCGACGTTTACCACGAAGGCCCGAACTCCATCCCCCGGGGAAGGTCGCGGGAACCGTTTCACGATGGACCAATCTTAATGCGATGATTATTGTTTCGCTTTGTATACAAGACGCTTTGTTTTGCATGATTTCCCCATAAAATCAAGTACAAGGGTAGGCGAAAACGACCCCTCTAAACGACGCACCTTTTGTAACCGACGGTTAACCACCCACTCGAGACCCAGACAACACTGGTGTGGGGTTGGAGATGAAACCTGGAAACTCAAAATTTTTCCTAAAGGTTTTATGACTAACTGAGAGATGAATGTAAAAAATAACTGACTTCAATCAACATGAATCAACTTATATTTTCTAAATGCTTCACAATTAATTGATTAATTCCTCGTAAATAGTACAATTTATAGATATATAGAATAAATAATATTTAAAATGTGAAGTTTAATTATTCTGGTCGATGTGAACTTAAGAAGTTAAGATATCTAAATTAATTATTAAATTGTAAGATTGTATGTAGTCAAACCCGTGTCGCTTTGACAGTTTTGCCCTTGTATAAGGTATCGACACTAACAAAGCCAAGTTTTCACCCGAAGAAAAGTAATGTTTAAGATCTCTAGTTTAGTTTCTGATCGCCTTATTCAGCCTTTCCTCACAGGTCGGTCTGACAACAAGTCTTTGTCTTGTCATGGCAGTTGTGACCTTCTATTGACACTCAGAATATCACGACACACTAAATATCAGGCGAAACGACCCTGACAGACCAATTATTTCTTTCCTGGTGGGTACTAAATGGTTGAATGGTGGATAGTACCTGAGCCGAAGACTGGTCCAAAAAGTGGAGGCCAAGACTGTACTGGTATGCAAAACTAAAAATACAAGATATCTAGGCTTACTACTAGTTATGTCGGTAAACTACTAAATTTTAACGTTTAATGACAGACACACTGTATTTTTTCATAAGGTATCGACAATCATAAAGCTAAAAATCGTGAGACTGTTGAGAACAAAGAGTAAAAGTACATACTTACTTAAAGTTCTTGGGTGCGTTCCTAGATGTATGTATATTAGCACAGGCTTTTGATGGGGTCTGCACCCTGGCATGCTTCATAAACTTAAAGGCTCCCTACCCACTCCTTATCTTATCCTGAAGTCCTACCTAACAGACCGCTGCTTCAGAGTGAGGTGCGGCAACGAGTTCTCTGAAATCAGGCCGGTACAAGCAGGGGACCCACAGGGGAGCATTCTTTGTCCCATCTTTTATAACATCTATACCTGCACATCCCCCATCATCACACCTACGCGGACCATACCGCAATTTTGTCCTCTAACTAGAATCCTACCCTAGGTAACCTCCAATATCCAAGAATACCTAAGCCGAAGACTGGTGCAAAAAGTGGAAGCCAAGACTGAATGAAGAAAAATGTACTCAGTATACGTTCACGTGGACAAAAACACTCTTGCTCTCCACTGTACATCAACAGCAAAGATATACCGACTTCCACTTGCAATCCAATAAATTGCACTATACCTACTAGACTTTGAAATAGTGGACTCTGTGAAGCATTAATGTTTAAGAGGATCAGGGTGGCAGATAATTGTTGTCTGTTATTCTAGCTGTGAAATATGTAGTTTGGTCATTTAACTGACTTCTTATTGTTGCTGGTTTCGTCTGTGTGCTATTTTGACAGTTATGTTCTTTATCGCCAGCCAAACCCCGACCACCAACCTACAAGTTTGGGAATTTGGGCATAAAATAAATCCGTATCGGTCTAAATTTTGATAATGAACCTTCAACAACAAAAACAAACCTTGAACCCACCAATATCATTGATTAAATCACTTCGTTTGTACTGTTTACGACTCGATCATCTTATAAGACAGTGCCTTATTTCGAAATCGCCACCCATATTTCCCAAATTTTTTACAGACGATTGTAGAAAACTCGACAGTAGATTAGGACTAAGTAAGTCCGTTGTAATACACCAATTCGTTTTTTGGTGACTATCCAACGCGGTGAAGTCTGTGAACTTTTAACGGTCACATATTTTATTATCGGTTTTTATAAACTTTCTCGGATTAGGCATCAGACAATCCAATGAAAACTGAAAACTCTTAAGGAGACCGCGGTGGCCGAGTGGTTAGGGTGGCCGATGTGTATTTGCCATGCTAGCGGTTCTGGCCATGGCTTTTTAATTGATTTTAGTATGAAAAAAATAAAGTGGTCGCAATAATAAACCCTCGTCCGCGACACCCTTCGGATAGTTGGACATCAAGCCCTCCTGTATAACAGGAATTACATAACTTTACTTATTTGAAAAGCGCTTAAGGCAAAGTTAGCTTGAATCCTACCCAAGCAACCTGTAACATCCAATAACCTTGACCACATCAAAGAATTGTGAATAATGTAGAAAATAAACATTTTCATTGAAAAGTCAAACTTATCCTTCAATGTACATCAACAAATGACCGACATGACTCAAGTTAGGTACTTAGGATTGTACCTAGCCACCAAACTGGTGTTGAATCCCAACCAAGATGTAAGATTTCGCACAACTAAACTAGGTACACTTCTGTTGAAAGACTGTAAAAAACCAACAAACTTTATACAAAACTTTACTTTGAGCAGTTTGGGCATACAGAACTGGTGGGATCTAATAAGCCATGTCCTTACTAAGTGAACATTTCTGTTGTCAGCTTGATCTATTCCCGCTTTCACAAGTTCGCAACCTTTCGATCCATCTTAACCATGCTTAGTCAAACATTTCTACACTATTCCATCATGTTAGTAGTGTTTTAGTGTTTTGGTGTTACTGCTTTATTTAGTGTTAGTATTAGTAATGCTTAACGTACCTTCCGCGTCACCTTAAATGACGATGTCCTCAAAACTTCCCTCAATCCCTCAGATTAATGATAAATGTATGTTATTTCAGGAAGAGGAATGCCGTAGTTCTTTGGACCCGAAATATTCCCATTTGGCCGACGAACTGCACGTGGAAATCGCTGCCCTGGCACCCCCGGCTGAGGCGCACGCCCGTCTCGCTTACGCCCTCGCCGAGCTGAGAAAATACCTCGTCCCCGATCTCAACGACGAAATAAGAATGGAGCAGCTACGTGAAATCGAAGCAGAGGGTGGAATCGTGCATAGGAGGCCTCAGGCGCCCCCTCGCAGCATACTCGCACGACAAACCAATAACTTCCCGATTCGCAGGCCGATAACTGCACCTTCTGGTATGAACATAATTTATTATATTTGAGAGACGACAAAGCGTGCCAACTATAAGTTTTGGACGATGAACTCATGGCGACTTACTGTCTCCGGGGTACCCGTATTCTCATGAGATCCCCTTTATTCCATTGAAAATCGTATTCAGTTGGAAGTTGGAACAGAGGGGGAGTAAAATATTGTAATATTAAACTTGTTTTAACTTAGTTTAAGCAGAGGAGAAATCTGAATACATAATTTGTTATATTAAAATTAAAGGAGAGAATGACCTAGGGTGATGGTAAAATAAAATCTATATAAAAAACAATTAAATTACGATCTATTTAAAGAAGAACACCGAACATTTTGAATTTCATAATATAAAACAGTACTCATGATGTAATTGCTAAACTGTTGGGTTGTCCCACCTGAAATATCCATTTTATTTATAACACTTTAATGGAGTTAACTGTTTATTCCCAGGCGAATGTATATATCTGTAATGAACGCTTAATTCTTCATTTAAGTGCAACGTTTTAATTCCAAGAAGACATTCAAATTTCATTTTAATATTAAACGTGACAATGGAAACAGAAGATTTTCTAAAACTTTTTTTTATGAGTACGAACTCGTTCATTCTTACGCCAAAGCTGAACGGAATATTAATCAAGTTTTTGTATGGAGGGAGTTCTCTAACGAAAGAATTATGCGTCGTCGGTTGGGGAAAGTTTCCTTCAGGAGATACGAGAGAAGTTCTTAAGGAGTCTGGGGAAGAAAATCCGCACCAAACCGTCAGGGAACGGGGCACCTTGACACTAGTTGAACGACAGTTTCTAAACAGTAAACAAATAATCGGAAAAGTTATAAAGCTCCGAGACGTGGGTCTCGCGTGAGCGGAATGAACGTAAACAGATGAAAAGTCGAGCGATTTGGGTTTCAAAGTTTGCACGTTAAAACTGATTTCTTGGGTGCATAATGTCAGCCGAAGAAAAATGTGATCGATGTCGATGAGATTTTCCCATGGATTTACTAAGTTGAGTTGAATCAAACTGAGGATCTTTAACGTCCAGACGCCCCCCCACGAGGGGGTTCTCATATCTTCCTAGGATAGTACTAGGAAGATTTTACATGCATTCACTTGCCACATCCCTTAGCAAGCGAGGTGGTGTAATGTCAGCCAGGTTCAGAAGCGCTCTAGAAAGATCACATCCATGTGCCATTAAAAACTCAGTTTTGTGGCCTCCAGCAAAAGCTTTCAGCCACCCCCGGAGAGATAGAGAAGACACTACGGCTTCGGTCGGCCAGTACCGTCAAGGTAAGGTACATGTTTTTCTCAAACCACGACCACAAGTGCAACCTCAGTTGGGGGCAACTTGGAGTCACCCTCTCCCGATGTTCATTTTTATTTTCATGGTCAGACTGATCGCTAACCCGAGAACTAATAACCCCGTTCCCTGAGGGTACGGGTTCTGTATCCCAGGAAGACTCTGCTAAAGCAGAGGGGATAAAGGAAAGGGTGTAAGGAGAGGGAAAGTGAAAGTTTGCCTCCATCGTTGGTTGCCCCTTGACGCCAGAATTGAGGATAGGACTTGTCTAGTCCCTGAGGATGCGGGTTCCGTATTCCAGGAAGTATCTGCCAAAGCAGAGGGGATAAAGGAAAGGTTGCCACCATTGTAGGTTGTTCCCTAGAAGCCAGAATTGATGGTAGGACTTGTCTAGATCCATAGGGAAGGTATCATGTCGATCAGCCAACTAGTCACATGAAAAAACAAAATCATTGGTGTCTTTTAGTTTATAAGCTGGTTCGGCACATTCATTTTCTTTCCTATCTTTGGGGAAATTATCTTGTAATCAAGAAATTTACCAAATGTATCAAAACCCAAGCTTAATGTCTCATACATTCTATGAACTATAAAGCTTAACTATAAAATTCTAGTACATTCCCCATTTGACAAATATGGATTTTGGTCATTTCCGATCATCAGCCTATCGCAGTTTTTAATCTGACAGAAGAGTATCGACATTTCGCCACCTTCAGTGACTGACTGTGTACTGCTTTATCAATTGTGTCTTTTTATTTTTCATAAGGTATCTTCATTCCCAATGTCATCATTGAAGATTGGTGTGGTACGAAAGACCATTTGTATGGATTCTGGTAAGAACTATGAGCGCAATTGTCATTTAGGCCGACACGGAGCTACACAACACAAACTGATTACTTGCTCGAACTGCCAGTCCTCAATGATTCACTTCCAGCGTAACTGTGTAAACACCGCAGATGACGCTACTGATGATTAACGCGGCTACGTAGTCACTAGTGATTGAAGTTGCTCGCTTTCAGGCAATTTTCAAGTTGGACAATCAACAGGTGAACATCATTAGAGAAGTTGAAAAACTTCTGTTTTATACAACTTTACGCTTCTTAGATACTCGAAGAAAAACGACTCTGAAAAAGCATGGTATAAAATTGGAAAAAGCCGTATTCTGATGATAGCACGATATTACGACAGCTTTATCGCCAGAATCATCACCGTGAATTATCAGAGTCAGGGATGATGATGCATGATTTTACTGAAGAAACTACTAATTTCGACCTTACTAAGTTTCTTTTCTAGATCCGCGTCATTAATGACTAAGTAAATGATTAATATTTCCAGTCACAAACCAGGTCCGTTTATTTTGATTACCTCCGATTGTATATGGCCTAAGAAGTAAAATATTTGTTACTAATCAGGTTGGGTAGCTAGAAATTGAGAGATTTCATGTACACCTATACACGAAGATCAATAATTCGGTCTTTTTCGATCAACCAGGTCTACATATCATCGCAGATTTGGTCTGACCGCTTGGTTGTTCGAACCACAATCCATATAACAGACTAAAACGGCGAGTATAGGTAGACCAAAATGTGTCGATTCAGATGTGACAACCCAATTTTGCCACCTAATAACTTGTTGGATGTTCTTCATCAAAGGAAGATCTCTCAAACGAAAAACTGTATACAATTAGAAATTGAATTATGTTCCTATTGTTTAAAGTGACGATTGACATGACTGTCATCTTAGATATTGTATACTCAGCAACTTCGCATCTATTTGTCTTTACACCGTTGAGAAACATATTAATACCTGTGATTACTGTTACGAAAAACGACTTTTGGTTTCTTTTCCCTTCTCTCTTTTTATTAGGCAATATGCAACAGTACGGACAACAGCAGATGGGACCTCCCCAAGGCGGAGCTCCTTTGATGGGCGGGCCACCGAGAGGTCCTATACCTCCGCCCCCTTCCAATAACAAGGTCATGTCCATCCTCGACCGTGCCCGAATCGCCATGGAGGACAACTACTCAAGCCAGTACCAAGATCATCCCCTGCAGGATTCTGGAGGGTAAGATATCTAACAAGTACTAACCTATTTTACAGTCCGTAACAAAACCATATATCACCTCGTAGTTATTATGCTAAATATATATACATATATATTTTTTTTGGGGGGGGGGGTACAGGAGGCTGATGATTTCGTTTCCTTTTACTTAATCGTAGACTTCAATTTGCTTAATCAGCTGTGACAAAATTACAGGCCAATTTAGCCTTTCGCCGAATTTCTTGGTTAAAGTCATATATTTTTGGGTGGTGATTAATGACCGTTAATCGATATTTATTTGGAAATCGTGAGATGCGGTCTGGTGTGATGTAGGTTTCAGCAAAACATTTTCTTTATCGTGCCAACGTTTCGATCTTTATTGAGATCATCTTCAGGGCTCAAAGTGTTTGACTTCTGTGTAATTGTGCCATTCTTGCGTGTCGTGTCGAGAGTGCGGCAAATAAATGTCATATATTTTATGGAACTTTTCTAATTCTGTATTTAAGAAAAATTCGTAATGGACATAGCTAAATAATGATACAAAAGTCATATGTCTGAAAAAGCTCCAATGGTGCAAAGGATTTTTCAGACTGCAACCCTCTTAAAAGGTAAAAGGGCGCAGGAAAAAAAGCCACTTTTAAAAATTCACTAAGTAGAGCATACAACGCCCTTTTACACTACCGCCACAAAAAGACGAGGGAAAATTCAATGTAAAAAGCAACAATTTTTCATGATACTTATGGCTTTCAGTATGTCAAAGAAACCCAGTTAAGACGAAATGTCTTTAACTGCCTCAATAAAACAGGCCACTTTCAAAAATTCACAAGACAAGCGTACATCATCCTTTTACAGCCGGGAAAGTAAGAGGAAAGAAAAATAACATTCAGTGTGGAAATTTAAAAAAAAAAAAGTTGATCCCGATCCTTTCAGTACGTCTTTAAAGTGCCCAATAAAGTCTAAACGCCCTTAAGTTGTCAGGTGGTGGCGTCGTTATGTTGCCGTTATAGGACTTGAACAAAATTGGTAAATATTGGGTTGTCCGGAAAATAATGCAGGATTTTGGTATTAAACAAAAAAAAAGAAACTAGTTACTTTAAAGCAATGTTCTTTAATCAAAATAATTTCCCATACTCTCAATACATTTCTCCCAACGTGTTGGTAACTTATTAATTCCGTCTGAGTAGAATTCAGAATTTTTAGAATTGATAAAGTCAATAAATGCATTTTCCAGTTCCGTTTGATTTTTGAATATTATGTGTTGTAAGTAGTGGTCCAGGTGTCTAAAAAAATGGTAGTCAGTAGGCGAGAGGTCCGGAGAGTAGGGTGGGTGAGGCAAAGTTTCATAGCCAAGCTCCAATAATTTTTGTGACGTTACACGTGACACATGTGGTCGAGCGTTGTCATGCAACAAAATGGGCCCTTTCCGATTGACCAAAGAGGGCTTCATTACTGCCAATTTCTGATGCATGGTATTAATTTGGTTACAGTATGATTCAGCATTGATGGTTTCGCCAGGATTTAAGAAGCTGTAGTGTATTAAACCAAATGAAGCCCACCATACCGTAACCATTACCTTTTTTTGATGAGTTGGGGGCTTTGGAAAATGTATTGGAGCTTCTCCTTTGTCGAGCCACTGTCCAGAACGTCTAGTGTTATCGTAGAGAATCCACTTTTCGTCACATGTAACAATTCTGGCCAGAAATGGGTCATTTTTGTTTCGACAAAGAAGTGATGCACAAACATCAAAGCGCTGATTTTTTTGGCGATCGTTTAATGAGTGTGGAACCCAATTTTCGAGTTTTTTCACTTTTCCAATCGCCTTGAGGTGGTCAGCGACGGTCGTTTTACTGACTTTGAGTTGCTCTGCAAGTTCTCGAACAGTTGTTTTGGGGTTTTCTTCCACCACTGATCGCAGAACATCATCATTAAGAGAGGAAGGCCTTCCACGACCTTCTTCATCTTCAAGGCTGAAATCTCCCTCCCGAAATTTTTTAAACCACCTTTGCACAGTGCACTCATTAACACAACCCTCGCCCCAGACTTGGTTAATGTTTCTAGCCGTTTGGGCTCCGCTTCGGCCGAGTTTAAACTCGTAAAAGAAAATCGTACGAAATTCTCGCTTTGACATTATAAGGATGACTGAATTATTTCCAAGTAGCGGAATGCTACAGAGGTAAACAAACAATATCATTTGGAAGAGGATTAATAAGTGTTGACATTCATACAAATGAGTAATCCTGTAAACGTAAACAGAATATTTTATATAGATTTTTTTTAATGAAAACTTAAAATCCTGCATTATTTTCCGGACAACCCAATAAAATGGAAAATATTACAATAATCCATCAAGATAAATCACAAGTTCACACAGCAACAAAGTTGGCCAATAACGTCCACTTCGAGCAAAATTCGTCACCAGAGGCTCCACTGATGATGGTAAACTAGGTTAAGCTGTTTGGAAACTTTTTTAAGTCATCTTAAACCTAATGACATCTACTTTTGGGCCGGGAGTATTTTGAGCAAATTTATAAATAACGTCATGCAATAAAATATTTAAAAAAATCCTGACATGAAGTATAATTTTGTCTTAGGTAATTTTTGCCTTTTAATCACGTCTTATGTTTAATCAATTTTTTGCTTACAAAACTATTCAACAATTCATAGGTACCATGAAGTCTATAAAATACTTCATCGTCTCCAGAAATAGTGGTAAAAAAGGTGGTTTGTAAATTTGTCGTGTCTTTGTTCGGTTAATAAGGCCTGTTTTATTTTAAAATACTCCTCATCGTAATAAGAAACTTAATGACATCTCATATTCGACCATAATATGGTATATTGATAAATATGATAAATATAATTATTAAAAAAGTATATATTTAAAAAATCCTTAGACGATCTTTCCTTAGACCATAGCCCAGTTATCCAATCTCTTGATATTTACCCAAAAATAAACGCGCCTCGACCCACTTAAATAAACGGACCAGTTAACTGGGATCCATTCGAAGCATACTTGACCGTAAATCCAAATTAAATGTGCCCTTAACGACATCTCAGCAACTAGACATAGAACAACTAACTAGCTCCATACACCATTACAACCTACCTCTATTTATTATCTAAGACAACTAGTAATAACAGTAAATCGTCGAGGAAGAACCCGCTCTCGTTACCCGTCAGACGAAAGAACTTTCAACCGACTAACTATGAATTATACACAACTTCAACAGTCAATATTCTACTACAAGCACAGTATTTATCCAAAGAATTCCTTCCTGACATAGCCCATTTCATCAGTTTCAGCCAACATCACGTACATCTACAGTTTTCCCTTCCTCTCAAACTATTTTCCCCAAAGAAGTCAAACAGGCTGCTACAATACTATCACAACTCCCTAAAAACATGTACATATCCTAGGCATTTGACAGGATAGGCACCAAGGGCATATTACTACTAATTTTTAGTTTATACTAAAATCATACTTCACATACAGTCACTTCCACACTGCCAAAACACTTCTCATCCATTTATCAGATTATCGCTGGAGTCCCACAGATCTTAATAACCTATCTCTTCAACGCTGCCCTAAACATACAGTCTCTTCCCCACCCTATGGAATTTCCCTTCAATGAACCACCTTCTCCGTTCTTACAGTCCAATCAGTCTTTTGCCTATAAGCGGTAAAATTAAGGAAAAACTACTATTGCTCCGCCTGTACGACGAAATGTTTCCCCTTATTACTCCTAACCACCAGTTTGGTTGTCCCTCGACTATCTATCAAGATCATCGTGTTGTAAACACCATTACTCGTACCATCGAACTGCCCTGGAACTTTCCTTATCACACATGCATTTGACAGGGTATGTCACGAAGAGCTGCTATGGAAGGAGAGCAGTTTAGCACCTTCTACTTATACCTTGTGCTAAAATCCTTACAGACCGTTACTTCCACACTTTCCTAAACACTTCCTTCTCTGCATTTGCCGGATTTTCGCTGGTGTCCCACAGGGTACCGTACTCGCACTTTTATCTATCTCTTCCTCGCCCAAATAATAAACATTTGGGGGTAAAAAACTGGACTTTGTTGTTACAACTACAAATTGTACACTCTATCCAGAAATAATTATTTAAAAAGAGGAGGAGGGCTGTAGGTTTATGGAGGATTCAAACCAGTGATCGATCAGCAAGGCCCGTTTCAATTTAATATATTTACACATCGTCAATAGAAACCTAATGACATTTGCGTCAATGATTGGCCATTTGGATAAAAATGATAATTTAAAAAATCCCGACCTAGTCTATAATTATTTCTCAGTCGATTTAGGCCTTTTTTTCTATCTCTTCCTCGCCCCTTTATTTTATTTTATAATCCTTACATATCGCCATTAGAAACCTAATTTCAGCTCCATATCCTGTACTGATAAAAATTATAAAATACAATACTTAAAAATCTGGTTGTGGTTGAATTTTATATCAGCTAATTTTTGCCTTTATCATTTCCTCGTTTAAAAAAATTCAATTTTTCTTAAGCAAACCGAACTTTATTTTATTAAACATTGTTTGAAATGCATACCACTAAAGTTTATTAATGGTACAATTTCTTGAGAAATTAAGAAGAAAAGGAGATGTCTAGTAAGTTTGTCAAGGATTGTACCATGTGTTGAGCCAACAGGGCATGTTTTATGTTAGAAATACGTGTACCTTTCTGTCTCTTCTCGTGTTGCTCTATCCATTAAGGAAAAATAATATTAATAATAGGCCTTGTAGCTTTTAACGTTTTAACTCTGTCTTTTTGTCTTCAAATTTTATATCCTCGCTTTTATAAATACAATTGACTATTTATTTTCCCAGGCTAATCAGCTGATTGGTAAATACATTAATTTACCAAAAAATATTGATTTTTTTTTTATATCCTTCGTTAGGTATTTTCTACGCATAAGTGAGCGTGAAAAGTGGTTTCCGTTGTTAACGATTATTGCCAAGGGTGCGATAGTTTTTCACACTATTTCAAGGATAAATTTCTGCGGTTTAACCCTGTTAATCTTGTTTTTTTTTTCTTTTTTTTCAGGTATGGCTATGACAACGGGGAGCAGATCAGGTGGAAAGGGGGCCCGTTCAAGCCCGAAAGGGCCGGAGGGCGCTACGCTCCCCAGCGCCCTTCGCCCTACCCCAGACCCCTCAAGTAGAAGTACCTCAGGGAAAAAGCACCCTTCCCAACCTCAACTTTTTTTTTGTTTTTTCTTTAAAAAAAACCTTAACAGAAATACTAAAAAATACTTTTAAAAAAATTTGTCCCTAAAAGAATTTTAAAAAATTATAAAATTATAGGAATTTCTCCGTCCCGGAAGATATTAAAAAGTAATAAAATCTACCAAAAATAAGGGATCACTTAAAATTAAAATAATAATATAAATAAAAAAGAGAAAAAACTATTAGTTATAATGATATAAAACTATTAAAATCATTTTAAAATAATTTATAAACTTAATTTCGGAATCTTTTTTATGTTTTAATGTCCAGATCCTTTTTTTATTTTCTTAATAATTATTTTTAATTATAAAAAATTTGTTACATTTAGATTATTAAAAAAACAAGTGTTTTAAAGAAGTCTACAATTTTTAATACACTTTTTTTAAAAATTTGTTGACCATTTATAAAAGTTCTCAGAAATGTTATGAGGATCACTGATGAGCCTTGAGAAGAATTCCTGTTGTGCCAGCGCCAGATGTTTGACTTTGTATTTTGAATTTTATTGTTTCCTCGATTGGATATAATTTTTCAGGTTTTTATCAATAAATTAATTGCATTGTCATTCAGAGGAAAGCAATAAAAGTGCACAAAAGTTGGAGATCAAGGGCCACATCTGTGATCAGCACTAAGTGAGAATGAACAACGCTAAACAATGATAATGTAAACGGATGGATCAAAAATAATAATGAATTATTTAAATGAGAAAAAAATGACCACCCCCTCAAAAAAATGTAGACCAATTAGATAAAAATAAAATATTAAAAACCAATAAAAACCTAATTTAATGTGATCTCTTTTTCTCTGTTTTTCTCTATCTCTCTATCTCTGACCGATGTCACATGGCTTTCTGATTGATGAAAAGGTGTGGCCGGACAGAAATTCCTCTTTCTCAATCAATAGAATAACATCTCAATACCCAGCATTCTCCTTTTTCCTCCACGAAAACGAAATTGTCCTTAAATACGCTCAATAAATTTACCGATAAACTATCTCATAACTCGAAAAGAAAGATGAAAAAGCGACGACGACAACGACGATTTGATAATTTATCTTTAATAAAATATTTTTTATAAAGCCAAATCGAAGAAGAAAAACTTTGTTAATATAAAAGTTTGTTTATATAAATTATATGTACATATTTGTATAGTAAAGTAGGGTAAGGAAATTTGAATCTTTTAAAAGGATATGTACTATAAAATCTCGTACGGAAAAATACTGCATGCTGTTGCTGAAAAAAGTTAAACTTTTATTTTTAATCCATAAAAAATAGTTAAGGTTAATTAATTTGTTTTTTTCCATTTTGGCATTTGAAATACTTCTGGTTAAATTAAATCAGTCAAAATTTATTAACTTTTAATTAAATTGATTCTGGCAAATCTACTAAATAACCAATTAAATTATTAATAAAAAAAATAATGCTTATCAGCACGTCCTACCTTATAAAAATAACCCCAAAAAATGGTGTCATTTAAAAAATTGACAGAAAAATTAAAACATATTCCTTTCTGCAATTAAAATATTAAAAATCAAATAAAACTTTGTAAAAAATTGTCCATAACATGAAATCGATTCATACAAATGAAAAATAAAAGAACATCGCCTGATTGTGGTAATGGACTTCAATACCCTCTGAAGACTTATCCAACAAGGAGAAAGTTAATTTTTTGTTAACTTTCAACTCCTTCGTTAAAACAAAAAGTAGTTAAATGTGTACGTTTGTTTAAATCTCTTAAAGATTAGAGGTTAGAAAATAAAATCAAACCTTCCATAATAACGCTTCGATGAGGTTTTTTTCATCTGGGATTAAGTGTGAAACAAATGATTGATAACCATCAGCGATAAAAGAATATTTCTTGAAAATGCTATGTATTTCGATCTCCCAACTTCATTTTCGAAAGTTATATTAAATATAGTCGACGAGTTCATCTCTTGCAAGCCATAAAAATTTCATAAAATTCTGCTTTTAAAATATATTGGTTTAACGCAGATTTAGGCCTAAATCTTCCTTCTAAAACAAAACAAACGAACAAAAAATTTTACTGAATTTAAAAAATATCAAAAATATTAAACAATATCTAATTGCCCACGACGTAAGTAATTTGAGATGAATAGATAATGGAACAATATAATCCCATAATTTCTGTGTTGTTTTTACTTTTTTTCAGGTTTCTGGACAAATGAAGTACGACGAATCTAAACGAAGAAAATTGTAATTATTTTTCATAATTTTAATGAATATCGGGTAAAAAATATGTCGAAAAATTGTTTTGACATATATTTAAAAAAAGACACAAAAAAATCACAAATTCAACACACTTTTTTAAAGACAGAAAATAAAACATAAAACTTATTTACACACAGTACTTTTATAAATATATACATATACAAAATGCATATATGTATAAAATTATATAAATGGTTTTAAGAGATTTATATATTATATACTGTTCCTATTTATAATATAATTAAATATAATTTTAAATAATTTTTCTTTTTAATTTTTTTTATTTTCTTTAAAAATTGTTTATATTTTATTTTATTTTATACTATATATATTTTCTTTATATATATTATATACAGCCTATGTATACAGAGGACGTTTTGAGGAATCACGTTTTTTGCTTTTGTTTTGTAGTTTTTATACAGATTGATCACTTAGTGCTTATGGTTAATCTGCTACTTTCAGCAGCTCCTTGAGGACATGCAGCATGTCTTTTTGAAATAGGACGTGCCGCAGTATATCCCAGAGTATTTAGCAAATAGTGCTCTGCAGATCTCTGATGTGTCCTCACAAGGTTCGCCTGAAAAGAATTACAATAATATTAATTCTTACCTGGCATAGGTTCATTTTTTTCATTGTATTATATGAAATATTGTTAAATTGATGGAAACAGACTGGTTTGATCAGATAAATGATGAGACAATACACATCAGGATGAGATTAAAATAGAGTAATTGTTCATCAGTAAAGGATGATGAAGAGAATGTCAGTAAAATCGTGAATTCCCTGCACATTTCGATGTTTGTCAAGATAAATGATGTAAACTACATGCTTAAGAAAACTGTTTTATCAGCTGAAAGCCCCAGCTCCTGATTCATATGAAAATATTCAGAAGTAAAAATGAAACCATTGGGTTTCTTAAACTACATAGACAGCAATGGTTAGATTATCATTATTATTGTTAGATAATTGTACCATACAAGATTATAATTTCCATAGATAAGAAAAAACAATGATTTTATGACAGGACGATAAATGATGGTTAAATCCTGAAGTTGAAAATAATATTAAAAAGTTCAAGAGAAAACGAATTGATCGTCTATTCCGATGAAAGTCGGAAAATTGAAATAAATGGATGGCGATTTAATTTGGAAATTGAAAGATGTTATATTTCAAGACAGTATGGTATCAATCAGATGATTGATGATAAATTGATCGACATCAATCCAAGGGCGCCCGAGCTTTTCTCTTGACTCACCCCCTGAACTATCTGTCTTCCCACTTGCAACTGGGCGTTTGGAGCCCTCGATTTGACGCATTGGCGTCTGTGTTGGTGTGAAATAGCTAAAAAACAGAACATTTGTAAATTTTTGAAAAAAAAATGGGAACGGGACGCTTGATTATTTATTGGATAGTCGTTTTTATCTTGAAACCATTACCTCGATGTCAAATTGAACTCCAGGGGCTGGGTACGCCTCAAATAGGATACAGTGTGCTGGGAATAGTCGGGTATTATGTTCTCGTGTTCTTGTATGCACCTCCCGTTATTGCAAGTCTGTAATAATAAAAAAAAGATTGGTATTATATTATCCTTAGTACTGTCATCATTTCCTTTACCTGTCCATCACCGCACGAAGATCCTTCAGCGGCGGGCCTGTAGGCGACGCAGTATCCGGAACCCGAATCGAAGCAGAAAAGCTGGGCGCAGACCCTCTCGTCTTTCTGTAAAATTAATAACAAATTTGAACAAAGTCGTAAATCCACTGGAATGAGGGGTGCTTACAAAGCAGGCGGATGTTCCCCTGTCCCTCCTGCATTGGGCGTCCAGTGATAAAAGCTTTCCTGGAAGCACTCTCGGAAGTGATTCGTCCTCATGAGGGGAATTAAATAGACACGTAGCAGTCTCGCCACTAAACACATTATAATTTTTATATCAAGAAATCCACTAGTTAAAAGTATTTTTCTTAATTAAAACCTCATTATACAGATTTTTTCGACAGCGTGTTCATTAGTGAAAACGTTTTAGTCAAGTTCCAAGTAAATTTAACATTTGCATAAATTATACGGTAACAGCGTCCCGTTTCTACTAATGCGAGATATTATAATGTCTATACGACACGAGTGGATGATAAATATTGGCCCAGCGTAGATCATTAAGCATTGTTTATCTTACTTGTTTTCCATGAAGTATCTGGGCTGTTTTAGTCTGACAGACGTTTTTCGGCATTCCGCCAAAATGATTAGTCACTGTTCTTTTGTTAGTTTTGTCCTTTGGAGTCTACAAACTCCAGCACGATGTTGAATGTTTTGAGTTTTAGACCTGGATAGCTATGTCATTTTTTTCCATAATTATAAAGACAACATTTTCGTTCTTTCTTGTATATCTTAAATCATTCTTTGATAAAAAAAAAAAAGCACTAAAGAAAGGGTGTTATGCTAGGAAAACGTTATAATTCCCTGTTGAAAGTGCACTTTCCATGGTGCTGATTACCCATTCAGGACGGTCGGCGTGATATCGAGCTATTCGTTCTCCAAGTGAGCTACTGAGAGCGTGGTAATGCCTTCATCCCTACCTCTATGCAGGTACTGAGGGCGTGATATCGCGCTAAAAGTCATTATTTTTAACTGAGAAATTTAAAAAACAAAACCATTGTTTACCGTTTTAAGCAACACATTGCTTCTTAGAACTTAGTCTAAAAGTGAAGAGACTAGAGCGCGATATCACGTTCGCAGTACTTGAGCCGAGGTAGGGGTGAACGTGATGGCACTCTCAGTATCTCACAGGGTAGCAAAAAAGGAAGAGACCTATAGATGTTAGGTCTCAGTAGATCGTAAAAAGAATGTTATTTTAATGGGGTTTGATAAAAATTGAAGGGGTGAACAACTGGAAGTTTTCCCGATACTCCTGATCAACCCTCTTTGTCATGTTAGGCGAGTTTCATCATTTCGCAATCGTTATCGGTCTGTGTGTTTTTTGTCAGTTATGTATTTTTATAAGTTACACCCCCAAACCCTTGCCCAATGTTTGAAGGGTTTGTTTGAAGATTGGATTGCCCTCGTTCTTTGCCGCCCTCTCACCGACAACTGGGTCATTTTTTCTCTAACGCACATATATCTTTACTCATTCTTAACTTTCTTAAATCACAATTCATAGATAAATTTGTTAAAAAAAAAAATTAAAATTATTTGGTTGAAGTACACTTTCAAGTATGGACTAAGGGTAATGCCATCCCGAGAAAAACGGTTATTTTGTGCGGTTTGAGGAGTAGACTGGAAGACACTTTGGCATATCATCTTGATCTGGCACAACGATTTTTCAGGGGTACATCTTGGATGTTGATACCTGATAAAAGAAAACGCCTGACGCTTCTACCACGAGCTATGGTTTCGTCCGTACGGTGGATCTTCAGAACGGAGACATTCCAATAGTGGCATTTAAAATTGGTTTAGAATTAAGACTATAGATTTAGATCAAGAGAGTTAGATATGCCGGGGGCTTTTTTCGAGTCTCTGACTTGTAGAATTTAAAAAAATTGGATTGTAACTTAAACAGAACACCCTACAGCGAAACAACCACACACTCCCATTTCAACAGACAGGTTTACAAGAACAGAGGCCCATCTGACTTAATAGGTAATTTCACACGCTTCGGACATTCAACCGTAGGGAGACCCGTCGTTCCATATTTACATTCTTATTGCTCGTATGCGGTCTCTTTGTTACAAGGTGACAATTACTACTGCAGTCTGAGTGCAATGACCGTTCGTCTCATGTGAAAGGAGGATTTTCAATACTGCCGATCCACCGGATGAGCTTGTCTATGTAACACGCAGAACTATTGAAGGTGGAGAAATGTAAAATAGCGAAATCAGAAACGATAGGTAGTTTGGTAGATAGCAGAAATGGGCGATTATATTGTATTATAAATGGCCAAAACTGTGCTTTATCGACTCACTTCAAAAAATGATGGAAGCTTGAGATACTGCATGGCGACCACCTGAATCCTTTCTCGGTGTGTCTCAGATCTGACATGATGTAGCCGTCTTCCCACCGGCAGGATTCAGCTCCAGGTCCACCGAGGTAGGTCGGAGGCGGGGATCCATCGTGTACAGCGCCGAGTCTGAAACAGTATTTTTTTTTAACTTCTTAGTGCTTTGTCAATTAAAGAAACTTACAGATGGCCGACTTCGTGCGCCGCCACGATGATCCCGGAAAAGCCTCCGGTGTCTTCGATGATCGCGACGCTGTTCACCTTTTCAAGTCTTTTGTTCACGACGCAAGCTCCACCCACGTAGGCGAATCCTAAGAAGGGAAAGGAAAAAAGAAAAGGGGAAAAAAAAATAAAACAAATTAGCCATCAAATTTTTGAAAACGGTCAAATTATGATATAAGAAAAAATAAACAAGGTGCGATTCTTGTTTTCATGTTCGTTCATTTGCTAAACAGTTCAAAAATCGCACCCGGATGATTTTTTTTTTTGTACAATGTATATTATTTACAGAAGAATATAAAAGCAGATCTGTACATATGTAATTGAAATGCCAGTGATCGTTAATTGATTATTCCAGCGTTAGTTCATATTCGAAATGACGGAAGAGAAGAATGTAAATGAGAGGATGCAAAATTAGTCAGAGAGAGCAAGAAAGCCAGAGTCATGCTATTAGAAAGAGACGTTTCACAGCGGTTTAGTCATCATTTAGTATCATTATTTAGTAAAAGAAGTTTTAAGCAGTTTTTCTGAGCCATTTTAATTGCATTTTGCTTGATTTTAGTTTTTAGAGGGGGGGATTCTTACCTCGACAGATCTGGAACGAGTGTGAGCGATAGAGAAAAAAATTAAAAAAAGATTATTTGTCGTGAAAAAAATTAACACAGAAATGGCGAAATTTTAATAAACACTGAGAAAAATAGATAAAGAATTTTTGTGAATGTTTGGAAACTGAAATATTGAATTTGACGAGTTATTTTTTTTAACAAATATATTTGCTAGTTTTAGTCTTCAATCTGTTTACCTGCAGTTCCTCTATTGCACGACTCATTCGGAAACTGCCTTCTACACATGTCCAATCTGGAAAATTGCTATTTATAGAACAAGGCAAAATCAAAATATACAAATATATACAAGAAGAGAGGGGTGAATTGATTCTGTACACAATTATATGGTATTAATCTATGGAATATTAAATAGCGCAGCGGTTATTTTCCATTGTCCAGAGGCAGATATCCAATTATTTCCAAAACCCAAAAAACGTGTTGATCTTTTTGGATTTTCATTCCAGATTTGTTTTCTTTTTATTTCTTACCCGCGGTTCCTTTCGTGCATCTACCTCCTTTTCGACGCCGGCACATGTCATATCTAGAAGAAGACAATTTTAAAGAAACAGCATTACGCTATGAAGTCGGTAGAAAAAATATAAACCCTGTAAAAAAAAGCACATCGCCTAGAAATCCGTTATATACATGTACTTTCAATCTGGCAGTAAAAGTCACTAAGTATCATTTCTGTTTCAATTACACAAAAAAATTGGAACACCAAAAAATAGAGAATTTTGATAGAATACTTTTAAAAAAATTACGTTTAAAAGTTAATTTTATTTTTAAAAAGTTATGCACAAATAGACATTTAATTGTTTAAACTTTATTTGAGTTCATAAGAATTTTGTCTACCTTACTACCACATTTTCAATATTATTTTGTTCACTATATTCAATATATAGAAAAATGTCAGGTTTTTGTATGTTCGTAATAAAATATAAATGATTCTTGAATAGTTTAACTGTTTAAATAGAAATAAATTACCATTAGACATTTGCCATACAGCTAAACTTAAGTGCATCAGAATCATAAGTAATGCAGTCGTAAAGCAATAGAACATCATAGAGACAGCATTTATGCTTTAGTTGCTTAATAATGATTCATTTTAAGAACATCGATCCTTGAATGATGCGATCATGATGAGGTAAAAAGAACGATCCGTTTATTCTTGCATCGCTGGTTTGATCTGAACACGTACGTCGCCATACGTATTTTGTCTGTGTGTTGTTCATCATTTTTATAAGGTTTTTTGTTTAATTCATTTATTTCTATCTACAACTTTATATATATTATATACAACCAGCAGATTGGGTAATTTGTGTTTGTGGCATTACGGGCGTTATAGAGAAAGCTAGCTATTGGCAGCCGCTCTGGATTAATGAAATGATATTAATCATTTAAGAGGTTTCTTATCTTAAGGGGGAGAAACAATTAGTCTTAAAATTTTGGATTGAAAACTTTGTAATCTTTGAATATACTTGGCTGCTGGCGCCAGCCATCTCATTTTTAAATACACTTTGTTTTGGATTATTGTAATCCCTAATCCTACACCCACGCTCCTTGCAAACCCAGTCCTGTTCTACTCCTACGAAAGAAAGTGTCCTTACGCCTCTCTTTAATCTCGTATGTTTCTCTCCTTTATTAATTTAAAAAGATTCAAAATAACGCGAATCTCCGAAAAACCCTCTGTGCTGCTGCATCGATCTCTTCCACCTGAATTCATCGGATATTCTGCGACGAAGTCAGAGGAATCGGGCCCGAGCTCCCTACACTTCGTGCAGCCGGTATCTGAAGGAAGGTGTTAAGTCCCCTATGAATTTCTCCCTTATTTTATTTTAATTTAGATTTTTCTTAAATTTATTTTATTAATGTTTCATTTTTTTATTTTTTTTTTCTTACACGGCATTGGCCGTAAAATTGGCCGATCCATATACTTGGCACCTGTACATCCAGATAGGTTTGAGTGATGTGTATGTCGAAAGTTTTGATTTTAATGGTAATTTTGATTGTCGGTTGAGTAGGTAATAAAACATTTTAAATCGTTTGTTCAGTGTCTGTTTTGTTAATCGTGTGGATTCCAAGTTAGTCTTCTATCAAATGTAAGTCCTAAAAAGTTAACTTTATCGGATTGAGGAACAGGTTCATTGGATAAGTATGTCTTGGGTAAGTGTAAGTCTCACGACAGAGCGTAAAGGTGATATGTTGTGACTTTGAGGGATTAAACTTTATTTTCCAAAGATTGCTCTATTTTTCAATTGTTTTGTAACATGAGTGAAGCTTGTGTAGAAGAGAGGTCGCTTTCTCCCAAAAACTTTGTGTCACTCATCTGTAAGATCGTGTTCGTTTAAGGTACTAACCTCAAAATCTTGATGTTCTTATGTTATAGAAAAAAAATTTTGTTTTCAAAGCCGTTTTACACTACGTGTCAACGAGTCTATATAACCAACTGTCTTTTTAAAAGGTATCGACACAAAGACCACTAAAAATCTAACTTCAAACGAATGCATTTTTGCTTCAGTTCCAAATTAATGGAATAATTTTTAAGAAGCAAACGTTAAATGGAGAAATTAAATCAGATGCTGGATGGGCTGTCACGGCCCACGACCTAACTACAGGTTCATACTGCGCATAACACGTTGTAACTCCAAAGCATAAATAGACCGAAAATCTGAATGATCTGAGACGACCAAACTGCAGTGTCATCACCCCGCAAAACTTGAGGTCATTGGTTGGTCCTACTGTTATTAGTACAGTTGTATCCTTTTCTAAGGTGTCGACCCTCAGACATTACATGACCCATCGAACTATCGAGGTTCATCATCCTGAAGACCAAGACTTCAGTAGTTAATCTTCGTGGTTTTTTTGCTTTGTGGCTCGACAGTTTTGTGATTTTATAAGATGTCTACCTTAAATAATCGGACCAAGTGATCTGAGACGACTAAACTACGGGATCATCTACCGCATAGCAAGAGGTCGCTGGTTGGTTTTTGAGTTATTTTGACAAACTCTTCGAAGTGTCGACTCTCAGAAGTAGGCATTAAACCAAAGACCTGAATGATTTTAGACGACCTAATTACACGTAAATACCCCGCACATGTCACTAGAAATCCGCAGTCGAATGCTTTTGGTCAAATTTGTCCTTGTAAAAACGTTTCTGCCCATAGAAAGCGGGCATAAAACGGTCCAAAGGCTGGGATTGTATGAGACGAACAAACTACAGGCTCACAATCAGTTCTTGGGTGATGCTTATTCTACATAGAGTTTATCTAGACGAGCACGAAAGTTAATCTATGATCAGAAACAAGTTTGTTTTACTAGTAAAAGAGAAATATATGTAAAAAATGGTTTACTACTTGACACAAGCTAGATGGCTACTAATTCTTCTGATTAATGATGTCTAAGAAGTAAAAGAGGCTTAAGTTTACCGCTAATAAAGTTGATAAATATTAAAAATCTGTATTTCGGTTCATCCTGGCCTGTCCTCGCAGTGGTCTACCTGCGAGGTTTTTTGCCAATTGTGTCCCTTTATAAGGCACCCAGACCAGCTAGGCCTGGGTCCATTTGATGATGACCAATTAAACGAAGACTGTAATGTCTGATAATCGGGAAAAACAACCAGCCAGTAAACTACTAGTTTGATAAAAATGTGGATATCATAATGAAAATATTGTGAAGAAGACAGGAATTTATTAACAAACAGACAATATAATATTCAGATCCACTCGATGTTTTCTTATCAACCCAGCATTTTTTTTTTACACAGCCTTACTTTACCTATGATCAAATATGCACTTACATGTATAAATAGTACTGGATATCTGCTTTATTTTTTAAACAATATTTTATTAAGGTAAATTTCGAATAATGGCCGTTGGCCAGTATAACTCGGCATGCCATGAGGTAACCTAAATGATTGCATGATAAATCGATTTTCTTTTAACCGTGATCTCTGATCAAATATTTATCTTTATATGCTGTTCTTAATTCAACAGCCCATTGTTAAATTAGGTTAGTTTTATTTTTTAAATTGTATGCCTTATCGTGATTATTGTCTGGACAAAAGTGTTTCTAATGTGTTCATATTTTTAGGTTTATGAGTACTACCTGCCAAACAAAATTGTAGTGCATTATAAATGATTTATAATGATCTAATATATAAAATAGGGATCGTGGTATAAATATGTGAGTGTATAATCATACTGACTTAGTTATGGCCACTGCGATGTCATAGACGGGTAGACGTCTCTCTCTGAAAAGGTACTTTCCCATGTCGGTAAGGGCTGCTGCGCTGTCAATCGCGTCCCTGCCGACCCTGTTCCTCTCCAGGTAGGGCGTCGCGTCACGACCCTATTAAACGAAAGATCAAAACTGTGATGATGATTTTATCGGATCTTTTTGGATACACTCACCCTTGATATGATGATGCCGGCGATTGATATCCTGACTTTGGGCCCTTTGAGTAGTTTGTACCTGAGATCGACACCGTTCCAGAACGAGATGAAGTACCTTTTGATCTGGACGTTGTCACCGGCGTGGAGCCGGTAACCGTCGTAGTCGACAATGACCAGGATCTCCGGGTATATGACGAAGGGCGCCTCGCGCTTCGAGCGAATCGAACGTTTCCGCCTTATTGGACTCAGTGGGATATCTCCTGGTTCCATTAACGCTAAAAATAAATAAATCACAACATTTATTTTTCATTTTACTCTAATATTTAGGAATAGTAATCAAAAATAATCAAAGACTTTACATAAATCCAAAGCTAAGAAGGCATCTATAGCTTACTTTTGACAAACAAAACTCCTTATTTTAATATTCCCAAAAATATAAAAATTCGGTATTTTTAATGTTCACTGGAATTTTGTACTGCCGTGTAAATACTAAATATATAAATATTTTTTGGGTTTATACCAGTGTTTCCCAACCTTTTTTGTCTCATGTCCCACTTAGACTTTTTTAATTTCCTTCTGTCCCATTCCTCAACATAATCTATAATGTTAAAATATTCACTGAATAAAGTTAAAGATTATTGGGAAAATCACTATACAATAATTGATAGAACACAATATATTTTAAAACTCAGAAAACGATGCTAGAAGAATATGAGAGTTAATAAATTATTCGATCTAGAATTCATTTTATGATGTTATTCAATTTTTAAAATAAGTTATACTCCTTTAACGCACCAATCTAAAGAGATTGCGATCAAACGTGATCAGATCGTATCAGTAAGAATCAATCTTTAATTTTTTTTTTTTAAATAGCGGTTGTTGAAGGACGCTAAAAAGTTTATTGGAACATGACACCTGAGATTCAAGTAGTCCTTTTAAAAAGGGCATCTGGTAAAATACTTGACTTTTAGCACTTTAACAGGTGCATCGTTGAACAATATTTGCTTGGCAGTAATTAAACATAAAATAGTAAATTTCAGTGAAATTCGTAATAAAACTTTATTTTCTTCAAAAGAAAAAAAACTCCCATTGATTTGGTTGAAATTCCCAAATTTAACAAAATATCAGATAGAATGCAGTTCTGCTCGAAATTTATTCCATTCTATTTATTTTCCTTCCTGATCAATGAGTTATATTAGTCAGCATTAATATTCTTTCATGTGAAATATTGCTATCCAAATATGTTCAGTAGGTTCAGTAGTAAAATCATCACTTGCATTGATCTGGATTTCCAAATTAAATAGGTTTATTATGCGGCTCAGCATCATAAATTTCATTTAACATTGAAATTATTATAGAAAAAGGTACGGAATATAAATTTCACATTATTGTTTGTACATAAAAATCGAAACGCCACATTTTATTTTCAATTCTCTTCTCTATAGGTTTGGAGTACACTGTAGAGGTGTTGCTATGCAAAAGCCAACATTGGGAAGAAATTCAATTAATTAAGGTTTTTAGTTGAAATAAAAAAGTCAGTGTCACGAGCGGGATTCGAACCCACGACCTTCGGCTTGATACGCCGCTCCTCTACGACTTGAGCTATCGTGACCACGTGAAGGTCGTGGCAATCCCGCTCGTGCCACTAACTTTTTCATTTCAACCAAAAACCTTACATAAAAAGATTAATTAATTGAAAGAAGTAATTTGGTCAATAGGCCACTAAATATTAATGAATTATTAAGATTTTAGTTTTAAGTTTTTTCCATTTCATAAAAACGCGAATATCTCTTATCTATCTGCATATTAATATTAATGCTAAATTTACCCAGATGTAAAGAAAACATTCGTTTGTTATTATCCTAGAATTAGGTCTTTTAAAAACTAAATTAATCTAACTTGACAATTTAATATACATCATTTATCTGGATTTTAATAAAATATACTGCATTATGAAAAAGCGAGGCTTTACAAAGATTTTAACAAAAATAAATTTAAATTATTGAAGCGATGACGATAAGCCTTACTTGAAACACCGTTCTACTGACAGTAATTATTACGGGATATTGAAAGCGTGAAATGCTTGAGGATTGGAATAGCCCGAAATCCGACAAATAATTTCAGCAATTTCATGGCGAACAGATACTGCTATATTCTATATAACTGCTATATTCGATGATTGTTGAACTAAATGACGAATCGGCAAAAAACGTGATTAAAAATCTAAACAAGTTATTTTCGAAATTGCTCCCCGCTAAAACTCAAATTGCTCCCCTGTGGGGTGTAGGCCCCACGTTGGGAAACACTCGTTTATTCCATTAACATTTTAATGATTTAATTATTTTAATAATATCGGGAAAAACCCATTTAAAAGAGTATTTCGTTAAGATGGTTACCGTAATCAGAAAATGGCCCGTTCTGATCGGTTTTCCTTTTGAAGATGACGTGGCTTTTAAGTCCATCGCTGTTCACATCGTTGCTGATTTTCTCTCTGATCCTCTTTGGTAAAGGTCTTAGTACGAGCTCGTGTCCAATCGTTCCCTCCTGTAATCCAGCAATTATATACGTTTTACAACTAATCCCAACCTAAGAATTTGCTTGGTGTTTGAAACGAATATAATCCTTTGAAGAATTGCTGTTCTAATTTTCGAACTTCTAATTTAAAACACCAATTATTATTATCAAAGCTCCTATTTTCCAACTTTCAGCCTTTATACTTCTGGTTGTCTTGTAATCATCAATATATTCGTTATTTTAGAATTTTTCCCTCTACTATCTTTGGCAGACGGAAGATACAGGAAAAAATGTAGGTGACGGAAGTACGAATTAACAACATAGGGAAACGTACTGGTATTTCTATAAGTTTTATGTTATAACAATACCGATTAATTCCCTTGATTATACACACTGACCCAATATTACTTTATAGTTTGGTTTTCCATGGTTTCCAAACATTGTGTACAGAAAAATATCGTTGTTTTTAGTCACATTGTTAGTCAGACATGTTTCAGCGGAGGTTTTTGGAAACCATACCTTAAAAAAGCCACAACTGATACTATGAATCACAAGCAACCACTGAAAATAGCCAGAACTTTTTCTGCTATTACTGACAATCAAATTATAGGTTCATCACTCTGGAACAAGAAGTCAATGATTTTGTCTTTGTGTTATTTTGGCAACTGAGTCTTTTCACAAGACCCTAAGAAGCAGACATTAAATGAACCGAAGAACATGATTATCTCAGACCCAATTCGATGGTTTGTTTGTGTATAATTAGGAAAGCTGTATCATTTTATGTGGTATCGATTCTAGTAAGTACATTAAATCATTAAATGTACCAAAGACTAGAATGATTTAAACGTCCAAGCTGATTAACCAAAAAAACTCAATGTATGGTATGTGTGTTATTAGGACAGCTGTGTCCTTTTATAAGGTCTCATAAGCAAGCATTAAATGGACCAAAGACTAGAATGAACTGAAACGTCCAAGCTAGTTTATAACTCCACAGAACAAGATGTCAGTGGATGTTCTGAGTGTTAGTAGAACAGCTGTGTCCTTTTTTAAGGCCCTCATGAGCAAGTATTAAATGGACCAAAGACCCGGACGATATGAGACGATCAAACTACAGGTTCATCATTCCACAGAAAAAGAAGTGATAGGTCTTCGTGTTATTTTGACAAAGGTGCCGACTGTAAGAGTAGACATTCAGTGACTGGGGACTCTCCTAAACCAAACTGCAGGATCATCACCTCGCAGAATTAAATGGTTATATGTGTTTTTAAAACAGCTGAGTCATCTTATAAGGTGTCGACCTTCAGAAGGAAGCATTAAATGAATTATGATTATCAAAAATGCTCAAACTACAGGTTCACTATCTCCGCAGCTTAACAAAAAATCTCATATTCCTGAACGGCCTGAACGGTAGAAAATATACGGCCAAAATTCCTTCACAAAGTACTTACATCAAATGGAATCAAACTACTTGATTAAATTATTTAAAATTGGAATTATTGGAAATAATTAATTAAGGTTTTCAGTTGAGATAAAAAAGTCAATGGCACGAGCGAGATTCGAAACCACGATCTTCGGCTTGATACGCCTCGATCCACTTGGACACTAACTTCACGATAGCTCAAGTGGTAGAGCAGCGGCGTATCAAGCCGAAGATCATGGGTTCGAATCCCGCTCGTGCCATTGACTTTTTTATCTCAACTGAAAACCTTAATTAATTGTAAGATATTAATTGGTCAAGCGGACCATTAAAACTAGGGAATTATTGGCAATGTCCGATGCGACCATAGTCGGTAAAATCCAAAGAAGCTACCGACTATTCCCTCGCCGACCTCAAGAAGAAATATTTCTAAACAAATTATTTTCCTCTGTGTTGCCAGAAATATGTCGTGTACACGAATTTCTTTCTGCCCTTCATCATCCGAATAGGTCAAACAGAGAAAATGTACGTTAGCCTATTGCGTAAACCCGAAGGGGGCGAAATATATGAAAGTTGTAAGGACGTGAAGAAACACGAGGTGATCCATGCAAGGAATGAAGGAAATTCTGACAGTCGTATTCGCAAGTGTTTGTCTATATTTACGTATAACGTAGATCCATCTTCGTCCTTGTGGAGGAGCAGTGCAGCGCCGTTTTCCACGTCCTGATACGTGTCGCCGAGATCTTCCTGCAAGAAAAACAATGAGAAGAACAATGAGACAAGCTTGCAGACACAAAAAAGCCTATTTATCTTAGAAATGGCGGAATTGGGAAATAGAGGATAGTAAGGATTTTCCAGTCGATAATAAAGCCGGGCGGTTATGGAATCGTCCTGTCTCTCTCCTCGCTCCGTTGCGTAACGAATCGGCGTCGATCTCCGAAGTGAAAGTCGGACGAGTGTTGAGTAATTCAAAAACGTGGGGAAGGGGTTCGTCAAGAAGTACGAGCAAGGTCGATGCCGTGTCTTTTGAAAAATTGTCCGTTTTTTGAAAAAAAAAAAATGAAGGTTTTTTTCTTAAAGGTGGTAGAAAAGTTGAAAGACCTGTGAGAAATTTGAGATTCTATGTTTCATATTATTCACCGGTTGAAATAAAGTGTCCTTTTTACATCCAACCATTGAATTTACCGATTCATCATCCTTTTGTTGTATTTATCAGGTTGAGAAATCTTTCTGGTTTTTGTCGGTTTGAAAAATGTTCCTTTTCTGTGTGACAATCGTGTTAGGTCCATTTTGGCGATTGACGACATCGAGTTGTTTATTTTAGCATGAAAGATTAATTTGCCCGCGGGCCCTGCGCGTTTGAAGCTCTCAGACAATTTACCAACGCGAGGAGATTTTCATGCTGGATTTCGTGATATCATTGAAGGGCAAAACACTTGGGCTCAGCTGATGTGATGAAATCATCGCGAGACCGTGCAAGAGCTCAGCAAAGCGAAACCGCCGGACGAGAAGAAATCCAGTCTTGAATCGTAGAAACCATTACGATTTAAATTGTTCCCACAGTTTTTACAAAAGGATGTCGCAAATGAAAAGCGTACGTACGTCGTGGTCGAGCCGTTCGTATGTGAGGTGGCCCGAAGAATTGGCGACAACGCCGAAAAGTGGCACGTCCCTCGACGCTAGACGGGTTTTCCGCAAGTTCAGGACGTGCTCCTTCCCGAAAGCTTCGAACCGCAGGTTCTTGAAAGGGCTGTAATCTCTCTTGAACCGCCTCTGGATGTGGACGAGCCTGTAATCCGGAACTGTGAACATGGAAAATCGATCACATTATTAAAGTCGATCCAAAAAGAAAACAACCAACTTATTTCAACAAGCGACTTGTATCTACCCTCAAGCAAACCGTACCTTCAGCCTGTAACTATTAAATTCTACTGAACTTTTTATGAAACAATATCTCACCATTGTTCAAGTTGTCTACGTGAAACAGGGTCTTGATTTCATCTTTTGTCATTCCATAATTAATCTGAAACAACAAGAACACAGAAAATATTCAATCATTTTCATAATGTATAGGTAAAAAGGAATAATTAATTACTAATCCTATACATGTAAATGGTATATAATAAACTTAACTTTTAATAAGTTACTAATTTTGTATAAGCAAATGTCTGTTTTAAAAATCACTGTTTAAATCAAAAACAACCATATTAATTGATGTAGAAATAGATTTTTCATTGTTTTTTTTATTTTAAAGTATTTAACTTTAATTTAAGAAAATTTCCTTTTTTTTTCTCTCTTCAATTGTATATATTACTAAAATTTTATGTCTTTACTAATCTCTCTTATCTATGTATCTAAATATATTCCTCTCTCTTTTATTTATCTCTTTCTTTTTTTTCTCTCACTATTTATTTATTTCTGTAATTTGTAACTTTGATTTTAACCCCTCCCCATCACTCTGTCTCTCCTACCTTTCTTTGTCCTTCTTCCTCCTTCCTTTCTCTCTCTTTCAATTTTTTTCTCTGACTGCCATGTTCGCAGGAAGAAAGGATTTCTCTATCTATCTCCATATTTACCTATCTATCTATCTGCATATTTATCTATGTTTCTGTGTTTCTATATATTTACTATTTATATATCTATATATCTCTATTTATGTTATCTGCATATGTATCTCTCTCTCTCTCTCTCTCTCTCTCCCTACCTCCCTCTCTCGCTCATTCTCTTTCTTTCTTACTCACTCTCTCTCTTTTTCTTTCTCTCTTTCTTTCTTTCATTTCTCTTTTCTTCCTTACTTTGCCTTTTTTTCTCTCTACTTTTTCCCTTCATCTCTCTCGTACACCAAATCTTTCTATCTACTAATCTTTATCGCCAGCTGCCTGTCACACACAAATATTTTCTTTCTCTCTATATCTATTTAAAGCGTTAGATGTACGAACCACTTACTCAAGAATAATCCCGATCTCAGTTTAGTTTGGAAAAAAACAAATTCAATTGTTACTGCCAAGCTTTCGACTTATTTTAAGATCATCGTCAGAGCAAAACAATCTTAAAATATATTTACAAATGACACAATTGAGTTTTTGACACATTGTTTCAAATTTCTTTGAAGGCCGACGCAGTCGACGAAGAAATCTTTCATCTATTTAAGAATATAACTATGGATATATCTCTATATCTTACTTTTACTCTAACCGATTTCACCGACTCCTTTTCTCTCTAATACGTTTTTACTCTTTCTGCTAATATCTAGATATGTATATTTTCTCGCTTGCCAACCCTCACACTTTCTTATGATTGGTTTCCTTAAATTTATATTTAATTAATTAATTCGATTATTATACGTTGATAAGATTTCACAGAAGGTCTCTGACCATATCTTTAGATTGTAGAATAGTTTAATTTAATATATACGCAACGTGAAATAATTGTTGAACATTAAATTTTAAATTCAAAGCATTTGGCCATATTAAATTTCAAGTTTGTCCAGTTTTCTGCAATTACTTTCATTTAATATATCAGGAGGAGAAACTCTGGCAGACTCGGAACATATTATTTTAAACGTTCTGTTAACTATTAATTTTTGTCTTTCTCGCAACTACTTATTTATATTTAAACTATACATTACTAAATATGTAGTGGTTTTTTTTCTATAAAAACGAACGAGGTGCTGAATAATTATAAATTAAGGATATTTTGATATAAACACAAATTTACGTTGTTTTGTCCCTAATATTCATAGGGGGGGGGGTCTATAAATTGCATAGTTCTGATAAGATCCATGCAGTATTATCGTTGGAAGGATAAACGATAAATTACGTCTGTCACGGAGACATTGAAATATAACAATGCGTAATTAAACAATAATTACGGTGCAGAGACAGTCAAGACATAGCTGTCTTGCGGGTTTAGCATTTCTCGACTCACGTTTAACAAGTCGAACACGTTTTGAAATTTGTGGTTTTTGCCTACGTAGCCTCGTTTATCGGCTGTTGATCATTTTTTTGCATTTAAGCAATATAAATTCACATTGGTCGTTGAAATCTCAAAATTTTCAAAATCTCTCATTCTCTCAAAATTGCTGTACGTTTGCTTCAATCTACTTGAATTTCATCTTCCATCATTTCTAAGAGAATGCATGCGAAGCGAAACGGACCAAGGTCGTTGCCACGTTTTCCCTCCGGACAACAGATCCTTCAAATTTAATTTTTTTTTTCCAATTTTGCCTTAACTGTTTCGAAGATTATATCAGAGAGGAGGAAGTCGTTTTTAGATTTAGAAAACCGAGACGTGGTCATTAAACGGCAAACACGAAAGGCTTGCCTCAGCCGTTAAAAGTGGGAAACAAATAAATCCATTACGTAAATGAGCGTAAACATTTCATGCACTTTTCGACAAAACATCGTACCAGATTTCGTTTTGCCTTTACAGCAGATTTTAACTTTAATTGTCTTCGGTGCAAACGAAAGACGGTGCATGTTGCAACGTTATTGCTTCCGGTTGAAACGTTTCAATTACCGATTATAAGAGAGAGAAAGGTGAACCGAATTCTACTACAATGCTCGGCAAGATTTACTTATTTTAAATTTACAACACACCGTCGTACTGAGCCCCTTATTTTAACCGTAAATTGACGTGAATCAATATTCACGCATTTTTTATTATGAAATTGAATTTATATTACTTTTGTAATCAGTAATAAATTCCTTTTACTACCTAACGTCCTGGGAATATGTATGGGCAAAGACACCATGCATTCATCGCCCAGCATTTTCTGTCTGTCTATCTCTATCTCTCTGTCTCTGTCTCTTTCTCCCTACCTCTATCTATCCATATATCTATCACTTTCTCTATCTCTGTCACTCTCCCCCTTTCTGCCCTCTTCCTTTCTCTATCACCCTCTCTCTCATCTACTAACTATATTTTATTTACCCCTATATCATTCCAAATACGTATCTGTGTAAATCTATATAATAATAATCTCTCTCATAACGTTCTTCATGCACCCACAGTTCTATTTTTTCACTACCTCTTACTCTCTTTCTCCTTCTCTCTCTCTCTCTCTCTCTCTCTCTCTCTCTCTCTCTCTCTCTCTCTCTCTCTCTCTCTCTCTCTCTCATTCTCTCCTACCTCTATCTATCCATCTATCTATCACTTTCTCTATTTCTCTAAACACTCTTCATGCACAGAGACCCACAGTTCTATTTCTTTCGCTACCTCTTACTGTCTCACTTTCTCTCGCTCTCTCTCTCTCTCTCTCTCTCTCTCTCTCTCTCTCTCTCTCTCTCTCTCNTCCTCTTACTGTGCACGTCTTTTTCTATATTACCGTCACTCACACACTCCTTTATTTTTCTTCCTCTCTACCTTTACTCTGTCTGTCTCACTTTCTCTCTCTCTCTCTCTCTCTCTCTCTCTCTCTCTCTCTCTCTCTCTCTCTCTCTCTCTCTCCCTACCTCTATCTATCCATATATCTATCACTTTCTCTATCTCTCTATCTCTGTCACTCTCCCCCTTTTTGCCCTCTTCCTTTATCTCTCTCCCTCTCTCTCATCTACTAACTATATTTTTATTAATCCATACCTCTGTATCATTCCAAATACGTATCTGTGTAAATCTATGTAATAATGATAGGTTGCTTTTTTTAGCAATAATTACGAAGAATTACCAGTATTAAGTAAAAAGCTATATAAAACCATTTACGGCTTGGATAGAAATACTGAAGAAAACTCTCGTAAAGAAAACGAAAAACATTACAAGATTACAATTATCTTCTTTTTTTAGTAGTTCTTTTAAATTTCTTTCTTTCACAGAACGGACATCAAAGTGTCCCATTCTGAACTCCGCTAATGAAGGGCATACAGCCAGTCGTAAACCTCATCCTCCCTTGCTCTCACTTTACAAAATGAACAAAGCTCCAAAACTCAAAGTTACTTATTTTTAAAAAGCGAACAGATCCTTCGTTATCGATAGTTTATTAAAAAAAAAAAAAAAACAACAACTTACAATGTTCATGGGATGGTTAGGGGAATAGAAGTGTGTGTGTGTGTGTGTGTGTGTGTGTGTGTTGTTGTTGTTAGAATGAAACTGAGATTGATAAAAATAAATATGATAAATGAAAAATACGATATATAGATGGCATGGTCGATATAAGGGCATAGAGAGGGAAAAAGTGAGGACGGGAAAGAGCAAGAAATTTATAGATATAGATAGAGAAAAAGAACGGCAAAACATAGATTGATAGTTTATGATTGATAATGTGGAAAAGAAGATAGATATACAGCGTACACAGGATATAAAAAACAATTGCTAGGTAGATTGATATTTAGTATTTTCCTCTATCCCTCTCTCTCCCATTCTTCTTTTCGACTCTAACTCTCTCTTAATCTAGATTTATTTTCAACATTGAATGGACTGGTTTTGTTATGTCCGATAGCTGCTGTAAACAAAACCTTAATTATCATTATACAATAAGAGGCAAAAAAGTGGCCATCCTTGGTTATTTTAGTAAATACTTGTCATCGTTAGAATTTTTATATTTAGTTGTTTACTGGATACTAAAGAAAAATAAACATTTTAGATATATTAAAAAAGCCAATAAAAAATTAAACTGAATAAAACCATTTTATCAAAAATGTTGCTGTGGAAACAATGAAGGAAATCCCGCTCGTGACACTAATTTTTTCATTTCAAACAAAACCTTTCATAAAAAGATTAATTAATTGAAAGAAGTAATTTGGTCAATAGACCGCTAAATATTATGGAATGAAGAATATATTCAATTCAATACGGATTATTTCCTCCTCTTGCGATGATCACAGATTGCATTCGTCGTGAAAGATTTTATGAGGTTTTGAGTGTAGCGCTTTGGAATATTTTCATATTCCTCCGACAGCGCCATTCTTAATTCCTGCGAATTATATGGAATCACTGGACGACTTTTTACCCTCTTTGACAACTCTTCTCAAATGTGTTCGATCCCTAAGTCGGGACTGCATGCAGACCATTCCAAACAGTGAATTGAAGCCCGATCCAAGTAGTCACCAACTATCTTAGCTGTTGGGGCCTTGCATTGTCATGCATAAAAATAAAACTGTCGCCAATTAGGGGCTTATAAGAAACAACTTCTGATAACACAACGGCAACGAATCAAGCAGCTGGTAGGGAATCCTCGATTATGACCAAATTTGTGCGACCTTCCATAGTAAACCATAACCTCTACATCCCACTTCTCCGGGGTGAAAATGTTGGTGGGATATATCGCTTTCCTGTCGTTGGCCTCATGGTCCTCAGAACATCTCAAACAAATCCTTGACACATCCAAAAACAAGATTTTAGTCCAATCTTGCTCATGTAATTTCTTGCGTAACTTAACCTAGATGTTCTACGTCTTTTCAGAAGTTCTGGACCAGTGCCAGGCTTCCCGCACGAAATCTAGCTTTTGAAAGTAATCGACTTACAATGCACAAACAGACATTAACATTTCTAAATTGTTGACGTCGTTGCTTGAATTCAACAACGGTAGAATGTCGATTACGGAATATATTCGAAACAATAAAACGATCATCTATCTTAGATGTGACACGATGGCGACCTGAATCATGCCTTTTTGAGTAACCTCAAATATCTTTTTGCGATGGAAGACCCTTCGGACAGTTGTTCTTGGAATGTTAAGCACCCTGGCCATAATCTTGACTTCTTCCATCCTCCAACAATGCATTGTAGCCACTTAAAACTATCACTCAAACAAATTTGAAACCTAAAAGTGGTACAATTTCAAAAAAATCAAACCAGCGGAACGTTAGATAGAAGGTTTACAGAAAAACCAACATAAAAGAGATTGACTATTCAAAGATTTATTTACAAAATCCAATTGTAAAAGCAAGTTGAGATTTTATCTGTTTTATTTACCTACCTCTAATCCTTTAAAACGGACCAAATATTGTTGTAAGATAATCAGTGGAAGATTGTCTAAGAGATAATTAAAAATATGGATGGCCTCATTTTTGCCAGTCAGTGTGTATAATATAAGAAATTACTAATAGTGCTATGGGGGAAAAACCCAGTTCACAAATAGTTCGCGTTACTAAGAATGGATGTCCATAATAACACAAACCGTTAACAAATCTGGATAATAATAAATTTAACAACTATGAACTCATACAAACGATAGTGCTTTTTGTTGTTTTCTTCCTGGCATTGATCAGGATCTTGTTTGGCAAGGATGAAGTGTTTTTAAATAATAAGCGTTTGTTTTCTTTTCATCGCGGAAGCAATTACAGAAGAGATCGTTGTCTCGGCCGCTTCAAGGCCTCAGAGGTCAGACTGCAGATGAACCATCTCAGTCGGGAAGATGGCCATAAAGAAGCGATAATCCCGCATGGGATTAAGTTAAAAAGTAATTAATCGGAAAATGATAAAATACAAAGGACTGTAGCGTATCGTAAAACGTTTTGAAATAATTATCAAATTTTGTTTTGTTTTTGAGTAGAAATTAAACGACTCACCTCTGTTGACGTGACGTAATGCAAGAGAGCGGCTATGAGATAGAACCACATCCTTGGCTCTAAAAAGAAGAAACAAAAATATTAAAAATTAAACAATATAATTTTATACACAAATAGAACAAATTAGCAAACATCAATTGTAATTTTTTTAATTATACTTCTATTTTTTTTTTTTTTTTGTACTTTCTCCTTTGTAGGTGAAACAATAGTTCCTCCAAAAGGTTCTTAATTAGTCAAATAAAAGTGTTGAAAATTGAGCCAAAAGTGAAACTGTGGGAGTCGTTTTGGGGCAGCCCTTTTCACTTTTGTTTCCGTCAGATGGAAAAACGATCCTCCTAAGATGGTCCGCCTGTTCTCGCTGCTTCTCGGCAACTTTCCCCGGTGCATAATGTACATCTAACCGGACCAAAGTTCTTTTTTTTTAACACAATTTAAAATACTTAAATATGCTATTTGTGAATGTATCAACAACACAGATCATTAAACATTAGCGAAACATAAAATGTTCTAAAACCGGAAGGATTGAATTGGGATAAGAGTTTCGAGTTAAAATAGAAGATCTGCCATATCGAATAGTCAACAAATACTGAATCACTGATCATATGATACTTTGTATGACCTAATATTTTTTTGATCATAAGTTCCTTCAAAGAACTTTCGACTATATTGATTTGTATGAAATATAAAATTAAAATACACTAAAGTTATTTTCAGTTTCAATGTTAACATTTGATTTATAATTTGATTTGCTTCTACCGCGGAACTGGGCGATTATTTTCGGCAAAATTTTAAAATTTCCGCAATCGAAAAGAAAATTAATTAATTTACTGGCCAAGGACTGCGTAAATGAGAATGTTTAATCGATATAATTAATTTATACAATTTTCCAGATATAAAAGGTTATCCTTCGAAAGATAACTGGTCTTTAGTCTGCTTATAACCGTTAAAAAATGTTATAATTTTGCTTATGTTGATAAATGAATTAATAAATATCAAGAGTTACAATTCCTGTTTATTTGTTACAACTATAATATTGTTTTAATAAAATTTTTATTTTTATTTTGGGTATATTTTTTTAAGTTGATTGAATACCCTTTTTTTATTAATTTGTTTTATATTCGTTAAATATATATTTGATACTTATTGTTTAAAATAGCATCTTATTTTATCAATTTTGCTTATTGATTGTGTACACTTTCTTCTTTTATCCAGATCACCAATCATATCTGACGTGATTGATTCAATTAACTAATTGCCTGCCCTCTTCCTCCCCCAGGGCTGTTTTCTCAGGGTGTTCCATCGTTTTCCGCGAAAACATTGCGGCTCATTGAGTTTGGGGTGTTTGTTTTAAAGTTTCCTGCGGTTTTACAATCCAATGAATCGGGCACCGTGTGCTCCCTCGGTCTTTTTCTGCTTTTTCGACCTTGGGGTTTTTTTTCGACCTCAAACTGTCCTTGTTCTTTAAACGATTCGGTTTTTGAAACGGGGGAGGGGAGATTTTTCGAAGCCCGTTTACACGCATTTTGCGTAAATTGAGGAAGAAAAAAAATTCGCTTTGAAAATTGAAAATAGTTGGATAGCAGGCTGGATTGACTACTGGGAATGTCTGTTTTGAATGATGTCTTACTTAAATCACCAATTTATGTCCATATTGTTATAACACAACTCATAAATTTTGTATGTTTACTTAATACTGAAATTTATCAGTAATTAGTAACCAAACGTCTTCCCCCTTTTTACAAAATTAAAAATTGACATTGAACAAATTTGAATTTTAGATCAATTCGGAATTTAAGTCCAACTATGGGTCTTTTAAAAAATTGATTTAAAACAAAAAGAAGTTTTGTATTTTACAAACAACATCCTTTTCAATAATAGAATGTAGAAAGAAAGCAAAATAATATTATTCATAGATTTATTTTTGATATTTGTCAAGGTAGATAGGTAGATGCCCCCTCCGACGAATAACTTTCAATAAAATTTGCCGTGAACGGCGTAATTTTAATACCGATGAAAAATATGGAGTTTTTGAATATTCGTAAATAACAAAACTGTTGCAAATTAATAAACAATTGTATTGATTCCCCCCGCATGATTATGAATGATCCCCGAGCGTTGAATTTTGAAACAGATGTTAATCACTGGCCATACAGGCCGTGAAGTGGTTTATTTTAATTCAAATTTGACGTTCAATGGAGTGGAGAGTTAACGGAATCGATATTAAATACTTTTGTTTCCTAGTTTCAATAATTTTCTGATTTCATCATTTATTCAATCTTGCTTGGTACAATTTTGTTACAGATTTGTCAGAAGTGTTACAAACTCTGTTTTTGTTCTGTTTTTAACTGTACATCATTGGGATAAATTTCGATTGAAATATAATTCATAAAAGTTGAATGTAACTTTCTCGGCCTTGGTAAAGTTCGAGCCTGGATGAGATTTGCGGCTGGAAGAGCGCCGTTGTGGATTATCGTTTTCCATGTTACGAGTGGCAAACTCGTAAACAGTTATCAGTTGTTCAACTGCAACACGTGTCCTTAACTGAGTAGCCGGGTTGCCAGTAAGCCTGTTATCGATTATATCACGGCATAATCATCAGGATTTTCCGCCAGTGATTCAGCTCTTCAAACGGGCCCTTCATACGGGCTGTGGAGATAAACCCCGGCTGGGTACATTCCTCGGTTGTTATGGCGATGATTACAGATGTAGATTAAAACCGCTGGAAAGATGAAGATGATAACGGGCAATTATAAACACAGATACACCATACAGACTATCAATGTCAAAGAAGACTCTTTTTTTAATAAAAACCTCATGTACAAACGTCTTCTTTAAAATCAACTAGTCCTTTTTGCTTCTTCAGATAAAGACGTTATTCATAATCAAACCATCCTTTTAGACATCATGAATACTAAAACGTATATAAAATAGTTGTGTGTGTGTGTGTGTGTGTGTGTGTGTGTGTGTGTGTGTGTGTGTGTGTGTGTGTGTGTGTGTGTGTGCGCGTGTGTGTGAATAAAACAGGGTTTTTCACCACTAGGGGTGGTAGGGGTAAAAATATTAGTGATTATTGCTGTACTCTGTCAAACAGCGGCTTCTCGCCATCTTCAGTGCTGGGTGTGTGTGATTTCCGTTCAATCATTATGAAATGTATTCGACTGAATCCAGACTCAACAGAAATTCTCTGACATTAAAACAGCGATGACAGACCAAAGTGATAGGAAACGACCGATGAAACTTTTAGATACATTCAGATCCACTTATGATAATATGAATATTCTAAAACGACATAGATTATAGCGAAATCAATATTTGTTACACCAAAATATTTACATTCATGGGGAAGTAGATGAAGGGAGGATGAACAGAGGGAGAGGGAGAGGGAGAGAGAGAGAGAGAGAGAGAGAGAGAGGGAGAGAAAGAGTCAGACATAACGACAACGACAGACAGAGGGAGAGAGAGAGAGACAAACTAACAGAGAGAGAAGCAGACAGAGAGAGATACAGAGATACAACCAGGCAGGCAGATAGCTAGAGAAAAGGAGGGAGGTAGCGATAGAGGGATTGGAAGTGAAACTGATGCAGTGAGGAAGTGACAAATAAAGGTAAAGAGAAAGAAAGAGGGAGGGGGAGAGAGAGTGAGCGAGAGAGAGAAGGAAGGAGATTGGAAGTGAAACTTATGCAGAGAAGAAGAGATAGATAATGGTAGAGCGAAAGAGAGAAAGAGAAGGAGATAGAATATGAAGACTTAGGCAGTTAGGATCTTCTTATAGAACATCCTTCCGATAGATAAAGATAGAGCGAGATAGAGAGTGTGAGAAAGAAAGAGATAAATAAACAGAGACGCAGAGAAAAAGAAAAGAAAGGTAGGAATAAAATAAACAGAGAGATACAGTGAGAGAGAGAAATGGGAGGAAAAGCGAGAGCGAGAGAGGGAGAGGGAAAGAGAGAGAAAGAAATAGGAGGAGAGCGAGAGAGAGAGAAATGGGAGGAGAGAGAGAGAGACACTGGAGAAGAGATGGACAAACCGACAGAGATGGATAGAGAAAAAGTTATTATATATATATAATACATAGACGTATTTAGGTATATAGAACGATATACATATATATATATTGAAAAAGGGAGGAAGCTGGGTGGGTAGAAAGATATAAAGGCACATAGATAAGTAGGTACATAGGTAGAAAGAAATGGAAAAACAATGGTTGATATGAAAAAGACATTCAATAAGGTATTTAAAGATTTGTTATTTTAATTACAGAAAGAAAATATATAAACAAAATAAATATTTAGATAGATAGATTATTAAAAAAAGAAACCGATACAAAAGAAAGAACGAGAGAAATATGGATACAGACAAGAGCAAAGAGATCGATAGAGATTGATTCATTGTAACTGGTAGTAAAATCATGTTGATTGTTGAAAGAAAGATACATATTGATAAAGGAAGAGTGAAAGAGAGAGGCATTTATAAATATAGATAAAGAAAAAGAGAAAAAATAGATAAAGAACTTACTTAATAAAAAAGGGAGGGAGAGAGAGAGAGAGAGAGAGCGTAAGGGACTGACAGATAGTCAGAGATTGATTGATTACGATTGATAGTGTGTGAACGTACTAGACATCCATTAAAAAACAATTAGTTCAGAAATATTTTAATTGAGACCAATCTTTTGAACATACTGAATCAGTTTTTACATTATTTCAGAGAGGTAAATATACCTACATGATATATTTAATAATTAATAGGTAATAAATGGAACAGTTTTATGTGTATTTAATTAAGTATTGCACAATATATAATTTCGTGCAAAGACCATTCTTAAAAGTGGTAAAAATTTGTAATCAAAAAATTCTAACTTCAGGCGAAATGAATTTTAAGCATAAAATGCTCTACTTTTAAATAAAAATAAGATCAAATTTTCAGGGCTTATTTTATGTCGATCATTCCTTTAAAATACGGGTTTTATTATCGTAGTGGTTCAGCGACAAATTCTTTTGACAACCTCCTTCAGCATTTTACAAGTCACACTGTATGCATGTTCATTTCATGTAAAAATCAATGGGAACAAGATAAAATTAACAAAATAAAAGCAGTATTTCGGCGAACCTATATAATTATTACATTGATTTCATAATGAGTTCTGCTTCTTATTCTTCAATTTATTTTTTTCAAGAATATTTTATCTGTGTGGTTTGTATACTAAAACTTGATTCAATGGGATAAATAAAAATTCATTCAATGGGATGTTTTTTCGACAGGATCTTTTCTGGTTCTGCCCATTGTCATTGTCGTCCTTGGTCAACAGTGTTCGGCTTTGTATAATCAGAAACAGGGCCAAACATGTAATTCGGCCCTTTTCTGTTTCTTTAAATTGTAATTTGGACAAAATTACAAAAGTTACATCTGAGACGGGTTGAAGTCCAACCGCTGAAAACAGCTCAGCGAACTACCCAACCGACTGAACCCGTTTGAAATCGCCCTAAAATAGTTTTCTCTCTAATTACAAAAGTTAGAGAGAGAAATTCTCCCGGTCTCTCGACACGTTAGAACCTTGTACTAATCCACAGAAATAAATGTTTGGCATAAAAAATACACGTAAATATTTTATAGGAGGTATTGCACATAAGCTTAAGACTTGTTTTATCAAGCCTCAATTGGATTTTTATGAATTTTCTTTCTCTTAAACGGCAAAAGAAAAACACCCTTGAAGGAAGTGGTCCTGACCCGGTTATCTGGGAAAATGGTTTTTCTCCAATTTCCCCCGTTCTGTGAATGTTGGTCAAGATCTTGGGGTCAGGCTATAGCCGGCCTCGCCGATGCGGAGGGGGAAAAGTGAAAGGGAAAGTTTTGTGGGTTACCGTGACTACAGCCGGCGCAAATGATCTTGCGCAACTTCCTATATTACATACGATTATAAAAGCCAGCCTCGGCCAAGCATGATCCCAATATGCTGAATGTATAATGCTAATTACGCTCTAAAACCTGTAATCGTGCCAATTTGGAAAATGGCTAAACCGCCTGGAAGAAAAGCACAAGCTCTGGGCCAATCTGACAAATCTGACAAAGCTGTCAAAGTCTGTTTGTTTTCTTTATGTGTATTGTTAAAACTTCAAAGTGCTTGATCATTAATAGCTTCCTGATTTCTCAGAAATACACCCAAAGGCCGAGGAGCAGAACTTTTGAGCAAAGTTAGTTTCCCTAACCATTCCCAGTCTTGAACTCTTGACTTATCCCACTTCTATTACAATTATAATCGATCCTTAGAATATTTGCCATGAAACAAAATACTATAAACAATGTGCTTTTTAGTTTAACGTTATCTGTAGCCTATAAGAACAAAGTGTATGTGGTCAATCAGCGTTCTAGGTTAAGGTATGTCAAGACCTTTCAATGTAATCTACACTATAGACTAAACCTGACAAAACTATTTTAAAATTGACGAAAGGAAATCGTATAACCCAAATTAAGTTTGAAATCTCATTAGGTTCTAGGTTCAATTAGAAAAAACATACAATTTTTCTAGTTGAAAGGGAAAGGAGACATTTTTCATTTGGACTTGACTTGAGATTGTTTCTGTTAGTCACGAAGTAAAATAAAACCTGTATCGGATAAAATCAAATGCTTCAAGAAGATCTTGAAATCATACTGGATTTAATGAATAAATATGAGCATTTATTAAACGCTGTAATGAATGCCAATGGGAGAATGTAAATATTCCATCGCAAATATACCTTTAAAAAAAGTCCTTTCTCGTTTTTCAAATAAGCATTTATTCAGTAAACCTACGAGACCATGCAACCCGATGTTCGTTTAAGGCAAGCACTGTGAATTTAAACGAGCATAACTCATTGTGTTCGGAATGGCAAAGTAACGTTCACCTTGACACCCCGGCCATACGAATGTTACGACCAAATCTGGAGTCGACCCGGGGGTAATGAAGATCCTCCGATCGGCCGACGACGGAAACATATGCAAATCGATCCTTTCAGCGGTTGAAGGACGTGCGCAGAGGACGGACGATATTCCATCGGCCTTCCGTCCGCAGTCTTGCTCAAAAGATGTCTGGGTTCAAGTTTAAGAGCCGTCGAATCACTATTGGACAAGGCCTCGTGAAAATAAATCCAAAAATAGAGAGCCAAGGATCTTAGTTGAAAACACATAAACTAAACGGATTTGCACACCGTGAAGTTGAAAAAGCTAAAAGCTTGACATGATGACCCCAGTGAACTGATGAATTTGGCATCATTTTTTCTGGCCTTTTGACTAATTCTCTATTGATTCTTTTTTGGCTTTTCTCAAAGACTTCAAAGCTTCTTCAATTTTTTTTTTTTTTTTTTTTGAACTGCTAACATTATTTATGCTTTATAACTAAACTACAATAAAAACGATAAATCAAGTTCTACAAACGATTCTCGTTTGGAATCTCCCATTGTTATATTTAAACGTACTTTTACTCCTTTTTGCTTTATTATTCCAGTTGCGCATGACGTCTCTAAACCGCAGGATAAGTTGTTTTTTTAAGGATCGATTTTCCCAGGGAGAAAATCTACTTGATTTTTGTCTTACCTTGAGATGGAATTTTGTTGATCAGGCGTTCTCCTCTGCCTTGGTCATCAATCTTGCTTCGGCGTTACTTTTACACTCAAATTCATTTTAATAACGCGGAATATATGACAAATTAATTGAATAACTGATTTTTTTGGGTAAAAAAAAGATATTTTCAATATTTTCGCACTGTTTAATGGATTATATCTCTTCACTCCCGAGTCTTCATTATCCTGTTCCGTGCGTGTTTCGCTTGAGTCTGCACCTACAAAACAAAGTTTTTTAGTTTAAAATAAAACTTCTTTTTAAAATAGTTTAAATTTGTTCATTTACGTATTAGGGAAAAGGTAAAACTTGGATGATTTATCAACCCTCAACATCAAAATTATAAAGTTGTGAGAGAAGGTTCACAGATTTCTAGCAGTAATGTTTTTTTAATAAGATTTATATAAAAGGGAAAGTATATTTAGCCATTTTTAAAATGAAACAGTATATTAAATATTAAACTGAAATGATCTTACAAAATCAACTTTTTTGGTTGGATATGTTGGATTGTTTTAATCAAATTCTACATCGTGTCTTTATTTCGTTTTCTAACTTTATTTTATCAAACGACGTAATGCGTTGACGCAAAATGTAACATTACCGATAAAAGTATCTATTGTTTCCTCCCATAAATCTGAACTAATTTAATGCCAAAGTGGAATTAATGTCAAACATGATAGTCATTTGTGACACTTAAAAGAGATAGGAAATTTCCCGGAATAATTTCCAACCGAAAAAAGGCTAAACGTGTAATTGTACATCATGACAAAGAGATACTTTAACGGCAATAAAATTATTTAATTTCTTTTTCGACATTTTCTGTTACTTTTATACTGTTCTGATGTACAAATTTCATATTGGGAACTCATTAAATCCTTTTCCATCGCCATCGATGACTTTATTTTTTTAATTAACAAATAGTAATAACGAGTCATTTAATATCGTTTGAAACAAAAGGTTTTATTGCTAAATGATAATTTGATTTTGATAAAAATGTGAAAAATCCAGTTGCAAACTTTTTTTTAAACAGTTAGTTTTTGATATCTAAACAGCAAAGTTTTTCATTTGAAAGCTGTTTAATTACTTTTACGGTTTAACATTAGCATAAAATGTTATCGAGTTTGCTGTTATCATATTTTGAAGGAAATTATGACTACTCCATTGTGACAGTCATTCGGCCAAGAAGTTATCTCGAATCATTTATAAATAAATAAAAATAAATTTCTAAACACAGGTTCCAAATTTAGCCTAAAAGAGAAACTTATTGATCTGAAGACAATAAATTTGCATTTTGCATCGTCGTACAAGACTTTGATCATTCACAATAAACTATTTGTTTAATTATTAAGGTCTAATTAAAAATTGAAAAGGTGAGCTTTTTATAATTTTAAACAACTGCATATATGTAGTTTAATTTTTACACTTTTTTACATATATGTAGTTTTATTAAAAATCTACCTTATTATTACGGTAGTTTGAATACTTTGTCAGATTTTTCATGAAATTGATCAAAGTATATTTTTTTTTATTGTTACATATTTATATGTTCTTGCTTATAATGATCGATTTTCTGTAAATAATTATGAATAAATTTAGTTTTTTTTTAAGTTGATAACACTGACAGTAAATACTAAGTATAGTTTTTAGTAAAGCAACTGTTGTATTGAAAAAAGTTAAAGATCTGTAGTCTTCGGAGTCGAACTCAGGTCCTCTGAGTATTTTACCGCAGAAATGTTTCTCCTTTTTTTCTTTGCTTGAGTACCTCAAGGCCTTAATGCTATGAATATATTTTATCTCTTGTAAAAGGGTTCTTGGAGGCCATTTTAACAGCCAAGGCCGTTTGAACCCTTCCTATGGTTGTCCATCCGAGATCTCATGCCAATCTGACAATTTGCAATAAATCTGATTATTATGCCGATTTTAAATAATATAAAACAGAGATTTCCCGTTATGTATTTAAAAAAAAGACCTCTATATTTTGTGTTCAAACCTTCAAATATACATTAAACTTTGGCCGTTCAGGAAAACAAGGTATTTTTGAAAAACGTTAAATAATTTACTTTTGTTGAACCGGATTATTAACCGAATGAAGTAAAGACGACAAAAAATGAGATTATTTGCTTTATACATTATTTTGAAAAATAAAAAGTAAACGATAATGAAGAACAAAATAATGTAATATAGTGTAAAAGGTTCAGTATATACAGTTTATTAGTGTAAATTCTTAATATTTTGTACCCTTTTCTTAAAAAGTTATACAACGTTCAAAAGTTAAATTTTGAATTTTAGGCACTTTTTAATCTCGGGTAAAATCCGAGAGCAGTGTATTGAATTTTTTCAAGAACAGATTTTTTAAACAATTAATTAATTGAAATTAATTTAAAAAGCACTGCACTTTACGTTTTTAGTGGTCGATTTTATAGCATTATTTTGCAAAAACGGTTGGATAAAATTTATCATTAGGAAGTTGTAAGGAAACGTCCATCCTGCCCGGAGGGCCTAATCGCACAAGAAGCATATGGCGGTGAGAACGACTAGTTTTCAGACCGCTGGTTTATTTCTATTGATCGTTTAAGCTCCTTAAGTTTTAGTTTTAAAAATAATTTTTTATTCGCAACAAGAACTTACGGTTATTATGCACTTGGCCGGCCTTTCTCGTTCTCACTTGGAAATAAATCTCAGCGAAAATCAATCGGCTTTTTATGTCCTCTCATACAGTCAAAAGCGCACTAGGAAAATAATCGACTATCACATTCAAAATTTATCCCAAAGGGTCCGAAAAATCGAGGGATCCGAAAAAGAAAAAAAACAACCCGAGGCTCTGGGAAGCCAAAACGAAACTGAAAAACAAGTGAAAGTGAGTCCCTCTCTCTCGCTCTTTCTCTCTCTCTCGCTCTCCGGGGAGGAAGGTCGGGGAGCGGGAAGTGGGATCTGGGAATGGGTGGGGGATGAAGAGGCGGAACCCTAGGGAACGGAACCCTAGAGCTAGAACCTTATGGTTTAAAGCCATAGCTATACGGCTTGCTCCTGAAAGCTCCCCGAGGGCTGTATCTATAACCTTTTTGATCAAAGACGTCAAAATATGACCTTAAAACTGGTCACTTTTGACTGCTACAAATTATCAAATTTAACCACACTAAGAATACTTTTGTTCTAACTTTTATCGCCATCCAATTTTTATCCAACAAAAACTGTGGTTTTTTTATCGTTTTTTAATGATGAAAGGTAGAATTCACACCGCGCCCGGAAAAGGTAGCGGGTAAAAACGCATAACAATTATGTTAAGCAATTCAGTCTAAAATAAAAACAGCATGAATCACATACACATGTAAATAAATATTCGATGAACGTGTCACCGGATGTGCCGATGCTTTCAATGACCCATCCGCCAAATTCTTCATCTTTGTCACACAAGGAATTCCCTCCTCTTAACGGAGACGTTTTACAGGTGAGAGAATGCATTATGCTTTCCCATAAAGCAATATAAATCCATTAATTAATTATTTCAACACGCTGACCAAGCATTTTTCCCACTATGTTGGTGCAATGCGTATTCTTCAGTATGCACTAAATCGTATTTAAATTTTGAATGTTTTTGCTTTTATATCTGCATCGAATTTGCCAATTTGAAAATAATATGTGAGCCTTGGGTTATTTTATAAAAAACAGCTATTTAATGTTAACAGTTTTATGGCATGTAGCTATTTTGGTCGGCTGGTTCATAGGCAACAGGTCCATCTTCCCCGCAGACGTCAACTGAAAATCACCCAATTTCGTAACAGTCTAGACCAGCAATAGTTCCACAAATTACTTACGTCAGTTGAAAAATAGAATCCTCATAAAAATTGTAAGGCTGACAAAATTAAGTTTGACCTTAATCAATGAAGGGACGGTCTGGTATTTTAAGGAAATCTGGGTTTTAACTTTTTAATCCGGAAAGAACGAATGATTTAAAAAATACATCTCGTATTTTACAGTATACTGTCTTATTTGGTGGTTATTCTCATTAAAATTTAATTGATTTGAACAATAGTTCAAAACTCGAAGGTCCGCCTGTTCTCGCTTTTTCTTTAAGTTAAACTGAATAAGACATACAGATTAAAACGTTGTGGCTTATAATACAAACTTCTTTCAAAAGTCAGACTCAAAAAAGGAACTTCACAAATTTTTTTTTAATCAATCAGGAAAATCTATGGAGTACTTTAAAAAAATATAACATGTGTTTTACGTCTTTGTGGTTATTTTCGTTACAATCTTTTTGGTTTTAACAATGGTACAAAATTCGACGGTCCGCCTGTTCTTGCTGTTTCTTGAATTTAAATCAACACAAACCTACAATTGAAACGTCGAAGCATAAAATAAAAACGTATTTAATAAGACAGATCAAAAATAGATACTTCATAAAATTTGTGAAACTGGTCAAAATGAAGTTTGACCTTAATCAATGAAGCTCGCTTTTTCTTTAAGTTAAACTGAATAAGACATATAGATTAAAATCGTTGTGGCTTATAATACAAACTTCTTTCAAAAGTCAGACATAAAAAAGGAACTTCATAAAATTGATTAAGCGCACAAATGTCCAAACATTCAGACTAAAATGAAGTTTATTGATCAATGAAAGGACGGGCAGTTTGAATTTGTTTTTGTTTTTAATCAATCAGGAAAATCTATGAAGTACTTTAAAAAATATAAAATGTATTTTACATCTTTGTGGTTATCTCGTAATGGTACAAAATTCGATGGTCCGCCTGTTCTTGCTGTTTCTTGAATTGAAATTTCCACAAACTTACAATTGAAACGGCGTAGCATAAAATAAAAACGTATTTCATAAGACAGATCAAAAATAGATGCTTCATAAAATTTGCGAAACCGGTCAAAATAAAGTTTGATCTTAATCAATGAAGGGACACGGTCTGATATTTTATGGAAATCTGAGTTTTAACCTTATTAATCTGGAAAAGCCAAAGAATATATCTCGTATTTTTACTGTATATTGTGATTTTTGGGGGTTATTATCGTTAAAATTTTACTGATTTGAACAATGATTCAAAATACTATGGTCCGCCTGTTCTCGCTTTGCCTTGCAGTTAAAACTCCCACAAACGTTCAGACTGAAACTTGTATAATTAAAATAAAAACTTATTTTATAAGTCTTAAAAAACTCCATAAATACTGTGAAGCTGACCAACATATAGAGATCTAAACCAATAAAGAGACAATCTGGTATTATTAATAAATCTGGAATTTAATCTTATTAATCCTCAAAATCCAACAAGTGAGTTTAAAAAATATATCTCGTATTTTACTGTATATTGTGATTTTGGGGGTTATTATCGTTAAAATTTTACTGATTTGAATAACGGTTCAAAAGATATGGTCCGCCTGTGCTCGCTTTGTCTTGAGGTTAAACCGAGTTCCCATTAAAGCGTTGTAGCATGAAATAAAAACTTATTTCATAAATCAGTTGGAAATAGAAAATTCATTAAATTGGAGAAGCTTACAATGTCCATTCTGGCCAAAATGAAGTTTACTGATCAATGAAGGGATGGCCTGATATTTTAAGAGAATCTGGGTTATATCATTAATGCTGAAAATCTAAGGAGAATCTTAAAAAATATACCTTGTATTTTACAAAATAATGCGTTTTTTTGGGTGTTATTCTCGATGTAATGTAAATGATTTTAACGATGGTTTAAAACTTGACGGTCCGCCTGTTCTCGCTTTGTCTTGTAGTTAAACTGAGTCAGACGTTCAGATTGAAACGTAGTCAAACAGAGTAAAAACCTCTTTTTATAAATTAGATAACAAATGATTCGTCATTATTAATTACAAACAACGAGTTCCACAAGGGTGCCGCCCTCGATGTTACGAAACCGCCCTCTTTTCAAAATGATTCTATGCCATGATTTTCGATATTCTTTAAAGGCAAAAAAAAGGCAAAAGAAGGGCAAAGTTGCGTAAAAAAATTAACCATCCGGCGGTGTATGAAGGCGACAGAGCGATGAACGAAGTGAACCGAGTGCTTTTCTCTCCCTCGCACCTTTGAGCAACCGGCATCGCTCCCTCTCTCAGGGACGGATTTCGTCCTGTTACGAAGGAAGGAGGACAGGCCAGGCGGAACATGAATCTTTTAAAATCCTTCTGACCCGTTTCTGTTTGCATTCTTTCAACTCTTATCGGTCTCCAACTCTGCCCCTAATACATACGGAATTGTTATTCATACATTCGTTATTATTACAAGCGTTTAATATTCATATTCGCTCTTAGGTAATGGAGATTGTGACGATATCGCACATCCAGCAAGGATTTGAGGATTACAAATGGAAATGTAACATCCCCCGAAGAAGCCGGGATATCTCAAGATCCTGAATTTCTGGAAGCTACTGAATTAACCAAGAACTTCAACTGCGATGTTATACTACAAGGACAGCACCTCCTATCCACTATATTCATGACCAGTTGCAAATATTGCAAAATGATAAAAAGGTATAATAAAAATTAAATTGTTAATATACCAGACGTGTCTTTTACCAACCAACTAAACTTGACGAATAATTCAGGTATCTTAACTACATACAGACATTATATGACCCGATTTACGACAACAAATTGGTAGAAATATATAATGTTTACATATTAAAAAATATGCTTGAAGTAAAACAAAATGTCCAATGCTTTTAGCTTGATTAATTGAATGTCCCAAATTAAATAATCCTGGGTCTGTGTGTTATTTAAAGTTGGTTTGCCTCCGATTGTATGAACTCGTGTTAAACTGAAAGTTACTTGGCGGTTTGTTGGATACGTCTATTTTCCCTGTTAACATTCGGTTAAAAAAAATCAGAGTAAAATCTTCCGAAGTAAAAACCTTCAACAAGTTCAAAAATAAAATATGGTTGAATAAATCTATTCGCTGAGCTTACAAAAAGCAAAGTCGACAAAGAACTCACAGAAGGACATCAACACTCTACAGCCTCAGAAATAACCACTGGCTTCAATAAAACCACCTAGGCAACACACTAAAAAAACTAATTCAGTACCAGCGAGAATAAACGGACAAAGAAAAAATTCTTATCACAACCAAAATCAGTTCAATACGTGTGTTATTTAATCAGTTGAGGCCTTTTTATGCGTTTTGGAAAAAGAGACAGTTATTTTAGAAAAAAAACAACTCAGCAATATTTTTTAGGAATGGTTGTTTCGGAACATCCTGGTCTGTCTAGTCTCTCTGGTTTTTGCCAAGTAAGGCGCGTTGAATGGTTCGTCTGTGTGTTGTTTTCTCGGTCGTGTCCTTTTATTGGTTTGGAAAGAATATACGTAAGTGTTAATAGATAAGCAGATTAGTTGGGGTTTGGGTGTTTCGATTATTCCGGTCTGCCTATCTCTCTGGTTTTTCCAGTAAGATGCCTTCGGTCTGTTTGTTGTTTTGTCAGTCGTGTCCTTTTTATGCGTTTGGAAGTGCACACGTACGAGATTTGGAAGAAAGCATGCAGCGATCCTATTTGCGGTTTGCTCCTGGTCTCACTGGTTTTGCCCGTCAGACGCGTCTCAGCAATGCAACTTGTTTAGTGATTGATCTGCGATTTATTTTGCAATTAATAACAAACTGAACAAACAAATTTAAGACTGATTTAACTGAACAAATCAAAGAGCAACAGATAAACATCCATAGGAGTTATTTAAATTTTTACCAAATGGTGTCCAACTTTTAGCCAATTTATCAGGAACGCACATGAAAAAATGGGCATTTAATGTTTTCAAACTGTCGAGGAAATTATAAACGAATCGGTTACGGGTTTCATGGGCGGGTTTATACCGCAAAGAACCCTTTCGGTTAAACTTTAGGGTTGCGGCCGTCTCTGTGTACCCTGTACCCTGACCTTTCGCCCTTCAATTTCCTATGCCTCTCCTTGACACGGAATCTACGTGATTTTTTGGCATTGATCCACAAGTAGAGGGTCAAAACCGGGTCAAAACATGTTCCGGCACCCAACGACCCCGCGATGACAAATGTATTATGTATACGTTCTTAATGCACTCAGGATTACATCTCGCTTAAATGTGACCTCTCTAAAATGGATTATATTAGGTATTAACGATCAGGAAGGGGGAAAATTTTAAAATGCGTTTACCAAATTTGTCATACAATCTTCTGTCAGGCATTCTTTAATTCCTTGCCAAGAGAATATTATGTTGTATATCTTCCAGTACTTTCTTCACGCAGAAATTACTCAAAAAAAACATTCTTCTTGTCCATACGCTTATTGTAATTCCTTGTATATCGCCTGATAAATAACAATGTATTTGCATTCAAAACAGTTACAAAGATTTTACGAAATCGACTGTTACTTTTGAGGAATGCCTACACGGCTGTTACATAAACTAATGTATGCATTAATCCATTGGAAAGGAAAGATCCTATAAATAGCCAAATGCAACATTTGACTAATATAAGAGATTTCGATCGTAAAAGATCACCTCATTAATTAACCTATTTCGCTTTATTGGGAGTGGCTCATGAACTTTAACGTCGGGTCTTCTTTCGAGCGTTTCTGGCCAAGCAGTCCTGCCGAAATGCCACACGACCGTTTGAAATCAAAGGACAAAACGTGGCAAAAACCGTGATTTCTGAGTTCCCAGAGTGGAAACCGAAGGGGGTCAGGGTCAAATTGGCCCCCTCCGCAAAAATCTCGCTGTTGACCAACGACTTCCATGCCGTAAAAATCCTTACTTTGCCCCCTACTCCTTTTCCATTATTTTACGTAACGGTCTCTCTCTCCTGTTCATTTCTCGTGCTCATTAACCTAATCCAATCGTTTAATAATTATTTCCTAATTTGCCGATGAAAAGGTTGCGACAGGGCTGATTTCGCAGTGCGCTCAAGCCATCAGTCAATTTGGTTGAACTTTCAGCCTGTTATCTCATTTACCTACTCGCTTACAAGCGTACACCTGCAATCGACCGAAGGGAAATCGACAAAAAGGGTTCTTCAATTAAATAATATAAAGACTATACATCATATATCGATTTCCTTTTAAAAACAAAGAATATTCAAAAACACAAGGATAATATCGCCATCTTAATTTGAAAGATAGATAAACAATTTTATCGACGAATTGTTGCATATACAAAATATAACTCACAGAGAAAATGGCGGGTGGCGAGGACTTGCTTCGTTTTGTATATATAATATATTAAACAATAAATAAAAATCATCATCTTCACTAGACAAATCTATAATCCTGCAATAGTATGTGCTTAATGAAGAATTTCTTGGTAGCTACTAATGATAATGATAACGTACGCTGCGTGACTGGACATGTTAACTAGACAAATCTATAATTCTGTAATAGTATGGGATTATGAAGAATTTCTTGGTAGCTACTAATGATAAAGTACGCTGTGTGACTGGACATCTTGACTAGACAAATCTGTAATCCTGTAATAGTATTGGCATTATGAAGAATTTCTTGGAAGCTACTGATTATAACGATAATATAGCTTCATCACTGGACAACTTGACTAAACAATCCTTTTATAACATCTGTTTAATGGAGAATCTGTAGGTTTCTGTAAAGTGATTTCTATGTAAAGTGATATGGTATGTTGAACTATTAGAAGTTTGGTGTTCGTTTGGGCAATCCTTGTATTCGTTCTCTTATCTATTATGTGTTCGTCGTAAGAAAGTAAATATATATGGCTTATCTTTGGTAATTATCAGAAGTCCAAAACGTTTTTCCCAAAAAAACTGTTTATTTGGTATTGCATGTAACACTGAAGAAAAGGGTGCAGTCAACAGTATCAATCAATCATTGAAAATTAGTTTAGAATCAAGAGGTAAGCCTAGTACAAAAATCTACATTTCATCGACCTTTTATTTTATGGGAAATAAACTTCCTCAGTATTGTGAGTAGTACAGTCTTGATCAAATTAATGCTAAAAGTTTCCCATAAATTCATTTCTCTCATGATATTCCGCCAATTCCAAGGCTAATAGGAAATTTTTTTCACTGAACAAACAATGAACCCAATTCCACCCCAAAATGTCATGTTACACAGCTTCTGTTTCTTTCTTTTTTTTAATAATAATATTTATCCGTTGTATAACCAAAAATCGCGCAATCCGGAACTCGCTGCTATGTAGGCAAACAAAGCTTTGCGAAAGAAAACAGCGCCCGCAATACAGGACGTCATCAATCAGAATCGGCGCGACCTGGAAAAGTGAAAAAGTAATAATCATCAAAACTGTTTCGACACAGTGTTGGGAAACGTCGACGGAAGGGTCTATTTACCATTTTGAGGAAGTACGACGACCGAGAACTCGCTCTACACCCAGTGGTGAGATTTAATCACTCCTTATCATTTCATAATATAAATTGATTATTTAACGATATTTTCAGGTCGCTTTAACGTTAAGGTCATTTCTACCTTCGTTTACTTCGGCTATGAGGAAGTTAACATTCCAGCATACTTTCATGTACAACTTGACACAGATTTGGTTAGTACGCATAACCAAGGAATTGGTTCACCTTAATCTATGAATTGAAATCTCCAGGTGGTAATTCATATTCAGACAGGCGAACAAGATGGCCAGAATGATCTTGCTTAAGGTCCCGCGGGGCAGGGAAACACAATTTGATAATTATTGAGAACATTCATGCCCTCCAAACTGATTTGCTGATCGTTCTCTAACAAGTTTCTACAGCTATTAAAGTGTTGCCACTCGTATTTATTTAAGGGGAACCGTTTTCTTTGAACCCAGTTCATATTGTGTAAGAAATGTGATGCATTACAAATTTTTGATCATCTCAATTAAACAACCGATTTTGCAAAATCGCTAAACCTAACAAACAAACACATTATTTTATAAATAATAACAAAATATTTAATTCCTTCAAAAAACCTAGGTTAGAAGACCAGCCAGAGTTTAATGAACGAGTGTTCAGATGACAAGACCTTTAAAGTTTTACGGACAAAAACCAACCTTGGTTGAGGTAGGTAACAAGACTATCGCATTGCGTCAGATGTGTAAGAAATGTGATGCATTACAAGTTTTGGATTATTTTAGTGGTTGTTAATGTGCTCGACAAGAGCCTTACAAAAACTTTAAAATTTAAAGACGAAACCCTAGATTACAAGACCTTAGTTATATGGAACGAAAACATGGGTATCTAAAGTTTACGGACGAGAACCTATGTCAAGACCTTACTTTTGACGAAAACCATTGCCAAGACCTTAGCCTTATGGACGTAATCAATGAAAACATGGGCTTCCAAAGTTTTATGGACGAAAACTTAAGTAGCAAGGCCTTATTTTTATGAATGAGAACCTAGGTTAGAAGAGCTTCCGAAGTTTTACAGGCGAGAACTATTAAAAGAACTTAGTTTTATAGATGAGAACTACGTCCAAATCTTGGTTTTATGGACGAAAAACTAATTTACTAGGACTTTTTTAGTTTCACAAATGAGAAACTATTTCAAGGCCTTTGATTTATGGACGAAAAACGAAGTTTTAGGGAGGAGAACCTATGTAACAAGTTCGACAAGAAGCACTAAGGTTATTAGACCTTACGTGGCACATATACAAAAACCTCGTGGCAAGTCCTTCCAGAGTTACGGACGAAAACCTAGTCTAACCCCGGCGGCTAGTCAGATAAGGCCGACGTCTGTCCCCGGATAAACAACACCAGGTTTGGTTGATTCTCAATTGCCTGCCGGCGATTTATTGTAAATTGCAAAAGCTGGGATTGTCGGTGGACTGCGAGAAACGATAAGCTCAACCCTGCACATATTTGTATGTGCAGCTGGAGGCTAACAAATCCAAATATATATTTTGCAAGACCTTCCAGAGATTACGTTCGTAAACGTAAGTTACTAGACTTTCTAAAGTTCTACTAATGAACCTAGGTTACAAGGATCTTCCTAAGTTTTACGAGCAAGAACCTATGTCTTAGTTTTCCAGGTCCAAATCTTGGTTACAATACCATTCCATCTTATATGAACGAGAACCTAGGTTAGATCTTCCAAAGCTTTACCGCCACACACCTAGATTTGTTGAAGTGTAGAGCATATTGCATTGCGTCCATCATGTAAGAATATTTTGTAAGACCTTCCAGAGTTTACGTTCGTAAACGTAAGTTACCAGACTTATCAAAGTTCTACTAATGAACCTAGCATCTTCCCGAATTTTACGGGCGAGAACCGATGGTACGGTGTCTTAGTTTTCCAGGTCCAAATCTTGGTTAGAAGATCTTCCAAAGTTTTACTGCTACAAACCTAGATTTGTTGAGGTGGCTAAAGTGCCTATTGCACAGGATCCATCATGTAAGGATATTTTGTAAGACCTTCCAGAATTTACGTTCGTAAACGGATGTTACTAGACATTCCAAATTTCTACTAATGAACTTAGGTTACAAGCATATTCCCACATTTTACGGGCGAGAACCGATGGTACGGTGTCTTAGTTTTCCAGGTCAAAATCTTTGTTACATTACCATTCCATCTTGTATTGACGAGAACCTAGGTTAGAAGACCTTCCAAATCTTTACCGCCACAAACCTAGATTTGTTATTTGTTAAAGTGTAGAGCCTATTGCACTGCGTCCATCATGTAAGGATATTTTGTAAGACCTTCCAGATTTTAGGTTCGTAAACGTAAGTCCAAGGTTCTACTAATGAACCTAGGTTACAAGCATCTTCCCAAATTTTACGGACGAGAACCGACGTTACGGTGGTTTTCCAGGTCCAAATCTTGGTTACAATACCATTCCATCTTCTACTAATGAACCTAGGGCTTTCCACGTTTTACGACTAGAATCTATATAATAAGGCCTCAGTTTTTTATTCACGAGAACCTAGGTTAAAAGGACAATGTTTTACAGACGAAAATCCAGGTTATACGATCATTGTATTACAGACGAATACCTATGTTAATAGATCTTACATTATGGACAAAAACTATGAAACAAGGTCTTCAACTTTTTTACGGCCGGAACCCTAGATTACATGATTTCACGAGCCCTTGCAGAGTATTACGAACCTTCAAAATTTTTTATGAATGCCACTCATTCGCGATTTTCAATTGATGCTGGTTGGAAGCTCGTGAACAAGCTCATGAAAATAATTTGTAGATTATTAGATGTGGATGATAAATTTCAATTAGCGAATGCCCTTTTACGATTTCGCCCTTCTTCGGTTGGTTACAGAGGCATTTTCAACAGAAACAACATTTGGAGTGAAGGCGTCGGGAAAGTCAGCAGTAATGACCCTCTTGCATGCCGAGTTAATCAGTTTCTTCTTCTTTTTATTTCCAGTAAAAGAGAGGAAGTCCGTCGATAATCACTTCCTACAAATTTTTACCCATGGCCTCTGTTGAAGGAATTGGCGTTTCATCAAAGCGGCACCAAGCTAGCATGTTCCCCAAGGATAGATTTATTATTATTTCAGTCCGGTAGGAACGGCGAGTCCTTCGGGCCTGGCATTTGCGTTGATTTTCGTTGCCTTCCCCTCCCCGTGGGAACACGTAATAGTGAATGTTAAAAGTCCTCCTGAGGCGGACTGGAAGGAAAAAAAGGCCGTGGACGAAGAAAACCGGCGTTGCCGATTCTACTCGCTTTCACTTTCTGTCTCCTCGGGGACCAACGGGATTTTTCAAAGAGTCCCGGGAAGGAAAAGGGAAGGAGTGTGAAAAGGAAAGGGGAGACACCGGTTATGTCAGCCCGTCACCCTTCTCCATCACGGAAAACGAGGAAATGGCATTTGAATGGCAATACTTAAAAAATTATTATTATTACAGTGCAATTATAATAAACCGAAAAAAACACTATTGTCTATTGACCCCCTCCAATTGATCAAACACTTTCAATAAAGTACAAGCTGTAAAATATGAAAATTTAATTAAAATATAAATATTAAAATAGCCCTCTAATAATCTTATCTAATCGCCAAGAAAACAATATAAATTCTTCTTTTAAATAAAAGATTTCAAAATTTCAACTATCTGCATAAATTACAACACAAGGATTTTTTTTTCCACAATGAAAGCATGAAATGATACCACAAGCAAATTTATATAACGTATTAGCACATGTGAAAGCACTAATATTGGTCAGTGTAACAAACAAAAAAAAACAACTCAAAGCCCACTTATTATTTATTGGTATGCCTCATTGCAAATAAAAAAACAATAATAATAAAAAATGACAATAAAGAAATTTATACACATTTGATAATCCCAGGTCATCGTTAAAATCATATTTACCTCCCTTTATAGCTATTGGCTATCGTGTTTTACATTTATTCTCATACATTTATCATTCACTTTAAACCAATTAAATCAAATAGTCAGAAGTCAATTAAAAAAATTTCAAAACAATAACAATAATAAATTGAAATAAAACTCTTAACTATTGGCCCTATTCCAACTAATCTAACCTTTTAGAAAAATTAATGAAGTAATATAAAATTTTTGCTGAAACTAGGCAAGTCAAGCGTACCATATATTTTTTATTTCAATACGGATTTGTTTTTATACTTATTTTAATTATACTATTAAGTTATCAGTTTAATTTATAAATATGATTTTCAAATTAATAATTTTAAGGTAGACACAGTATTACGTTGTACTTATTTGTTAAATATAACAATAACAAAGCTGCTTAAACTAAGATAGAAGGTTTGGGATGTTAGAGCGTGAAATGACCTTAGCCGTTAAAACTCCCTTAAAAATTAATAATAATAATAACAAAGTGGCTCAAAAGACATTTATTATGTAATAAGGAGAGTTCTGAATTATTATTGCGTTTGTATGTCTGTTGTTTCTCTTTTCTGTTCATCCTCGTTTTCTTATTTGCAAAAGGAAAAAATTACAAAATAACACAGAGACCGACCACTGAAGATGAGATGAAATTCTGTTTTGCAGATAAAACCAGTGAGATAAGGCAGACCAGATGTCCTCAGATGACCAAAGCACAAATAATATATGGTATGCCAGGTTTTTCTTTAAAAAAAAAAAATAATAATAATAATATTCATATGATGCATTTCAGCATTAAATCATTTTTGTAATTGGTCTGTGAGTTATTTATTCAGTCGTGTCTTTTTATTCATTTTAATAAAACAATCTTTTTTTTTTTCAAACAAAAACCTAGTATACAAAATATTTTTTTTTAATCATTATTTTTATCAATTATATAAAGTTTTTTGCTATAAAGTAGTCAAATCATGTGTACTATGTATTTTTTTATTTCAGTAGTGATTTGTTTTTATAGTTATTATTTTAATTACACTATTAACAAATCAGTTTAATTTCTAAATATGATTATATGATATGATAAAAAGTTAATAACAGCAGACCAGCAACTGAAGTTTATTTACTGCTGAAATGCATGTGACATATCAATAATAGTTTATATGATAGGTTTTCTCAACAAAAAATAATAATAATATTCATATGTTAGAAGCATTTCAGCATTAAATCATTTCTGTAGTTGGTCTATGAGTTATTTATTCAGTTGTGTCTTTTTTATTCGTTTTAATAAAACACTCTTTTTTTTTCTTTTTTTCAAACATAAACCTAGTATACAAAATACGTTTTTTCTTTTCTTTTTATCATTCACTTTAAACCAATTAAATCAAACTGTAAGAAGTGAAATAAAAAATGTTCAAAACAATAACAATAATAAATTGAAATAAAACTTGGCATTATTCCAATAAATCTGACCTTTTAGAAAAACTTTAATGAAGAATTATATAAAGTTTTTTGCTATAAAGTAGTCAAATCAAGTGTACTATGTATTTTTTTAACTCAAAAGTGATTTGTTTTTATAGTTATTATTTTAATTACACAATTAACAAATCAGTTTATTTTATAAATATGATTTGATAAAAAGTTAATAACAATAGATCAGCCACTGAAGATTATTTACTGCTGAAATGCATGTGACATATCAATAATAGTTTGCATGATAGGTTTTTCTCAAAAAATAAAAAATAATAATAAAATAAATAAATAAATTTTTAAAAACCATTTGTATGTACTATCAAAGGAAGGACACAATTGGATTAATAACAAACACACAGACCAACTATTAATTACTAAATGACCTGAGACTACCAAAGTACAAACCATATTTTATGTACTAGGTTTTTGTTTGAAAAAAATGATTGTTTTATCGAAATGAATAAAACGGACACAACCCAGTTCATAATGCAAAAACCAACCATCGAAGATGATTTAATGCAATGAAGTCTGACTTGGTATGTTTTTCTTAAAAAGAAAGGTATTTGTTTAAAATTTATTTGTTTGAAAAAAATTGATTGCACTATCAAAGTGAACGGCCACAACTAAGTTAATAGCACAGACCAATCACTGGAGATGATTTAATGCTGGAATATACCTGACCTTGTCTATAATAGTTTCTATGTACGTTTTTCTATCAGAACACGTAAAATGACATGACTGAGTAGGTAACACACTGAACCAGTTAAAATGCTGAACAGACAAACTCAGTGAGAAATATTTAATTAATAAAGCTATGCGCAAAATATCACTCATAAAATCGTTAATTTTGATAAATTTGTGAAATATGAATTTATTATTGTGATTGTATCACAATTATTAGATCCCAATTCAATAGTTACTTGTGTTTAATATTTGGTGATTATCTTGTTCCTTAATTTTTAATAAATTTCCTTTCTGCTCTTAACTTATCTAACATGAATACCTGTTCTAACAAGATCAATTATTATTATTATCAAGGGTATCTTGAAGTTTATTGTCGAATTATTTTTGAACATAATAAATTAAATTAAATTAAGATAAAAAGGTGTTTTAAATTTGAATAGATAATCCAGAACTATCAAGCCTTTCATTTGATATTTTTAATTTAATTATATTGAATAAATAATTTTTATAGTTTATTATCATTAATTTTTATTATGACTTGTTCTCACCCTATTCCCAGCATCGTTAAAAACTAATAAAAATAAATTACACTGTTATCTCTTTATTTATACATGAGCATTATTAAATTAAATTAAAATAATTGTTCATTAGCTTGAACGCTTTATGGACAGTAAAAAAAATTTGTTACTGTCATCAAAACTCTTTTAAATTATGTTTTCCTGAGAAAATGTAAGAAAAATCAATTGGGCATTGAAAAGGTTTCTTGTATTTTAAGTTAAATTGTGTTTTAAGTCTAGAATACATTTCCATATGATTTTTTTTATTAGTTTGCCGTATAATTACAAGCTTTCTGTTATTGTATAGGAAATATAAGATTTGATTTTTACCAAATGGATATTTTTTTGTCTTTGTTTTTATTGTCGTTTCTATTTTCCTTTTATGAATAGTATTTTTTTTTTCATAATTTGAATAAAATTTATCAGGGTAAAGTTTTTTATTTATTTTTTAATTTCTTCCACGGTGTAAACCTAGAATGGCACACCCCCACCTCTTACAAACTTATAAAGAGAATTTACTTTACACAAAAACAGACCACAACAGCGAAGATATATAGGCTAAAATAATCGGTAACCAAATTACAGGTTTATCCATCTTGCAGACCACACAGATAAATATCACAAGTTAATTTTAGATTATAACAAGACATATTTATAGCTTATTAACTATTAACTTTCTGCCAGGCAGGTTTCACTTTGTCATCTTCAGTAATTGATCTGTGTTATTTTAGAAGTAGAAGGAGATCACAGTAGCCAAGTGATTAGCGTGATATATTCTCAGCTCACAGAACCCAGGGTCATAGGTTCAATTCCCACAGTCACCCCTGGTGTTTTTTGTCACTCACCCCTTCCCACCATTTATTATCATTTCATCCTCCTATACAACTTCTTTAAAGTTAAAAAAAAATTGTATTTAATATGACTTGCTGAATGTAAAAAAATCTTAAGTATTCATAGGTTTTTTCCCAAAAACTGATTAGTTGGAAAGAATCAATAGTCAATTAAAGTAAAAAAAAATTTTAAGTATTCATAACTTTTTATATATGATTGCATAGTTAGAATAGGATCAGCAGTCAATAGATGAGGTGTCGGTGACTGCTAAGGTTTAAGCATTGAAAGTGCTCATCACCGTAAAGTCGTCTCAAGTTCAAATCCCGCATATCCAAACTCGACATACAAATGGTTTTTTTTTTCCAAAAACACTGGCACTTTAAGGTTTCGTATAATCTCGTAGTTGAAATATCCATATATAAAAAAACTTGGTTTGGCAGAATTCTGGTGTTGAATATGTTTAATTTAGAAGTGTAAAACTACCATTATTCTCATGAAAATTTAAATTAAAAAACAAAAAAACACTGCGATATCATTCCTTACAGCTTTGTGCACAATTAAATTATCATAATGCTCAATTTCCAGAAAGTACAAATTACTTGGATTGGATAACAAACTGCACAGTCAAGTCCCATTTTTCACTATTTTGATTGTTTATTTAAGCTGTTTGATTTGTTTTAAAATAATTTTACATATATTCTCATACAAAAGGGAATTAATCTATAAAGAAAAGAACTTATATAATAAAAAAAATACAAAAGCTTCATTTTTTTCTTCCTTATATTTTTAATATCAATGTTTAATTATAATTATTTATTAACTGTACAAAATAAAAATATACAATATACTCAACAAATACACTTAAACTTTGAGAGGGTTTGGAATAAAAAACATAAAATTTTAACAAACAATAATAATACTGGAAATCTCTCAAAAGAAAACAATAAAATGAAGGTAGAAAGGAAATGCTGATATTTTCATTTTTTGTTTTTTGTTTTTCCTATCTTCGCCTTTTCCTTTATCTGTTGTACCATATATCCGAATCAGACTTTTTCCGGTGAGCCTAATAAAACAGAAGGGCATATAATTAAAAAAAGGGTTTCATCGGAGAGATTAGAGGAGGGGAAGTTTTCACTCACCACTACGACGTTTTCCTCGTTTTCTTCCGTTTCCTTCGACTGAAAAAAATAAAAAATAAATAAATAAAAAAGCATTCAACATAATTGCATTTAGATAGGACAGGCATTCATGCTTTACCTGATATGTATAACTTGGTTCCCTCCATTGCTCCTCAAATTCTTTTAAACAAATAATTCAAAAATATAATTATATTAAATTGAAGAATTAAAAAAATAAGTAAATACTTACCAGTTGATCTTCTCATACGATCTTCCGTAGGCGTAATTTCGGTGTCAGATTCTTTAAAAGATAAAACTCATATTAATAATTTAAAGAAAACGTAACATAAAATTCTTTTCCTACCCCTAGACAGCTTTATAGTCAATTTTCAACTTAATAGCCCAACAAATTATTAACATGTTTATAAATGTGGGTAACAAATAAATGTGGGATTTATTGAGTTCTACTGGGTGATAAACTAGTAGCTTGGAAATTTCTGATCACTCTAAGACTGATACGTTCCATCTGACAGATTTGTACTGGCATTTCACTAACTACAGTGGTTGGGCCGTGTTATTATATCTTTTTTTTTCTTTTTTTTTTAAAATAAAGTTAGTTTTTTAGTAAATAAAAAAGTAGTTATTGTATAGAAGCTTCTTTTTGTTACCTGAATTAAGCTGGGAGACAAGTGAGGACATTGCATTTGTGACCGAATCCGCAGCCTGTAGCAGCTCAGAACAAACCGATCGCTGCTTGTTTAAACTGGTATTTGACACTGAAATAAAATTATTTGTTATTTTACAACAAACAAACAATTAAACATTTTCTCTAATTTACTGTCCTACCGAAGCCTTGGCTGAGACGAGATGCTTCTGAGTTGGGCGTAGGCGGCGCAGATCTCGACGAGGGTGGTGGGCTTTTTGAACCCCTTGGGGAGCTGTTTGGAGTCGATTTCGGTGACGACTGGTGATTCTGAAATTGAAAACAACAAAATTATTAGAATAGATGAATATACTGAAAAAATGTGACCAGCTACAGTTCTCTTCTGTCTAGTCACACTGTCTCTTTTCAGCAGTTTACCAACTTCAGTGGTTCGTCTGTGTTATTTTTCCATTGGGTTTTTTTATAGGTTTGTAAAATCTAATTATAATAATACTTACATTAATGGTCATACATTTCCAATTTAAATAATATATATAAAAACTGACAAGTACAATAATAAATTATGCAATTTTTATTTCATACGCTAATTCACCCTGGAAAATTATTATTTTTTATACTTGAATATTCACGGTTTTTGTCCTTGTTAGAATAAAAAATCTACTGAAGATCTAGGATAAAAATTAAAAATAAAATATATTAACTTTCCAGACAATTTGATTGTTTTAGTTCACATGCCAGAGCGTAAGAAAAAAATATTTAAAGACATTTCTAGATTAGTTTAATTTTTTAGGAGAAATCTAACCTTAAGTAATTTCATTAGCCCTTCTAACTGAAGCATTAGATGCCTTCTGGAGTCTTGAAGCGAGGTGAGATGCGTTTCCAGCTCATCCTTTCTTTTACGAAGGGCGCGTAATTCACTCATGAGTGCAGGGTTCTCTTCTGTCCCAACACTCTCCTGCTGCCTTCTAGCACAATATATTTGATCGATTACACAGCTGCTCTGAATGTCCAGGTTTTACAATTTGGTTTACCTCAGCCTTGTTATTTCTCTCATTATCTCCCTGTTTTTGGCCTCCAGCTGGAGAATAAGTTCCCTCTGCGCCCTGGAAGTATCAAGATTGAGGGATGTTTCAGTAGGTGTCCGGCCCGCTTGTACTTCCTGAGCTAAACGTGCTGCATAACGCGCTATAAGCTTATGTTCATCGTCCAACCTTAAAGATTGTATGCTTTTACCAGGGCTGGAAAAAAATAGTTAAAAAACATTCAAATAAAGCCGAGGCCATGCTTCAACCGACCTTCTGGCGTTTGTTCTACTATCCAGGCTGTCGTAGCCGTAATCAGGGAAGCCGTTATGGTTTAATAATGGTGAAGGGGGTACGATGTGTGACAAATTGAGTGGCTTTTCCGGTTGGTCAGGATATCTCGGGAGAGATCTCGATTTCTCTGGCACACAGCGAAAACTTTTCCTTAAAGAGTGGCCTATTTGCTTACTCGGAGACTTCTGTCAAAAGAAATGTGATACAACCTTTCTAGATTTAATAATATTTTTGTTTTTTAAATATTACATAGCTCGTGTATTCTCGGACTTCATGGTCTAGCGTGTGGTTTCCTGAGGAACGTCCAAGCCAAAAACATTGCTGACACATATTATATGAACTGCATTTTACACAACGATAGCGGAACCCGGCAAAATCGTACGTGAGACAGCAATCACACTGAAGGCCATGGATGACTAAAATTAACAATGTTAACATTTGTGTTAAAAGTAATAGTAAATAATGCTGAAATGTTTACCATTTTCAACACTGGCTATTCGATGGAGAAGAGGCAGCCAAACCAGTACTGGTGGGCCAGGATCACTCATGAGAGTGTCTAGAAAATCGTTTACAGTCACCTTGCCATTCTGAAAAAATAATTCTTACAAACCTTTGTTTTATTATTTTAATTTAAAAAAAAAATCAATTACCCCTCCAAAGACTTCTGTGGCAAGTTCCTCCCTAAATACAAAACTGGGGCTCTCGTACACAGAAGCCGGCAAGGCGAGTACTTGCTTCAAATAGAGTGAAAACTTTGATACGATCATGTGACCGTTTTCATCACAAATCTGTAAATATAGAAGTACATTAGTGGACAAATTCCAACCGGCACAATCACAGTCTGTGCTTTCACCTGGGAGAAAATGTATCTGAGCTTGTCCATCAGCTTGCCCGAAGACATCGTAGCGAGGGCGACTTTGATGGAGAAAACCCTGATCCTTCCGAGCGTCTCGACCGAGTATGCCGAGAGGAGCCAGTTTAAAAGATGGTTTGAATTCGTCTCAATGGAAACCTGCTGGGAAGGCGGAAGCCGCTTGTTCAGCGTCCTATACAACGAGGAGACAAGCGACTCCAGCCTTGCCACAGACAATTCAGCCTCCTCAATTTCAAGCGTATTCAACGAATGCTCTCTAAAAGCCTCAATCACATTCCAGATGTCGACTAAATGAACTGAAAAAGAAAGAATGCCTATGACATGCCATAAAAATATAAGCATATACTTTTTTTTAACCGTCTCAGTAATAATTGAACTAAGTTGTAACTGTGTGATTTATTGATATCCAAGTCACTTAAAAAGAGTCATTTGAGTGTAAATCTCTTGAATCTTTAGGGTTTAAAGATAAAATTACAAGGAGTTAAAACTTCGCAGTTTTTTTAGTTTATGGTTGGTTTAAAAAAAATGGTCTGTTGTATAAACTTACGGTTGAGCTTTTTCTGCAAGAAGCGTAGTTTTGACGCTGTCCTGTATCCTGCGAACCTTATCAGGTCGAAATTTTGCGCTCGCATCTCCTGGAGGAGCTGCAGCCGCCCGGGCTCTTCCATGGTTCCCTTCGGTGGACTTTTTAATCAGTTTCACTCCTTCCCGCCGGTTTCAATGGTCTGACAATGGAAATTATTTTAAAAAAATAAAATAGATACGAGCTGTCAAAAGGGCCAAGCCCAGAAAATCAATAACAGCCTCTGCGTAACCTTATCCCACCCAAACAGTACTAAAACCTTTTGGTGAGAGTGGTCATGGCAGCTCGTCCCTGTAAAGTGTAAAGTTTCTGCAAAGTGAAAAATCCATCCGGATTTATTTGATGACAATGTTTATATTTATACTGAACCGTTTCCTTTTTTAAGATCCTTTCTAATTCACTTATTAAAAAGGTCTTGACACGATAAAGTAATTATAAATTCGAATAACTCGTTAACTCAACCGATTTATTTATTAACTTATTTATTTCGGATATTTTTTTCTTAATTATTTAAACGTACATGAAAAGATGCTGTCAAGCTTCTACGAGAAATTTCAGAATGTTCAAGATCACATTTCATCCAGGTACGTTCAAACAGTTCATTTTTTGTTTAACTTTTTTTTTGATTGAGAAAAAATTAACATTTGTACGATTTACAAGAATGATTGTTGACAAAAGGATAAAACATTGAGGTTCACATACTAAATAAAAATAAACATTTTGTTTATATAAAATTTCCTAGTTTTAATTGAGCACAATAGGTGAAAGTTTAAAACTGTTATGATGATGGTGTCAGAATTGTCTTTACACTGAGCCTCTGTAAAGTTCAGTAGGTATGATTTTTTTTAATAATTAAAAAAAGAGAAGGTACGACAGGAAGATTAGATTAGATTATATAGGAGCCAGCCTCTACGAATTGTGCACCACGACAAATAACTAATACTGGTCTATTGTGCATCTTTATTTTTTGTCTAGGCTCCTCGTTAAGCTTGAGGCTTTTTACCAGACCCCAAAGCTTTCTCAAGGGCCCCTTGTGTATCCTTCAGACCCTGGCTTTTCTTCTCCCAGGATTAGTAATCTCACCCTATATAGACCTTCGCACCAACAGAGGATGCGTACCGCTGTTTCTTCTTCTTCTTGGCAATATCTGCACAGGCTTGTTTCTTCCACTCCGAGTCTATACATATGCCTCCGGAGTCAGCAATGTACAGTTAGCAGTCCAACTATTACTCTAGTACTAGCACGTCCAGGATTTAGTAATTCTGCGATTAGTTTCTGCGATGTCCTTTGAAAAACCTTTTTGCATGCCTCTGTCCCGGGCTACATTCCATTAAACAGAAGACTTATTATTAATCCATTGCCTAATGGATCCACGTTTTTGGCAGTTTGGTAAGCCACAAAAGGGTTCAGGGCCTCACTAAACTTTCCTTGACCAATTTATTGGTCACTTCATTGCCCTTTGTGTCCTGGTACCCAGATAAGGGTAATTTTCTTATTTTCCCCAATGTCTGAGAGGGCTTCAATGTAGTCCCAAATGACTCTGGACTTTACCGCCAATGCGGCAATTGCCTTCATTGCCGCCTGGCTGTCCGAGTAGATAGCTATTCTTCTATTGACAATCCCCAGCCGTTTTATCTCCCTGACACAATGTTCAAGCCACAGTTTCCGCTTGAAAGACGGTGGCATATTGTCTAAGGCTTATGTGAATTCTAGTCCTTGGTTTACTTTTGTAAATGCTACTTCCTCACCCATATTCGGTTTTTTGGAGTCATCTGTAAACCAAATATGGTCGGGATTAACTTGGATTCATTTGTCCCACTCTGCTGTGCAAGATATTTTGATTAGAAATTTTTTCTCAAAACTGAATTTAGGAGTCAGGGCATCAGTAGTCATCCCCAAAGTTCTGTCTAGCTAAAACACCCCTCAAAGCATTAGTTGCTCCTTGTTATAAGAGTAAGCTGTTGGATCCTGTCCCTGCATTAGCCTATTAATTGTGGCCCTGCCTCTCCCTGGATAAAGATGTGTAGTGGTGGTAGATTCAGAATGACCTCCAGGGCAGCCGTGGGGGTTGTTCCCACTGTTCCAGTTATTCTCAGACACACCAGTCTCTGAGCAGTACTGGGGTCCCGGACAGCCCTTAGCTGTAATGTTTTTCCACATCAGTACGACAGGAAAGAGGAAGAACTATCTAAAAAAGAGAGAATGGCCAAATGAGAGTGAGAGATTGGAAAAGAAGAGAGAAGGCAAGATAGGAAAGAGGAAGCTAGCTAAGAAACAGAGAATGGCCAAATGAGAGTGAGGGATTGTAAAAGAAGGGTGAAGATAAGGTAGAAAAGAGGAAAAACTAGCTAAAAAATAGGGATTGCGCAAATAAGAGGGAGAAGATAAGACCGGAAAGAGAGAATGGCCAAATGGGGGTGAAAGATTGTAAAAGAAGGAAGAAGGTAAGGCCAAGTGAGAAATGCTGAGAGGTAATAATATCAAAATTGGTCAGTTAAAAGAAGAAAGAATGAAAAGAAAAAAAGAATAGAGATAGGCAATCAAATGTTATCGTCATCCAGCTAACAAAGAGTAAAAGTGGGATAAAAGTGTAGAAAAAGTGTCATGGGCCACCAACTCAGTATCGTGCAAAAAATAACAATAAAAAAGAAATTAGTAAAACAATTCTTTTATAAGAAACTAAAAATTCAATCTCATCTTTTTTTTATTATTATTGAACAAGTTAATAAAAGAAATGGAAGAAACTCCCTTCCAATAATATTCTTGACAGAAATATAAGTCATATATAATACAAATTATTTTCTGAATTTTATTACTGGATAGCCAATTTAATTAGTAAATGAATATGGTTATTTAGGAGTTACTCTGATGCCTAGACTCTTGTTGACCAAGCCCTTTAAACGGAAATCCAGTGCTGTGAACATGTATGTTTGGAGGTCTGTAGTCAGCAATCCGACAATCTTTTTTTTCCTTTTTCCCACTCTTCTAAGGAAAAGGTTTTTAAAGCTAAAAGCAGGGCAATTTTGTGTTTCACAGCTCAAGTATGGAGTTACTAAGTCACCAAGAATATAAATTTGTCCAGAGTGAACACCTCAAACTGCCGCCATACATGCTTTTCCTAAAGACTAAGATGGTTTTCATCGTGTCGTTCATGGTGCATTTCATCATGACTATCTGAACAAAATTGCTGGATAATTTGAGAAGGATGTTGCTAGGTGACAAAGATGACATGCTGGAGGAAGCCATTATCAGGGCAAATACGTCAAATCAAGCTGAAGTGGGGTATTCAATTCATCAGCTGAAAAAAAGTTTGAAAACAGTCTGATCAACCACTATAAAAGAATCATCTTGCTTAAAATGAAGAGAGGACCCAGAGCACTTTTTCTGTGCCACCTCGAGGAGTTCCTTTATGTTCCCCCCTTTTAAAGAAATTGCTCAACAGGGAGGAATAATGAACGAATATGTTAAGCAACCTGAAACAATGAAGCAGTGGTGGATCTTTTGCTTGCTCAGCTCTAAAGTATCAGAGAGATTTTTCAATTACTGAGGAAATACTTGGATAAAATAAAAAAGAAAAGAAAAAAGTTTGTAATTTTTTTTTTTTATTCATAAAAAATTATTGTGCATCTTGGGGCCCATACCTCAGACAGATGGTGGCCATTGCTAAATGGATTAAAAATAGTTTATTTTCTTTATGTTTATCAGTACGTAGTTTTGGTAGAAATATACCTTCTTTTTTTCCTTTTCTTTTGCAAATTTTACAACTGATCAAATTTGACCTTTCAGCATCTCATTTGCACCTCTTTTTTTTACTTCCCACCTTTCTCTTATGATGTTGGAGGCGTCTCCCTCCTCGTACACCTCCTCAAGTAAACAACTGCTGTTGATAATAAAAGTAAAATAGGCATTATGTTTATACACTACTGAATTTTATTTTTTTATTAGTTTTAGAGAGTTAACAGTTGGGGAACAACCACCTCCCGATTCGCCTGATTTTGGTAATGAGTACCAAGCTGGGCGTAGACTCCTCGCCAAGTACCAGGACGATTGGAAATGGATCAGGAGCCTTTCTGAAGTTAATTCCACAAATGCTAGAGAGCTTAACCATCAGATCCAGCGGATCTACAAGAAAACAGAGGCTACGAAAACGGTATTCAACCGCCTTGAGAAGGAACTGAGTCGACTCGATGAGATGATCATCTCGACAGAATCAGTCGTCAACAACATCGGACAGCTACGCCTCCAGGCAGAATCGATCGAGAAGTCTCTCTTCGCCCTAGATGACAAGATTGAGGCGGAAATGACAGCCAAACGCACCGAAAGAGAAAAGCTTAAACTGTCGTTGTTCAGGCAGCAAATGCTCTACAACCTTGACCACGTCAGATCGCAGCTGTCGTCCGAACATGATTTAAAAGTCAGGGCCAAAGAGGCCAACGACTTATTGTTGAAAGAAAAAATGGACAAAAAGGTTGAAATTTGAAACTATTCAACAATATAATGGAAAGTAATGTCAGTTATCGTATCATATTCCTCAAAAATACGACAAATTAAAGAATTATTTTTTAAAGAGATATAAAAACCAAATAGTTGGTATAGGGGAGAGAATATATTTTTAAAGTTAATCATTTAAAAAATGTTTATATTTCCAATGTCATATTTTTATAAAATGTATGGGAAACAAGTATATCTAATTTATATATAGTATTTGTTTTAATTGTCTAATTGTCACCACTGATTGTGTACAATAGTGGCTCCCTTTAAAAATTTGTGCCAAAGTCATAAGTACTTCAAGAGATAAGAATTGGATGCTTAATTTTGTTTTCTTCATAACTTATACATATTTCAGATCAAGCAGGTTTCGTGTATAATTTTGACTTTCATTTTTCAACTTCAACAATTCGGTACTTTCTCATAAATAATGTATTGATAAATGTATCGACTATTGTTCATGAATACCCTGGATCACATATGGTCTTGATGCAAATTGAATTGTTACTGCCAACCTTTCGACATATTTTAAGGTCATTATCAGAGTAAAACTATCTTAAGTATGTCTACAAATAGACATAATTAAACTTTTTCACAGATGATTTAAAATTTCTTTGAAGACAAACTCAGTCCTTACATTACCAAGGACGGTAACAGTATTAGTAATACCGATATTAGTAATAAAAAAATTATGTCTATTTACAGGCATATTTAAGATTGTTTTGCCCTGATAACGACCTAAAAATAAGTGGAAAACTTAACAGTAACAATTGAATTTGCTTTTACATCAAAACCATGTATTTTCATCAAAAGGGGGTAGTTTATGTTCCATGACGCAGATAAAAACCATTTACATCGAAATATCCATGGAAAAGTCTACATCTCCCAGATCTCCGAATCAGAAAAGGCTCCCCTGCTTGCCCCTGGGTCCCTCCGACACCCTAAATAATTACTTGAAATTAAATTTTCTTTTTACTTTGTTACTTCATGAGATTCTCAAAAATATAATTGCAAGTTTGTTTTAATTATCATTGTACTATTGTCCAAGACTGTTGATTTTAACTGTGATACTTAATAGATAAGTTTTATTTACAAGATACGAGACAATTGAATAATCATGGTTAATGACAATCTTATCTTTTCTATTTTCGGAATTTTTTCTCGTTTTGTATTGTAAAATATTAAAAGCAATTTGAAATCCATTTCAAGTCTGACCTTAGAAGTAAAGTTAGATTTCATCCACATTAAAAATAGTTTTAAATTCTGCAGCATACTAGACAATAAATCTAAATCTCTTGGCTAAAATTCTAGCACAGCACTTGTTGCTGTCCACAATAATTTGGATAAATACATAAATCGCCTAATTGTTTGTGGTAGAATGCCTGCCTGTTTTCTTTCCCATCCGTCAGTTTCGGTTTTTCTACACCACCACTTTATTATTCTGTGCAAGGCAGGGCTGCATGCTTTTATAAACTTTTTTTTTTAATTCTTAACCAATCTTGGATAATCATCAGGATTCCTAACAGTATTAAATTGTGGAACTATTATGACAGATGAGTTAGTAATAGACAGATTTTATTGTAAGGTTAAAAAAAGTTATTTTTTGTTGCAAATTTTATTACATTATTTGCATTATCAAAAGTTTTCCAATTCCAAAAACACATATTCATACTTTATAATCAACTTAATATCGTTAAAAAAATTATTTGTAATAAAAATGTTTTTTTACACTCAAAGACAAAAACTGTACACACATATTTTGTTCTTTAGTTCAAACTATATGCATTTTTGTCATTATATTAATTAGAACATACTTATTTTATGTAAGCAAAATTAAACGAGATCAAAATTCATGAGTTTTAATAAAAAATAAATTAACAAATTATTCTATTACTCCATGATTTTCTGGTATTTTGGTAATTTTCTTTCAAACCATCATAATTAAATATTTTTTATTACAACTCATAAATTTCTGATCTTGCTTAATTTGGCTTACATTAATGTTGTAATTAACACATTTGTTACAGCACTGATTTGTAAAAACACTCAAAATTTTGATTTTTTTTTAATCTTACAAATTTTCAAAGGTCAAATTGAAAAACGGTCTTCACAGTAATGTTGACAAAGTGTGTGACATTGATTCAATTCCAAAAATACCCTCCTAACACTTCCGATAAGCTTCAAAAAGCAAGGTTCTACAAGAGTATTTGGATATCGTGAGGTGCGGTCTGGTGTGATGTAGGTTTTAGAAAAACATTTTCTTTGTCATGCCAACGTTCTCACAAGAATGACACATCTACAGGGAAAACAATCACTTTGAGCCCTGAAGATGATCTCGATAAAGATTGAAATGTTGGCATGATAAAGAAAATGTTTTTCTGAAACCTACGTCACACCAGACTGCACCTCACGATCTCCAAATAATCATTGGCTAACGGTCACTAAACACCACACAGTTCTATAAGAGGTGCATCCTTCTGGTACAACATCCATATATCGGGAAGGGTCTAATGCATCATTCCAGAACAACGGTCATTATACATGTAGTTTGAAATAAATTTTTTTGCCTTTGAGTATATTAAGGTTATATTTAAGAAAAATCAGTTTCATTTATATTTATTTGTTCTGTATAATTAGTTAGTATGCTATAGTAAGCATTAATAAAATCGATATTCATGTTATTAACACAAAAGTATGTTTCTATTTTTTAAAGGCAGCCTCTGCTAACTCATAGAGCTTTCGGATCATGTCATTATCCGAATATTTCCCAAAGAGAAGAGTGAGCAGGGCCACACCATAACCTGTAGCACGCTCATTGCAGTATGCTGGAGATGCCATGTCTATGTGCATCCACGCACCTGGGAAGTCAAAACCGAGGTGAGCCATTATGAAGAGACCAGCACACGAAGACTGTGCATTTGCTCGATCCTGAAATATTTATCAAATCAAACATAAAAAAAATTAAAGATGATAAAAAGTAATAATCTTACGGCGACGGAATTCTTCATGTCGGCTACAGCAGATGTAAATTCAGAGAAATGAAGCTCTGGCGAAAAAGGTATTGGATAGATCAGGTCACCTGCGATTCTGGAAATTTCGACAGCCTCGGCTTCGATTTCTGCAGAATTTGTGAGCAATGCTGCGTGATATTTGCCCGTGGCAATTCCCTGGGCACCGGTTAATGTAGCCATATCAACAATGAAATCTGCTTTTAAGTCTCTGGCAGCGTAAACCACACCGTCGGCGAGCACAAGTCGACCCTCGGCGTCTGTATTGTTTATCTCGACACTTTTCCCGCTGTAGAGCGTTTCCACGTCGTCCGGTCGGGTGGCCTTCGGTCCGACTGAATTTTCTGCAAGGCAGAAAATGGCGTGTAGCTCACTACAAGAGGACAGACCTAGCCGAGCGGCAACACAAAGTGCACCGAGGATTCCAGCAGCACCTGCACAATCTCTTTTCATGCCAGGCATTAAAGCCTTGAACAAATTATTAATAACAATTCGACAAGTATAATCACACAATATTGAAAAATATTTACCTTTGTTTTAATAGAAAGGCCACCAGTGTCATAAACAATGCCTTTCCCAACCCACGCCATTACTGGACCACCTTCCTTATTAGACTTATATTTAACCGCTACAAGTGCTGGACCGTTCTCAGCACTTCGTCCAACTGAATAGATCCCGTTCATTCCCCGAACTCTTAACTCTTCACCTTGAATTACAGTGAGTTCCAAATCACATTCATATGCGACTCTCTTGATCTCTTGGATAAAAGTATTTGTATTCATTTCATTGCAGGGCATGTCTACGATACGTGCCGCATTCCGCACTGCCGATCCTATGATGTTCAAAGCGTCATAATCGACAGCATCACCGTTACCATCTGTAATTATAAATTCCACTCGAACAAGCTGGGGAGTTTTACCCGAGGACTTTTTCGAATAAAGAGGATAAGACCTCGCTATCGCACAAGCTGAAGCGAGCACATCAACAAAAGGGCAGACGACTACAATAGTCTCCGATACTCCAGAGCTTGCAGATTTTACAATGCTGGCTAAAGAATAAGGCCTCGCAGTGCTATTATGACGCGAACACTTGCTCGGCAACGACGCCAACATGGCAACATTGATATAGAGTGACACGGAATCGGGTGTCGTCTGGTGTAGTGATGCAAGTGCACTTTTGTACACTTCAGCACTGACTCGGTCGCCCAACTTGTGTTTCACTGCTTCGTACCCGACACTCCGAAGATTCTCAACCTGTCCGACTATCAAAACCGGCTCAGATTGCGGATCGGACGGAGGCGAATCCGGACAAAACACAACTCGGCCTTCACTGCCTATCGAATTCTCCATTATCACTAGAACAAACGGGATAACTGATCATTAACAAATTTTTAAATATCCATATACATTAAAAAATATTAATATAAAATCAAGCTGAAGAAATATCATACAAAAAACAAAAACCTTCGGTTAAACGTATTTTCTATACAAACAGTCACATACATTTAATATTGATTTGGGAAAAAGATGGCTTTTAAGAAGCCAAGCAATTATGTTCTGTACACAAAAATCCACATAAGTTGGAAAATTTGGGAAAAATACAATAAATACGCAAGAGATCAAATTTAAAATTCCTCAGGTCAATACCAACCTTATAATCGTAAATTAAACTACGATAAAAGTACAAATTGACCAATGTTTTCCCCTTTGTAACCAAAGGGCCAACAACTATGTACCAGGGTTGGAAAACCAGGGCGGAGGTTGTCGAACGATTACAATTATCGATAGACGAACATTCGTCGATCGTGTCGAACGAAAAGAATTTTTTCATTAAACACTCAATCTTCACTTATTTTATTTTTTATCTTTACTTTTTTCCTATTTAAATACAAATATACGACTAAAATACATTCTAAAACGATATATAAATAAAACAATACATATCTTAAACTATATACTGCTGCAGCCTGCAGGTAGTTGAACATACCATGTAGTTGTACAATTTTCAATTTTACTAATAATATATATTTTACAGAAGAAATACAATTTACAAAAATATTTAAATATAGAAAATGTAACAATATATAAAATATAACGATTTATAAAACAAAACTAAGAAAAAGAAAAACTTAAACAATATTAGATTTTAATCTAAGGTCATGGTTGAGATGAAAACTTTTCACTTTTAATAATAATTAATAATAATAATAATCTATGAAATCAAAGCACTTAACGAACATGTGGTATTTGTTTGGGTTCCTAGTCATGTCGGCATTTATGGAAATGAAAAAGCTGATCAACAGGCAAGGGATGCCATACAATGGCATATACAAACCATCCGCAAAGAACAGATCAATTTCTTCTCCGCCCAGATGATATAGTCGTTTATGTTAAAAACATTATCAAAAGTGGGCAGCAAGATGGAATGTCTGTGGAGATAGTATGAAAGAAATTAAGCCAGTTGTAAATAAATGGCCAACTGAGGAACTTGTGCTCTCTATAGATCAGGCTAATCCATAATAGGCTTTTAATAGGCAACGACATTCCAACTTATCCTCGATGTATTCAAAGTGGAGAACGTATCATTCTGACTGTAAAACATATTTTGGTCGACTGTCGCACTTTGCAACCCTTTAGGCAAAGGCTCAACCTTTCGAGTGATCTAAAGGAGTTACATACTAGGTCCCCAGTGTAGCTTTAGTTTATTTATCATATTTGAATGGAAAAATTAAAGGGTAACAATGAGCCTATACTCATGCTGAGACTATTGATAATCTGACCCCATTATTATTATTATTATTATTATTGTTATTGCCTATGAATTTTTTTTTTTCAATTAATTAATAATTATGAAAGGTATTGGTTGAGATAAAAAGTCAGTGTCATATGCGGGATTCGAACCCACAAGCTTTGGCTGAATACACCACTGCTCTACCACTTGAGCTATCATGACAAGATATCAAGTGGTAGAGCAGCGGCGTATTTAGCCGAAGGTCGTGGGTACAAATCCCACTTGTGACACAGACTTTTTTTATCTCAACCAATACCTTTCATAAATATTAATTAATTGAAAAAAGTTAATTGGTCAATCGGACCACGAACTGTAATGGACCTATGAGAAATGTTTAAATTATGGAACAGAAATTCAAAATTCTAATTAAAGAACAGGATAACTTTTATAATTTAAAATGATTTTTTCTTTTTGCATAAATTTAGCCTTCCATATTAACAATTTTAAAAGGATAAATTAAGGCCTTGGTTAAGGTGAAAAGCAAGTGTCACAAGCAGGAAACATTTATTTTTTCATCTCAACTAAGACCTTAGATTAAAAGTTAAATTAATTAATACGGTCAATTATGATTAATTTCTTAATCTCTAATTCCATTCAACTCATTTATTTATTTATTTATTTTTTTACGAGGGTTTGCAACAATAATTATTTACAACACACATCTCCCAACTGAGGATTTTCCTTGCATTACTCTTGGTGGCTCTTTAATACCCTTCTCTAACAAGTTAAAAATCTTGGTGTGACGTTAATAGCAGATTACCTTGGGATGATTATTTAGGCTTTGGTGCTTGAAGGATGAATGTACTTTAAATTTGAAAATATTATAAATTTATCTCTCCGACACTCAAATTTAGACTAGTCAAAACCCCTATTTTACGTTTTTTACTTATTGCAGTACTATCTACCATTTTTTACGTTATTATCTACTCTTTTTCACTTATATGCACTTCTACTAAAAAATTAGAATACTTGTTATTAATTGCACAAGATTTGTATTAAGTTTACAAAGAAGAGAACACATCTCAACACATGTACCAGTTATTTGATTACCTTAAACTCTGATCTCTTATTTACTTATTTAAAATAAAAAAATAAGCTCTGCCCATCATACTTATTCATAGTCCATGTGTTTAACAGTCATAATTAACCATATTAGGTCTTATTCATTAAATTCAATTATTCAATTTTACTTCTTTTCATAGTTTAAATATCACAAAAAGCTTACATCATAAATCCAAATCTATGAATGATTATTTTAGAGTTGTCTGCGGAATTCCTTTCATTAGGTTGGTCCATCCCCTTCGAGCTTTCAACTTTTTTGCAAACAATCCTTGATTTGATCGAACTAACTCAACGTGTCTTGTTCCACTTTCTTTTCATCATGTTTTTTACAACATTAATGTTAGAGGACCAGATCATGGTGGTTAAGTTCAGATTTGGGACGCCCCAGCCTTAGCTGCCCCATCCGCCTTTTCATTATCTTCCATACCTATGGGTCTGGGTACCCAGATAACAACTACCATTTTGCCAAGACACTCCAGGTAATGGTATTTTTCAACATGAGCACAACGTTATGCTCAGCAGTAACTGAGGGGAAGTCGGTGAGACTAGGTAAGCAGAATGATCTGAAGCACGTGCCATCACAAACAATTCCGCAGTGTAAAATAACTGCAGTGGAAGTGACTATTAAGTTATCACCCTCGCAAATTCCCTTGCTGGTCTTACACATGAAGACAAGGCGAAAACTGGTGGTAACGTAAACTAAGTTCCAAGAACTCAGTGATGTTATGGAATGTTTATAGTAATTATCTGTGGCTGAACTGTGTTTTTTCGTCACTCCTGTACTCTTTAAAACAAAACATAAATAGCAAAAGTAAATTTGCAAAAAATAACATACTAACCTCTTAATATGGCCAAACTGCAACAAGCAGACAAATCCAATAGATTTGTCAGAATAGAGTGATCAGGAATGATTTAGCCTGACAAAGGGATGAACCACTAATAACATTATTATATACTCAACTTCTCAAAATCAGAAACAGGTCAACCATATATATATATATATAAAAAAAAAAAAAAAAAAATGAGATAGACATCTTATATCTCAAATGCGGTATATTTCTTATTTTATTGTTTGTTTGGTTTTTCCTCAAAGGAATAGACACTCATATCTTGTAATACAAGTTCAAGTTTTGTTTGGTTTCTAGTCAGCTTGATGCTTCAATATACACATCTTTTATAATAATATGAAAGTTTAATTTAATTTATTTTTAATAATGAGCCAATTAAAAAATTCGTTTATTAAAGAAAATTGAACTATTTTCTTGCCACTAACCAGAAAAATATTTATTTATAATAAAAACAATTATGTATCCTATGTAAAACACAATGATAATGTTGAACGATCATATAGGCCTGTTAATATTTTTAAATTACACAATCTAAATTATTTTTTATTTTTATTTGTAATGTTTTAATAAAAGGAGCGACCTTACCTTGTTGAACATAAGTTTCAATTATTATTGGTAATTATTTATTTAATTAAAAACAATTTTTTTCACTTTATTGAGTTTGGAAAGGAAATTTTTTGTGATATAATTGAATTAAGTTTTTATATAACATTATAATTATTTACAACAAAATCTAAACAACGTGTCAAAACTAGAATTTATATTATGAAGGCACACATACATAATATACACATATATATGCCGTTTTATCAATCACTAACTTTGTTTTTCATAAAACAAAAAACATTTGATTTTGAATTTGTAAATCTAGTGTTAAAATTTTTTTTCTTTTGTGAGCACGATCGTCTAATTTCTTAGGTTTCTTCTTCTTTCTTTCTTTACTGGAGTTCTTCGAGTGAATTAGGAATCCCCGCTTGCCTCAGAAGGGCCTTTAGCCTTGCGTTTTCTTCTCTCAACTGCTCGTTCTGTTGGCCTGTTCAAACAATAATGATGAACGATGATTACTTTTTTGACAAAAAATTGAAAATTCATTATAAAACACACCAAGATTTTCAATGTCGGCTAAAAGTTGTTCATTTTCCTTAGCGTATACTAATAGCCTTTCATTAGTTTCTCTCAATTCTGTTATGTAGTCACAGGCCTTGGCTAAAATGCCACCTTTACTCTGGAAGGAAAAATGTAAAAATAATTTTGCAATGTAATTTGATCATCTATGATTAATTTGGTCTGCTAATTCTCACCATTTATATTTTTGAAACATATAAAAAGACATAATTGGCACAATAACAAATCCAAGACCATGACAATCAGAGAAGATCTAAGTACAGATTCATCAACTCGCAGACCCAATATCACAATTTCATTGGGTTGTCCCACATGAAACGTCTTTTTTTTTTTTTTTTTTTTTTTTTTAAATTAAACCACTTTAAAGAGGATGAAAGAGTGACCTGTTTCCCAGTAAAATGTCTACATTCTATAATTCTGTAAATAATTCTTTATTTAAAAACAATGATTGTTTTCAATCGACATTCCTACTTTGTTTAAACACAAGATTTTCTAATATTTTATTTTTTCAACTTGGTCATTCAGCTGCCCAGACTGAACAGAACGTTAATCACATTTTTAGTGAAGGGAATTTTAACAAAAGTTAGTTTGAAGTCTTCTTACAACGATATGCTATAAAATCTAACCCTGTAGAAAACTTCAACATCAATAGTTGACAAAATTCTTAAGAAAACTGAGAAGACAATACCACAAATCAGAGAATTGTACATCTTGACAAGTACTTGACACTAGTAGAACAACAGTTTCTGAACACTTAAAATTAATCTAAAAAGTTAATTAAAAATATCAATAAAAGGGATTCACATAAGTTGAATCAACATAAATAACTAAAACATCAAGAGATTTGTGTTTAAAAAAAAAGTCATTTCTTGGGATAACGATATTTTAGGAAATTGACAAAATAATCTAACTCTTAAAAACAAGTAAAAAAATATATATGTTGAGGGCAAAGTTTAGATTTTTAGATAACAATATAGGGGTTACAAATGATTTTTTTAAAATATTTTAATTTTTAGCTGACAATTTATTATTTCACAAAAACATTTTTTCTTTAAAAGTGAGCTGTTTGTCTCATTTTTTAAATGACATCTAGGACCAATTATAATTAAAAAATCTTCCAGATTTTTGGGTAACCTGTTAGCCAACATTTAAATTTATATATTTTGCATTGTATAAATTCACTTTTCCAAATCCTAAATGAATTTGTTAAATGTAAACATTGTTTGTAAATCCCAGGCCCTGAAGATGATCTCAATAAAAGATCGAAACGTTGGCATGATAAAGAAAATGTTTTTCTGAAACCGACATCACACCTGACCACATCTCACGATATCTGAATAACTATCGAATAACGGTCACTAATCTCTACAATTTAAATTTATTTTAAGCAAGCCCAACGAGGTACTGGCAAGAAATTGACAAAATGCATTAAAATTTGACCTAAAAACAGCAGACTGTGCCCAGGAAATATCTCATCTTGTTCTATGACAACAGCCAACTTCGTGGTTCAATACAGACAATAAAAAAAAATTGTAGAAGCTTTAAGTTTGAAGCTGGAAACCATCAAGCCCAATGACATAATGCTAAGAAATTGACAATGAAAATTTGACCTAAAAATAGCTGACTAGTACAGAGGAAAGATCTCATCCTGCATGACAGCCAACCTCATGGTTCAATATAGACAATGAAAAAAAAAAAAAATTGTAGATGCTTGGGAATGAATAGTAACACATCGATCTTGTTTTAGGTCTGGGTTTGGACGTTGGAGAGCATATCTCACAATTTGCACATGTGTTTTCCTCATCGTGTTTTCTAATGTTAAAAATGAGAGAGACAGTATCGCTGGATGTCCAACAAACTGGGTATTTCTCTCTTTGTCAATGGCATAATGTCCTATGGTCTGCTCTTGAAGGGAAATTCTATTCATGTACATCAGTGGTTCCCAAACTTTTTTGACCCATGGACCCCTTTTTACAGACAAAAATTGCCCATGGACCCCTTTTACAGACAAAAATTGCCCATGGACCCCTTTTTACAGACAAAAATTGCCCATGGACCCACAACTGAAAAAGCGACATAAATGCATAATATAAAAATTACAAATTAAAACAAAAAGTTTTGTTGCAGTATTTTTGAAATTATAAATTATAAATATATATTTAATTATAATATTAGTTACTTTTGTTTAAAATATAAAAAAGATTAATGACTTGGAATAATAATATAATTTCTAATAGGTTTCTTTCTTTTGTGATGAGGTTCATAACGGCACTGAATCCACGTTCTACCAAATACAAAGACGGGAAAGCAATCAACAACTTCTGTACAATAACCCACAATGCAGGATATAAAATTGGGATCTGTTTTTGTAACCATAATTTGTGGTATCCTTGATCAAACATTGGTTTAAGTTCCTCATTTGTGGATATTTCAATAAGCTGCTCCTGTATTAGTATGGATTCATCTGTGTTTGGGAGCTGAGTTTGTCCACGCGCGAAAGAGTTCAACACCCAGTCGGGAAGTGAAGAATATCTTCAAATCTTTGGTTCAGGTCTGTATGAAGAGCCGTTAAGTGTTGACAGTAAGCAAGCAACTCTCTAATTTGCAATTTCGAAAGATTTGGAAACTGAGAGTATTCTCCTCTTCCTGAGTATTGTTCGTAAAGAAAAAGTTTTACAACAAACACAGATATTACGCTTTTAGTTTTGATTAAATTTAATTGGTCACTTTGTAGTTTCAAATTAGTTTCGTTAAATTTGGCATATAAATCAGACTTATAGGCTATGTTATTTTTTGAGTTAATTAAATTGTGTCGCAAATCATTCTTTGGTTTCCAGGAATTCCAATACTGAATCAAAGAGTGCATAAAATCGATTTAAACATGCACTTTAGATAACCAATGTACTTCTGTTTTATATTATATTATTTTATATTAAACCTTGCGCGGACCCCCTGACGTTGTTCAGAGACCCCAGATCAATTTTAATTTTCTATGGACCCCCCCCCCACTTTGGGAACCAGTGATGTACATGAATTTTATTGGTGCAAAAAAGAGTCAAGAATAATGCTGGAAAAACCAAAAACTGAACACTAAAAGTTTAAAAGTTTATTTGTTGAATATAATGTATTGACTGTGTTATTTTTGTACGTTTATTTTAACCTAAAATAAAAATTAAAAAAATTAAAAATCATGTATCTTTTAAAATTGTACACAGTCATAATGCCTCAGACCTAGTTATGCCAACATGTAAGGAATCAATTATGTTCAATGGTTATGAGAGAACTAATCAATCATTTACCTGAAACTGTTTTAACTTTACCTGTTAAAAGATTTAATAGTGTAATTTATAAATGGCTAGTGAAAAACCTGCTATTAATCATGTTGTTGAAGTTATATAGAGACTTCAACATTCCTTCAATTGAATATTTTGTTATTCAAACATGTAAAATTAATGGCAAATAAAGTTTTATTTGATTTGATTATTACCCTGATCTGTGCCCTACATTTTTTCAGAGCTTGGAAAAATTTATTCGAGGAAAAATTAATTTAAAAAGCCTTTTCTAACTGTTTATTTAATGACTCAATTTTTCCAAATCTGGTATAGAAAATTCAGTTAGCTGTCAAAAAAATAAATAAATTAATTAAAAAAATAAAAAAGCAGAAAAATATGGCAAACACAGTGAATAAAATATAAATATATTTTATTTGCTATTTTTTGTTTTATTTTTCATTTACTTCCTGTTAAATAACATACATTTCATGTGGGACAACTCAATAATATTAATATTTCAAATGTAATAAATAGTGTTTTGAATACCTGGGATTCAATCTTAGCAGAATCTTGTTTACACTCGGGTATAATTTTACCGAGTTTCATTATCCAGTGGTTGATCTTATCTCTTCTCCGTCTTTCCACCTCGTTATGGGTCGCTCGCCTTTTATCATCCCTCTACAACAATCCAACCATGTTAAATTCAAAATTTAATAACGAAATAAATCATAAATGCATACTGTTACAGGCGGCCTGGTGTTTTCTTCAACAAGGGACCGGGCAACGACGGCCTTCTGCGTCCCGAGAAAGACATCGTGGGACGGCCCGATCATATAAATACGACCGTTCAATGGGTCAGAATAAAACGTCTGAAGAGGCGAAGGCGGGCCCTGTGCTGGTTGGGCCACTTCGTCCACATCGGCTAGTTGAACTACTCTAAAACCTGTCACTATTTATCAGTATAGGCAAACCACAAGTTTTCTTTTACAGTGTACAACTCACGTTCATCTTCGTCGATCATTTCATATTGGATTTGTGCCTCTTCCCCTCCTTCAACTAATCTTGTCGCAATCTTATCTGACTCGACACAAGTGTCATCCTGCTCTACTATCCCAAGACCGTTGATAACATCCTGTCTCTCCTCTTTGATCTTCACACTGGAAAAAAGACAAAAATAAGCCAAAAGAAACTTTGTTTAATAGGCAATTTCCATAATATATTAACATTTCAAAAAGATTATAAACCAAATTGTTAAATACTTCTAAAAAAATTCAGTTCCATGGAGCATAATTATTAATATGGATTTTATTATTGATTCTTTTAAATGATTTTAGCTTTATTTACACATATTGAGTTCGCAAGAAAAAAATAAAAATATCTGATCGTCTCTACCCATAGAAATTGTTAAGGTGGAATGAACAGAACTATTCACGGGTTGTGTATAGTTAGTTCAACTTTTAAATACTTTGCGAGTATAATTAGTGTTTACAACTGGTGAATTGATATACTCACTCCATCTTAATATTTCTGTGTATTTGTTTACCAATTTTTTTAAACAATTGTAACTTTATTTACACATACTAAGTTGACAAGGAATAAAAAAACAAGAATAAGAAGGATATTTGATTGTCTCTACTCATGAGAAATACTTAAGGTGGAACGAGTAGAACTATTCACGGGTCGTATATACAACCGAGTAACAAAATTATAGACACATTAAAAAATCATGATTTCAACAGTCAAAAATGATTTATTTTGCCATTAGAATATTGTTCATGATATTAAAAGAAAATTAACTCTGGAAATGGCTTGTTCTGATAATCTTATACAAATGTACATCTCAATAAACAGTATTGTTTTGATTTAGCTGCGACAGAATTGTAGACACACATTTTGTTTACGTTTATTTTATAACTCCAAAGGATTATTCAGTATTCACTGTACCGTGCCTTAGTAAAGTGATTACTGTGAGTTCATTTGGAGCAATTCAAAGTTATTTTAAAACGCCCAAAGAAAGAAGATTTTCTGATGAGGAGCGCTGGTTGATTCACTTGCTCAATGAAGATGGAATAAGCTGACGAGATATCGCCCGACGCATAAAACGAAGTTTTTCATAGGTATCGAAGATAATACGACTAGGTGAAGACTACAGAAGAGGGCTCTGGAAGACCTCCTTCCTTGACTAGAAGAGACAAATCGCACATCCTTCAATCTGTTGCTTCAAACAGCTTTTCGACTGCAAAAGCCATCGCAGAGAAGGCAGGTGTTCATGTTTCTGTTCGAACTGTTCAGAGATTCCTTAAAAAAACTGAAAACATAGTCCGAAGAAAACTGAAACCCCACCACAAACTAGCCTGTGTCAAATTTACTGAAAACCACATTTTGAAAAATGAAGATTATTGGCGAAAAGTTATTTTTTCTGATGAAAAAAAATTCAATTTGGATGGCCTGGACGGATACACATACTACTTTCATGATTTAACTAAAGAAGAAAAAAATTTTTGGCGCCAAATGGGTGGTAGATCTTTGATGATTTGGGGTGTATTGGGTGTAATAAAAATCTTTATTTTCTTCCAAAAAAAGTCAATTTGGAATATTACAAGAAATTACTGGACAAAGAAAAAACTAGTTTCAGCGATTTATGCGAAGGGACTCCAATATTCCAGCAGGACAACGCACCCATACACATTGCAAAAATTTCACAGAACAGCATTGAAAAACTTGAATGGCCTGCACTCTCACCAGACTTGCACATTATAGAAAATGTATGGGGAAAATTATCGAGGATGTTATATCAAGACTGTAAGCAGTTCAACTCTGGCGACGAACTTAAAACAGCTGTCGCCATTGCCTGGAATAATTTGCTTCAAGATTTTATTCAAAATTTGTACAAAACCATTCCAGAAAGATTACTGGAAATAGTAAAACTGAGTGGTAAAGCCATAAAATATTATAACCTTGTTCAAATTGATTGTATCCCATGTGTCTATAATTTTGTCGCATACAAAATCGTTTAATTTTAGTATTTTAATAATTTTTTCTCTTATTTACTGAAAAATTAAAGTTGAATGAAGAAAAATATTTATTTCATGTGTTTTGAATAAATAATTGTAGTACAAACCCACTACATTATAAAATCATAACAATTAGGGGTGTGTCTATAATTTTGTCACTCGGTTGTAGATAGTTAACTCATAAACAGTTTGTGAGTAGAATTATTGAGATTTATTATCTTGGAGCAGTCAAGAATGAGGTAGTTTAGAAAAACACCTTTTTCATTTTTTTGCCAATGTTTCGACCTTTATTTGGGTCATCTTCAAGGCCTGGGTAAAATACAAAACATGTTTTTTTTAGAAAAAATACAATTTAAGATGTAAATATAAATTTTGAACCAAGTATTTCATAATGATATAAAGTGCGGTGCTATTATTGTGGTGTCATATTGGTCACAAGAATAACACCACGCTTTATGTTAGTATGAAATACTTGGTTCAAAATTTATATTTACATCTTAAATTGTATTTTTTCCAATCAACATACGTTTTGTAATTTGTAACGATTTATAAAACAAAACGAAGAAAAAGAAAAATTAACCAATATTAGAAATTTTAACTAATTATACTTTTAATCTAAGGTCATGGTTGAGTTTTGAGATGAAAACTTTTCAATTTTATTAATAATTAATAATAATAATAATAATTGATAAAATCAAAGCACTTAACAAACATGTGGTATTTGTTTGGGTTCCTGTCAGGATTTCTGGAAATCAAAAAGCTGTTCAACCGGCAAGGAACACTGCAAACCATCTGCAAAGAACAGATCAATTTCTCTCCGCCCAAATGACATAGTCGCTTATGTTAAAAACATTATCAAACAAAAGTGGGCAAAATGTCTGTAGAGATAGTATGAAAGAAATTAAGCCAGTTGTAAATAAATGGCCAACTGAGGAATTTGTGATTCTCTCTAGATTGCGAATAGGACACGTCAGGCTAATCCATAATAGGCTTTTAATAGGCAACGACCTTCCAACTTGTTTTCGATGTATTCCAAGTGGAGAACGTATCATTCTAACTGTAAAACATATTTTGGTCGACTGTCGCGCTTTGCAACCCTTTAGACAAAGGCTCAACATTTCGAATGATTTAAAGGAGTTACTAGGTCCTCAGATGTCAATGTAAATTTTGAACCAGGTATTTCATACACACATAAACTGTGGTGCTATTCTTGTGGTGTCACATTGATCACAAGAATAGTACCACACTTTATGTATGAAATACTTGGTTCGAAATTTATATTTACATCTTAAATTGTATTTTTTTCCAATCGACATATGTTTTGTAATTTACCCATGCCCTGAAGATGACCTGAATAAAGGTTGAAACATCAGCACAAAAATGGGAAAGGTGTTTTTCTAAACCACATCATTCTTGACCGCTCCTCACAACTTGAATGAATTATGAAACAACAGTTCACTAAAAAATACAATAGAATTATTATTTACAAGCGGTGAATTGATATACTCACCCCATCTTAAATATTTCTATGGATTAATTTATCTGATTTTTAAACAATTTTAACTTTATTTACACATATTGAGTTGGCAAGGAATAAAAAAACAATCCTATTTGATCGTCCCTACCCAAAAAAATCATTAAGGTGGAGTGAGTAAAACTATTCATTGGTAATAAACGATAGTTCTATTCTGGTCTGTAGGTAGAACTATCGTTTACAACCAGTGTCTATACATTAGCAAGCCTTTTTTTAAAATAAAAAAACAGTAAAAATTATATCAACCTGAGAATCTTTAAATACTAATAAAACATTTCAGATCAATAAAATCAATTAGTTTTAACACTCATAAACATAATTGTGCTGACTACTTCAAAGAGTTAATCAACAGATGAACAGTTGGTACATTATACAAATTTACACCGATATAACTAACAGGCGGTATATTGTTACTAACCAGATGTACAAGTGGGTCGAAAAATGACATTTTAGAGATGAACAAAAGGTGAAATTTTGTCTTCTAAACAACGAAACGATTTTCTTAAAATTGTAAAAGAAAAATCGATTACCTTTTATTACTAATGGCCCCAATTATGTCCATTTGTCATTTAAAAAGAGTCAATAATATATTGTTATTGTTTAATAAAACCAATCTTCCTCCCTCACAAAACAAATTAAAATGTTAATTATCTGTTGTTTTTTTTTGTCCGTCTTTGTTTTTAATGATAACAGGGAGGCCTTCCTCGGGCTTAACAGTACATCAGCTGGTCACTTTGTTGCAGTCTGTAGAGTTCTAGAGATGTCTCTAAGATTGAAGAAGAAATGATTTTTTTTTCTTTTTAACTAAAACGACTATTTGTTATTACTATAAATTTTTATTAAATATTTTTTTTACCTTCTCTTCCATCTCAGGGAAATTTTTAAAAAATATATTATGCTAATATCGCTAATATACGTTATATAATGAAATGTATAAACGTAGAACGCAATTTCTTAAACGTATTATAAATGTGATAAAAAATATTGTCAAGAAATTAATTACATTTTTATTTATCTAATTTTAACCGTAATAAAACAAAACATAATTTCTGTGATATTCATATGACATTTATACGAATATAAAGGTTGCAAACTTGTTGTCCTTCAACACATTAGTATAAAAAGAGGCAAAATAATTTACATAATAGTATTGTTTTATGATTTCAAGGCATTTTTATTATTTGTATACAGTGAGTTTGATTATTTGAACATCGGGCAAAATAAATATGCAAAGAATTCTGAGGGTGTTCAGAAATTCTGTGTTTATAAGAGGCATGTCGAATATGTCGGTGAAATATGAGGTATAAATAATATGATAAAGCATACGACTAAGGAAATCTTATGCAAAATTTGATTCAGATTGCAATGTTGTTTCTTCTGTTTTTTTCCCCTAGGAGAAATTGGCATCGATAAATGGATCGTGCATCAATTATTTGAAAGCGGGGAATGGAGAAAATACAGTTTTCTGCCTTCCTGGTGCTCTAGGTAATCCGAATATTTTAGAATTACTGGCAAAAAAGTTAACAAGTTTTTTTGGTATGAATTAAATGGATAGTTATTTAAAAAAGGCGTAAGATATACAGATTTATACGATTAACAAAACCTACGTTGTTACTTCCCAATTTGAATTGTTTTGTATAGATATTTAAATTTTTTCAGAAAACCTTTAAAAATACTTTAAGCAATGCTTTTGATCTTGTAAATTACATTATATAAGTAATAGAAATGATAAATGGTGGAATGAGTGTGTTGTTCAATCTTTTTAAAAAGATTGTGTAATAATGAAATTTACGATTTTCTTTGAAGCATTACCATAAATTAGCTCATCATTTGACCCTAGTCCACGAAGAAAATTCTTTCTTGAACAAAAAGAAAATGATTTTTTTTTTAAATTTTGCTGGAGAATAAAGTCAGTGAGGAAGAGATGTACTTGTAAAAAAACACAAACACAAAAGCCCAATCAAATAAGCAGGCCAACAAAGAAAGACACATAAATACAAATAAACTGTTCAAAACTAGTTAAACAAATACAGGCAGAAGAAAGATGAGAATAGGTGAAAAATAAAGACAGTCAGTGAACAATCTCGTGAAACGATAGCACAGATTTAAAGACAAAAAATTAAACCCCTTTAAAATATGATTATTCAGAAATATTTCTGAATAATCATCGACTAACAGTCACTAATCACCACACACCTTTAAAATATCACGAAATGGCAGACAAGCAAAGGTAAAAGACAGACTGAAAATAGCTTCATATCAAGAAAGATGGAAGCTCATAAACACAGGTAAACAGAATATCTTAGACATTAAAAACAACGACAGATCAGTAAATGTTTTAATTAAGACATAGAGCAAACAAGCTGAGCAAGATAAAAGGAGATGAACACACACAAAAAATTTGAATTTCAAGCATTTAAGCCTATAAAAAAAAGACCTCATACTGAGATAGAAAAGAGACAAGAATAGGTGAAAAACAGACAGTGAACAATCTCATAAAGAGATAGAACAGTTAAAAAGACGAAAATAGCTTTAAAAAAAAAATGGCAGACGAGCAAAGGAAAAAAGGCAGACTGCAAACATTTTCATATCTAGAATGATAGAAATACATATAAACTATTAAATCAATGGCAAACCAGTAAATACCAAGTTTAAACAAAAAGACAAATTAAACCAGCTCATAAATTAAAATAAAAGGACATGAATTTAGAATGAATCCTACATAGACAAAAATAAAAAAATCACATAATTGTAAAAAAATACACTCATATAAAGTGAACAAACAAAAGTCCTGAAAATTAAACCTATAAAAACAAAGAAATGCACAAAACAAAATGTATAGGTGAAAACCAAAGACAGTCGGCAAACAAGTTCATTGAGAAAGATAGCTCATAAGTAGACAAACTGATAAACAAACCTCCACATTGATGAAAATAAATAATCCTCTATGGGTAGACTAGCAAAGGTAAAAAGAGGACAAAAAAAACATAACATCAAAGGAAGATATAAATAGAAATAATATAGCAAGTGTAGGTGAAAAACAAAGGCAAATGCAAATAAACTCACCCAGAAAGACAAAATCACATAAATATACAGGGTGTCCCAGTTCCCTCTGATGAAACTCAGGGAATTGATTCTACTCTTCGTTTGGAGCAAAAAATGCCCAGGAGAAAATTTTCGGAAAGTTCTCTATTTTGAAGATATTCGTCAGTTTAGGTTTTTTCAACTTTTCACTACCTTACCACATAAAAACGCTTACAACTTCCAAAATGTTGAGACTACAACAAATCCAATTACACCATTTGAAAGAATGCTAAATTTGCTGTAAGATACTTTTTTGCAATAATCTGAATAACATAAAATGTTATCTACTGAGGTTACAAAAAAATACCTACAACTTGTCAAATTTCACAAAAACTTTTTCATCTAATAAGCTTTACTTGATATATCCAGGTTTTTAAATAACGTTCTAGTAGAGTTGAAAAATAACAATTGAATGTTCGAAAACGTCAGCTAAGGTAAATTTGAAGGGGGGGGGGGTAGAAATAAATCAATTAGAACTCGCTTTGTAAAATAATATTAATATTAATTAATATTATTATCTTTCAGTAACACACCCTACCTGATACATTCTGTGATGATTATTGTTTAAACTACGATCCCATCCAGCATTTTTCATTCAACCAGTCACACAAGTGTCATTTTTATTTTACAAAGCGAGTTCTAATTGATTTATTTCTACCCCCCCCTTCAAATTTACCTTAGCTCATGTTTTCGAACATTCAATTGTTATTTTTCAACTCTACTAGAACGTTATTTAAAAACCTGGATATATCAACATAAAGCATATTAGATGAAGAAGTTTTTGTGAAATTTGACAAGTTGTAGGTATTTTTGTAACCTCAGTAGAATGTGCAATCATGACCAAAATTTTAAATTTTGTAATTTTGACATGTTCCAACTGATATTGGCTAACATTTTATATCATTCAGATTATTGCAAATAGCAAATTATAGCAAAATATATCTTACAGCAAATTTAGCGTTCTTTCAAATAGTGTAATTGGATTTGTTGTAGTCTCAACATTTTGGAAGTTGTAAGCGTTTTTATGTGGTAAGGTAGTGAAAAGTTGAAAAAACCTAAATTGATGAATATCTTCAAAATAGAGAACTTTACGAAAATTTTCTCCTGGGCATTATTTGCTCCAAGTGAAGAGTAGAATCAATTCCCTGAGTTTCATCAGAAGGAACTGGGTCATCCTGTATATAGAAAAAATATGATACATATACAAATAAAGAAATTCTGAGACGGACAAACAAAAATTAAAAGAAGAATGTGAAAATACAAACACGCAAATATAAACATACCACTGTAGTCATACAAATAAAAAAGTGGCCGTAACCAGACTTCATAAGAAACATTAAAGGCAGACAAACAACAATAAAAAACATAAAATTCGTACAATTTAGTATATAATATTCGTACAGACACTGTAGGCATCGAAACAAAAGAGTTAGACAGTAAATACATGCATATCAAGAAAAACCGAAGACCTGTATAGACGAGTGGATACCCAAACATATATAGACATAAATAAATAATCACAGAAAGACAGACTATCAAGGTTAAGTATCAAGACAGACAGCAAACAGACTCAAGACATCACTACATAAACCAAAAATATACAAACATATAAACACAAAAAACCCAGTAGGTGTAAATAAAGAAACTCAATATTAAAAAACAGATAGAAAAATATTGAAGATATAAACAATATATCCACAATCAACATCACTACAGAAAAAACAACAACTTGGTAATAAACAACACATGCTAAGAAGAAACATAAAACTAACCATTGTGAAATGCCAATAAACAAAAGAAGCAAAAAGGTTGATCAGAGACAATTTGGAACCCAGATTTCATCATTGAAAAATAAACTTTTTGTTTTTAATCTGTTGACAAATAGTCATCTTAAGAAATACCATTTAAAATTCTAAAATGGGGATCGATTGTAACTAAATTTGTTTTCACATTAGAGTGAACAATATTTTATATTATTCATATAATTAATCATGTTTGTTTTAGGAACAATCTGGTCTGATTTCAAACCTCAGGTAGAATTTCTCTGCAACCATATGACAGTTGTGGCTTGGGATCCGCCAGGTTACGGTAAAAGCCGCCCACCGCCAAGAGATTTCTCAGGGCACTTTTTCGAACGTGATGCTGATGCTGGTGCTTGCCTAATGGAAGTATGTCAGTCTTTGTTCAACAAAATTTAATAAAAACAAATCAAAGGTCAAAGTGTTAACAAAACTCGTATAATGTAAAACTTCAGTCAGTTCTTGCAATTATTTTATTTATAGTAGGTAACATTTTTTTCAGCACCTTGGTATTAAGAAATTCTCGATATTGGGATGGTCGGACGGAGGCATAACTGGGCTAATCATCGCGGGAAAGTATGCTGAAAGGGTAGATAAAACAATAGTATGGGGGGCAAATGCTTATGTTACTGATGCAGACATAAATCTATATGAAGGTAATTGTCCTTTTTCCTTATTTACAAATTGACAAATACAGCTTTTTTTTATATGAAAATGTTATAGGAATTCGTGATACGAGCAAATGGTCAGAGAAAATGCGTGCGCCTCTTGAAGCAGCTTACGGTAAAGAGAATCTTTCAAAAATGATGTCAGATTGGGTAGAAGCAATGATACGCTATAGGAACTCAGAAGGTGGAGACATTTGTAAAACGCACTTGCCAATGATTACATCAAAAACATTGATCGTACATGGTGATAAAGACCCCCTTGTTCCTTCCGAGCACCCTAAATATTTAATGGAAACTATATCCAAAGCTGCATACCACAATTTCCCAGATGGAAAGCACAATCTTCACTTAAGATACAGTCAAGAATTCAATACTCTTGTAAGAGATTTTATATGTGATAATTGATAATTTTGTAAATTAATTATTTTGGCTGTTTATACTTGTATTAATAATTTTAAGAGGATAAAATTAAATAAATCAAATACGAGTAGAAAAACAAAAAAATTCAATTGTATTTTAACAATTTAAACTATTCCTAATAATGTACAAACATAGAAAAATATTTTTTTAAATTATACGTCTTTTTACAATCATGTCGACGTTTGTATTTTATGTAGCGACACCGTCAGGGTGGCGTTCGATAATCATTCCCACTCCTTGACCACCTGCGGCACAGGCTGCGACAAGTGCGAACTGTCCATCTTCACGGATGAGGCGGTTTGCCGCATGGACTGTCAGGCGTACACCGGTTGCTGTAAAAATCGTTAATCGGTCAATTCTTGTTCAAAAGTGCTTACACGACGTAAAATACCTGCAAAAGGATGTCCGATACTTAATGAACCACCCCAGTTGTTGAATTTTGAGAGCGGAGGTGTTCCGACTTTCGACTGTCTGCCCATGTATGTCTGAGCAAACCAGTCTGAGTCCATGGCCTTCAGGTTCGCAAGAATTTGTCCCTTCAAGAAAATCAAATTTAAAAATGTTCAATAAATAAATAAATAAAATAAAATAAAAAACTTACAGCAAAGGCCTCATGAAATTCCCAAGCATCAATATCACTTACACTGAGTCCAGCTTTTTCAAGCACTTTTGGTGTAGCATAGGCCGGCCTGAAACAATTATGAATGAATGTAAAAGGTGTAAATTCTTTAAAAACTAAAAATAATTTTTTTTAAATGTATCTTTACCCAAGTAAAAGCTGGTCTTTGGGGTCTTGTGAAACGTACACAAAGTCCCTCAAGTATGCTTTCGGTTTAAGGCCAAGTTGTTTAGCCTTCTCTTCTGTCATAATAAGACATGCAGAAGCTCCATCAGTCTGAAAAGATTAGAAAATTAATGTTTTATTAAAGTAATCAAAAGCACTAGTGATCGACTTATACAGGGTGAGTCTTTTTTGACGCACCATTGGAAAATCAACGAGGGTGCATTTAAATCTGACTCGAGGCTTCTTTCCTTTGATTAGTACGTTACTAAAAGAAAATGAGTCAATTGTCGGTGCACCATAGGGAAATCAACGTTGGTACGTCTAATGGACCACCATAGGGAAATAACTTGGCACATTTTATTTTGTTAGTCTACTACCAAAAACTAGGCGAGTCACTTTTCGACACACCATTCGTTACAAATTAGTTTTAGTAGGTTGGAAGGTAAATAAACAAAACCAATATGATTAAAACATTCAAACAAAATGTAAAAATTTAAAAAAAATTCTTCACAAATTAATTTGATTAAGGTTTAAGAGTATTTTTTTCGTCCGATTATCATTTTACGATAGACTAGGCTACTGTGTTGCAGCAAACGGAGGTCTGTTCGAACAATTATTATAATGATTTTGAACATTTTTGGTTTGCTAACAAACGAGATTGTTACATTTATTTAATTTTTTTACTTCAGCAGAAAAAAGGAGATTGTTACATTTATTTATTTTTTTTACTTTAGCAGAAAAAAGGATTGTTACACTTATTTAATTTTTTTACTTTAGCAGAAAAAAGGAGATTGTTACATTTATTTAATTTTTTACTTTACCAGAAAAAAGGATTGTTACATTTATTTAATTTTTTTTTTACTTTACCAGAAAAAAGGAGATTGTTACATTTATTTAATTTTTTACTTTACCAGAAAAAAATACTCTTAAACCTTAATCAAATTAATTTGTGAAGAATTTTTTTAAAATTTTTACATTGTGTTTGAATAATGTTTTAATAATATTGGTTTTGTTTATTTTCCTTCCAACCTACTAAAATTAATTTGTAACGAATGGTGTGTCGAAAAGTGACTCGCCTATTTTTTGGTACAAGACTAACAAAATAAAATGTGCTGAGTCAAAATTAGACGCACCAACGTTGATTTTCCTATGGTGCACCGAAAATTGACACTTCCTTTTTTTTAATGTTAAAATCAAAAGAAATAGGCCTTGAGTCAGATTTAAACGCGCCCACATTGATTTTCCTATGGTGCACCGAAAATTGACACTTCCTTTTTTTAATGTTAAAATCAAAAGAAATAGGCCTTGAGTCAGATTTATGCGCACCCACGTTGATTTTCCAATGGTGCGTCAAAAAATGACTCACCCTGTATATCAACCAAACAAAACTTGAAATTTTATATTTGATTATAGAATAATTACCATTAATACTTACCAAGAATGACGCATTAGCAGCTGTTACAGTTCCATGGGGCTTGATAAATGCAGGGTTGAGCTGGGCAAGTTTTGCTGGTGACGCAACCCTGATGCCGTTGTCACGTTCAACCACTTTATCACTTCCAGGCACTAAAAAAAGAAAATAAAATAAAAAATAAAATTGAAAACAGAGTTATATTACAATTTGACAACCTTTAAATGGTACTATATCTGTAAGAAAACCCTTGTTGGTAGCCTCTTCAGCAAGTGTGTGTGACCTCAGGGCATATTCATCCTGCTCGTTTCTTGAAACCTTAAACGCAGCGGCTAATCGATCTGCTGAATGGCCCATTGTTTCACCACTAGAGAATTCAGCAACAGCAGGCAACTTTGCAGGACAAATAATACTAATATAATTTCCAAGGGGTATCACAAAGATTTAAGGATAAAAAAAAGGAATTAAGGAGAGAGGTTAGGAGTTACCACAACTTCCTGATCAATTTCTTCTAAATCAGGCAATTCGTTAAATTCATCTCGAAAAGGTAACTAAGGATGGGGAAAATGCTCAATTTTAAACAAGTATCTATTACAAAAAAAATATATATACAGTAGATATTAAATCTTAATAGAAAATCTCACCTCAGGGACAAAGAAATCAGGTCTAAGAGATGAAAGGAGCTGTAGTTTCTGCATTGGTGTTTTAGCCTTGTTCGCTTTGAGCATGAGCGCACGCATTTTTCTTGAGTGACGAATCGGAACATCGCTCATTGTTTCGACACCTCCAGCGACAACAATTTCATGCGCACCGGCAGCTATCATCCCGATACCTGAAGTAATCCCCTGGTTACTGCTGATGCAGGCCATAGTGACAGTGTGTGCTGGTGTTTTATCGCTAAATCCCGCTGTAAGAGCCGCATCCCGGCCGATATTAGACGTCTTCACTTCTTGAATGACCGTACCGTAGATAATATATTCGACCATTTCTTTTGGAACCTTTGTCTTTTTCATCAGTGACCTTTGACAATTGATATTACATTAAAGTTTACAGTTTAATACATATTAAAAAAAAATTCATACATCAGAGCATGTCCTGCCAGCTGGTGGGGCATCAATTTAGAATAGTCTGTTCCTGACAATAAGAAAGGTGTTCGGACTCCATCGACAAAAACAATGTTTTTTCCTGTTTTGTCTTTTAACGATTTACGTGGTGTTGCGTTGACTAAAGATGTGCTAATGCAACGGATGGCTCCTAAAATGTATTAAACATTTTATTACATAGGTATATTGTAAATTTAAAACTTGTCTCAACAAGTAGAATAGAAATTCATCTACAAAATAAAATTTTAAATATAAATAATCATCTAGTTGTTTATATTTTGAATCACAAAAATCACCTATCCTGTTATTTTTTGCTGTCTTGGGTTAGATTTAATCTTGATCATTCTGCCAAACTAAGAATGTCACCAAGTAAATTGATAACTAAGCAATTTCAGCCACGAAAACCTTCATTTTTTAATCAGCCTTTCCTTTGGTCTGCCTATCCTTCCCATTTTTGTCTGTCAGTCAGATTTTAGCTTTATGAATCTTCAGTACTGGGTTGGCGCTTTTTGTTTATTCAGGCCCCTTTTATATATTTTATAAAGGTGAAAGGAATATGACTGTTGGCAACTTTGACGGATTAAATTTTGGTTTTTTGCCACCAATCAGCCAAAATGAGTCTGATACAATTATCATATGACCGTAAATGACAAGACTTCAGATTCAAATAAGTAATTTCAGCCATAAACATTCTCAGTTTTAAATAGGCTTCCCTTTGTAAATATCATAGGGTAGTTTAGACATTTCTGATCATTTTGATCTTGCTGTTTTGATATGCTTTTGCTTCTTGCCATCTTCAGTACTGGGTTGGTGACATTTTTCGTTTATTCAAGTCAATTTTATACATCCTTGGAAAGTGAAAAGAGTATACCTGTTGGCAACTTTGATCGATTAGATTTTGGTTTTTCGCCACTGAAAATAACAAGAAGCCAAAACATGTCTGACAGACTAAAATTATCAGAAATGACCAAAATAGAGGTTTATCACCCCTGTAGAAACCTGAACAACATTGACCAGAAGAGAAAATCAAACAATTTATCATGGAATGGGCGATATTTGTTTTTCTTCCATTTCATGCGAGACAGATTCACAGGCTTTGGAACAAAAGTAGACATTGGGCAAAACGTGTGTGGCCTATTCTGAGTCTGGTGTGAACGATCCCTTTCTTCAAACCAGGCTCTCTAATGATCATTCAATATTAATGAGATACTTCTGATCAGGCTGACTTCATACAGTAATTTATCATATTTTATTGCTGTTAATGTTATTTTATACCTATAAATATTTCTACGAAATAAATAAACAAGTAAACGTATCATAAATATCTTGATACAGTTGAAATACTTTTGTACACTTATTAATCATAAAGAACAACTTTTGTTTAAAAATTAAATAGAACAACTTTCACCTGAAATAGAAAATATAGAATAAAGTCCAAACTGATAACAAAAAACAAAACAAGAACTTAAGATACGTTATCTCTAGAAAGTCCTAAGAGAACCTTGAAGTTTTTCTTTCATTAATATTGTTTTTATATTTATTTTAAATGTTCTAATTTTCTTATTTCTGAATTTCACAACTCTACAAACTAGCGCAAACATATATCTAAAAATATCCGTTTTGTAATTAATCCAATTTGATAAATCAAATGTCGAAAACATGTCCAATTATAGGTGAAAAATCGTTATCACCCTGGGAAGCTCAATATATATAAAAAATAAATATAGATTAACTCACCGAAACCAATTTTTGGTGTTATTACTGTTTTCAGCAGAAGGCTCATTTTGATTTGCTTTTCCGAACGGTCGATCTAGCCAGAAACTGTCACAAATAGCACTAGGAAAATAACTACCAAGTGACAAGAATTGTCGTCCTAGAGTAGGGGGCACTGGGTAGGGGTCAGAGGGTCGGGATTGTTACAATGGTGTAACAATCGAAACAAACAATTGTTGTATCGATACAAAAAAAATCATTTATTTACAACAAGGACAATTTAAATAATAAACTGTAAAAATGTTTATAAGATTTATTTCTATATGTTGGCCGATTAGAATGGTTTAGAATAGTGCAGTATCGATTTAAAATTGATGCAGTCAACTAGAGTAGCATAGAAGTCAAAGAGGGAAATTTAATATGAAGATATACTTTGTTAAAAAAAAAAAAACTTTATAAAATTTTCCAATCTTTTTACCAAAGTTGTATTTATTTTTCGCTAACTTCTGCAAAATTATAATTAAAAATACAAAGAGAAATAGATACGTGTTAAAATTCAGCCAAATAAATCAGTTTTTCGGGACAGTTTCTCAATTTATAAAGCAAAATTGTTTCAAGGATATACTCAAAAACCTTGAAGCATAAAAATTCAGGATACACAAAACCACAATTCTGCTGGATTGTTGAAACTAAATTTGGGATAGAAAGAAGCGCTATAAAAAAATTACATCGAAAAGCTCCAGGATTTCAGTACAACACAAATATTACAATTGACCCCACAGAAGTAACATACCTGTACAATGCTTACTCGGAACCACACACTTTCTATTGTAATGGAAGCTCTCAATAATTAAAATGATTTATAAGTCAAATAAAGAATATACTTGCCTATAGTGTGGGCGACGAAAATGAAAAGCAAAACAGGAGATATTTTTGAAGAGAGTCAGAGGATAGACTTAAAAGATGCTAAAAGGCCGCCTATATGATGAGACCCATGCTGAATCCATAGAAGTCGTCCTTCAAAGCAGGGCTACTCTTAAGCAAATAAAAGACGGAAAACAACTGAACTTGTCGGAAGTAGAAGATCATCAAGTCAACTAGACTCGCTCAAAAGTGCTTAAAATAGCCAATACTTGCAGTTTATGAAAAAGTAGATAGACGCAAGATGGCAAACAAGATGAGAAAGCAGCAAGAAGGGTAGACTGATTATCAAATTCTTCCCTAAAATAAAGAGAGGGATAAAGTTAACTGGCTGCTTTCTGATGATTGTATGATGCAAATCCTAGACAAATTCAAGAAAAACTTCTCAGAATATTATTGCCCATAAATGAAAATTCCAAATTGCCGAACATCAGTTTGGATTTTGCTCATTTCATTCAATTGCAATATCGACAATATTGCTTCTTCTTTTGAACAAAATCAGCATTGCTTGGGAGACTTTCTTCAACATTCTCCCTATTGCCAAGTCTGTGGGGAACTGAATTTTCTTTTTATTACATAAGGTTGGGTTTTCCCAGGGAAGTGTACATGGCCCATATCTATTTTCTATTTACACTGCAGATATTCCTAACAAATTTACCAGTTTGTTTTTAATTTCAAATTAATTCTCCTCTTAAAATGTTTTGGGTGGAAATTATCCGTACAGTGTGGTGCATGCTCGACGCACCATAGGAAAAAATGAGATTTAATTGTGATTACGAATGTATTAATGAATCATTTAAGCAGGTGGTGCATGTATATTATTGTTTTTTTCTCAAAAAACTCAAAATATTCTCACTTATTAATTAATTACACAGAAAATTATGAGACCATGGTAGTCGGGGGTTTAGGGCGTCTGACTCGTATTTGCCACGCTAGGGGTCCTGGGTTCGAATCCTGGCAGAGCTCATGGTTTTTTTAATGGATCATAGTATGAAAAATGTATTGTAATGTGCTTTGACCCCTCGTTCACGACACCCAACGAGTACTTGGATGTTAAGCCCTCCTGTATGACTTGAATTACTTACTTTTACTTACAGAAAATTATACATTTCTTTTAAAAAATTCTAACAGATAGTTGATCACTCATCCGGGGGGAGAGACTTTATAACAACAGCGTATATTTTTTGTTTATTTGTTCACCCAGAAATTTTAACACTTTCAAACAATGTTTCCGGAGAAAGATACGTAGAAAATTTATTCAATCAACGCTCGGCGGGGCCGCACACCTCAGTTTCACCGTTCAACGATGGATGTTTATGTTTGAAGAAAGTTTTCCACAAATAAATTCCAACAGGGTGAAACTCTAGAAAGCAATTAACAAGTGCTTTTCCCTTTATTGTATTTCTTGTCCCAGTGAGTGGGGTAGTTTACTTATAAAACACGGTTTTAAATTTAAACAATATAAATTGGATATTTTAATTTTTTTCCTGTAATACGAAATTTCAATCGTGTTCAGCTTAACAAGTAAAACAAACTTACGCGATTGTTTAAAAATCCAAATCCAAAATGTTTGTTTTAATACGCATAAGATTTAACCTTTAAATTATGCAAATAACCAATGTATGGGATTGATAATTTGCTCGTAATTTATCTTTTTTGTTTTCTTTATCTGAAGATAAAAATAAATGCATAATTTCCTGCGAACGTTTATGGTAAGTTTTAAACCAAACGAATTTTTAAGAAAAGCATAAATATTTAATAAAACAAAACTTCACACGAAGAAAATTTGTTTTTAAATATTTCAACAGGTAAATTTTACAGCTTCAAAATGTAACAATCAAGGCCTTTTTAAAAAAATGTGAAAAAGTGGTATTTTTAGAAAATTTGCTGAGGGACTGCACTATTTTCTAATCGGCACTGTAAAAGGCTTCATCCCAAGGTGGGGGCGGCGATACGAGCACTGAAAGCCCCTTCCCATTTTGTAAATTGTGCGTTGTAAAATTGTACATAGGAAATTTTAAATTTTACAGTCGGTTGATACTCTTAAAAGCGGAAAGGCAAAACGTTCTCATCTTTATAAAATGAAACGTAAGTAGTTACATATAGATTGCTAACGTTTCATACTGACACAATTAAAAAAAAATCTTATGAAAAGATAATGCTGAAGTAGATGATAAAATTCATATTACGTACTTATTAGTAATTCTATTTTAATAGCAGTATGCGAAATAAAGACGATGTGTATTAATTATCATCTTATGAAAAGAAAATTTTTTGAAAATAAATAGTTTTTGATATATTTTTCTAGCTAGGCAACAGTTTAAAAAACAGACTTTGTTTGACTTTGTTCGCCTTTAAATATTAGACGTACAACCAAAAAATATCTATTTTTTTTTACGAGGGTTCAGAACAGCAGAGGTTATATCAACCCTCGGGGTGCCGGTGTTTTTGAAAAAAGCCCATTTGTAAGTATGTCGGGTTCGAATGCGGGGCCGCTGGATTCGAACCCGAGACTTTTACCTTACAGTGATGAGCGCTGTGTCAACGCCTAAACCGTTGCGGTCACCAACGCCCCCTCAAAAAGCCAAATTTTTAAATATTCCTATGCTTTTTGTAATACATACACACACACACACACACACACACACACACACACACACACACATATATATATATAATATATATATTTTTTTAAATTATGTTTTAAACTCTAATGTGTTTATTGAAAATTAATTTGGAGTTAATTCCACTTAACTTATTAAATTTACCCTTGTGGATCGACGTCATGATAGCTCAAGTGGTAGAGCACCGGCGTATCTAGCCGAAGAACGTGGGTTCGAATCCCGCTCGTGACACTGACTTTTGTATCTCAACCAACCGTTGCGGCCACCGATGTCCCCCAAGTATCTTCTTTCTGTACGATATATAAATTATAATCCAAAGACAAAAAACTTTTAGCAAAATATTTTTATCTACACAAATCACTACTAATTTCCTCACCTTTTGGTGTAATAGGGATTTCCCCCTTTTGCCCTTAAACTTGCATTTACTCTGCTGCTGATGATGATGGATAGGAAGAGGGGGTTTTTGTTCCCCAAGCACTGCTGCCTTCTGTGTTATTGTACTTTCCTAGTGCCTTACTTCAGTGCAGTCTACTCGATCCTTCTAACTAGGACAACGTCATTGACTGTTTTTCCTGCAATTCCTTTTCTGGGATGTTTTTGTATCCCAGGTTATTTCTCTATTGAGCGGTTGATTCGCATTCGAAGATGGTATAGGAAGTCGTTTCAACCACCTGATTGCATAACCTACAAATGAGGTCATGGTTGAACTGGAGTAGCTCCTATTGCCAAGTTGGATGCGGTTTGAACAGAAAATCAATCAGTTGTATATTGTTTGTGCGCTGCGTTGTGCTCTCACTCCCGTATACAAGCCAGTTGTAAAGGATTTGCTATGTTGTCTCGGTCTCCTTAACAGTTGAGATTAGTCATCTCCTATTAGGCCCCTTTTTTAAGTTGTATTTTACTGGAGCATGTCCTGTAAATATACCTGTTCGGGTTTTTAATTTGTTTTGAGTAACATGTCTTCTTTCTCTGATAATATTTATTTGTATCCTGTACATGAATTGTACATTATAAATTCTTCTGTATATTTTCTTAATATAAAATCCCGGGTATAACACTAACGCTCCGACCGGAGGACGTGTGAGCGTGACAGGTGTGCATGACAAGCCAACCAACAGTGGCACTCAGTGTGATATCGTGTTCAGGCGAGGTCACGGGAGCATTACCGTTTCAGGCGATGTGGAGGATCCTTGGGATGAGAAGAAATGGAGAGGGCTTGACCAGTAGGATTAGGATGGGTTAAAACTTGAGGAAAGCGGGAACGGATCAATTCTTTGACGAAGGGAATATTTAGGCCATTGTGGATAGTGAGATTGGTGATATAGTGAGGAGTTTGGAAAATTCTTCTGAGAACTTTTCATCGGAAAGCTTGGATTCGTTGGATGTTGGACGGTTTGGTGGTACCCACTGTTCTGTTCCTTATGTTAAAATAGGTGTAATGTTTTGAACAGAGTTAGTTTGTTCTTTACCATCTAATTTCGATCCTATAAGTCTTCATAGTTGTCCAAAATGTCTATTTAGTTCTTGTCGCTTGAGTCTTGGTGAGGTTTCCACGTCATTCTACTCTATAAAAATAACCCTAAGAATTTTATTTGTGTACATGTCGGTTGTTGTTAACGTACGGACCTAAACGAGGCTGTTTGTTTAGCGTAAACGTAATTTGGGTTCATTTGTCCTCGTACTGTTTCATTTTCCACGTTTTGCACCATTATTCAATGAGCTCAAAATGCTCTTGGATATTAGAGGTGGCTTTGGGATTGGAGTTAGGAGAAACAATTGCAGTATCGTCCGCGTAGGTTGCAAGGACGTTGTTGGGAAGAATCGGCAGGTTAGCAGTGTAAATTGTATATATGATGGGACCAAGAATGCTCCCTTGTGGGACGCCGGCCTGGATCGGTCTGTCATTTAAAAACTCGTTGCCGCATCTCACTCTGAACCAGTTGTCAGATAGAATTTTATAATTCTTTATTCCATTAGCTTTAAAATTCTCAGTAAAATAGATTATTTATACCTAAACGACTCTTTACTGATTTCCACGATGAAGATGTAAAGTCGCGCTTCGCGAAGTTTCCCCTGACTTTCGCATAAACAAGCAAGTATGTAAGTCACAGGCCGCTGTCACACGTCGCCTCCGTTCTTCTTCTTTACTGGTTGTTTCATTAGTTATTACTTTAGGCAGAACAAGCAAAATTAAGTATACTCCTAGGAAAGAAAAAGTAAAAAAAAAGCCAATAATTTCTATATTGGCTCTATTCGGGTGGTTATACTATGTACAGTGTATAATTAGTTAACAAGATTTGGGTCTTATTTAAGTCATAATTTATAGTATATTTAATTAAGAAATACCCAGGCCTCGATATTTCTTCTCTGTTTCCATTAAAATCGTGAAATAAATAAACGTCGAAATCCCCTCTAACGCCATGGAAACGGTAGAAAATTCAAATCGCTCAATTAAGACGTCGGCGGCCCCCATTTGCGGAATTCCGACTCCCCCAATTGAGGAAGCGAGGACCGGCGAAGTGTGAACCGTACGGGGTCCAATATAAGGCATTCCAGGACGCGTGGGAATTCAGTTTAATAAACCGCCCCAATTGGGGGGGGCGGGGGTCCGGCCCGGAGGATCATTTGACGTTGACTTTCAACGGATCAAGAGAAAGATTCGGACCCGTTGAAAACTCGCAGGAATGTTTCGACTTTTATTATCGATTCCAATTTTGACCAATTTCTCAGCTCATCTGGGTAATAATTTGATGGTTGCATGCCCGGGCTGAAGCGTGCGAGGTATTTGTCATTGTTAGACCTTGGCTAATTTCATCAACGCATTTGCGATTACCTACTCACAGAATGAAGTTTTCAGGTATTCACGTTGATATACAGTTAATCAATCAATTATTGATTACAACAATGATTAAATAATATTATCATTTTATTACAACTAATCTTTCCATAAAGGCTATTAACAATAAAAATCAACTAATTGGTAGTTCCAAATACCCTAGAATAATTTAACGCCAATTACAATTACTTAATAAGCAATAGTCTAAAATCATATATCACGTATTAAAACCAACTTTTTATCCATAAAAAATACACCACTGGTATTATATTAGATCAATATTTATCATTGAATATCTAATACTTTATTTGGAATGAGGGAAGAAATAAACAGCTCAAAAATGAATAGGGGATATTGCCAATTTTGTAGTATTTACTTTCCCTAACAATTTTATTTTCTTTTTATTATAAATTGCATTAAAGTATGTTAGTAATAATATGTTTTTACTGAAGGAAAATTTAATTAAGGGATTTTGAAAAATAACAAAATAAAAGGTTATTCTATAATTTGGTTCATTGAACGCAAATGTTTTCGTCATATATTTTCTTAAGGAATTTCACTTCATAGATGTTGCAACGCTGCACATGTTTGCAGAGTTGTTGCAGGTCAACTGGCTGCGGATGGTGATCGAAAAGCCTTCTGTGCAACGAATCCCACATGTGTTCAATGGGATGAATACTCTGCCTCTATGAGGTCTGGCATTGTCATCCAAAAATCGAAAATCCCTGCCAATTAGATCCCTGGTTTGAGGGATGTATTCCTCGATAAGTTTTTGGACATAACGGACTGCGGTGAGGGTCCTTCGACAATATGGAGTCCGGTTCGTCTTCCAGACTAAACCCCAGCCCAGAGCATTACACCAACTGGGCATTGTTCGCAACCCTGTTCTCGGTAGACTTTTCGGCGCCTGCTATCATTAAACAGACAGAAACGCGACTCATCAGTAAACATCATTCAAATTGGTGTTCTCTTCTAGGAGCTCGCTGCACCATATTCTAGTGAAATTGCTAACCACCCCCTAGCTGGTGCTCCTCTAGGGGGTGGTTAGCAATTCCACTTAAAACAAAACCGCGGCCGGGGCGGATCCGGAAGTTTCTACTACTTATACTCTGGGAGATAGAGTGGCCTTCTCTATCTAGGGAGCGCGCAGGAGACCGGACTTGAGTATGTCAGCTTAGGTAGCATAAAACCCGCGCGCGGCATACGACCCGATGCACAATGCGGGCCCGACCATTCGGAGTGGACAAGCGGAGAGCGAGGTTGTTTTGGCCCTTCGGGGCTGAGACGCCGCTACACCAATGGTGCGGCGGTAACACTATTCCGTCGTATGCGGAGGTGCGTCAGCTCTCATCTTGAGAATCAAAACATCCGATAAGGCCAGGTTGAATAGGCCAGGTGCGGACGCTAAAGATTCCTCTATTCTTGTGACGACGAGTACTCGGAAACCTCATGCACCATATTCTCGTGAGTTGCTGCAGATCTTCTCAAATGGGCATACGACGTGAGGCCAACTTCCCATTCGTAATCGTTTGTGTTGATAAACGCTTTGCCAAAACTTCTCGTACTTCATTTATGATTTGGCGAGCACTATGGAAAGGGTCTTGCAGCAATGACAATATTTCGGTAATTCTGTCCTCCCTTCGTGTTGTAATGCGCAGAGATCCACTACCAGGGCTCCTATTGGCATTTCCGGTCTCATGGAATCGGGCTAAGCCCGGAGGACCACGCTCTGAGAAGCACCGACTGCCTCTGCGATATCCTCTTGCCGGTGAACTCCATGACTCATTCTAACAATAATATTCTCATAATAATATAAACTTCTGGTTCAAGATGATGTCTTTCCATGGTTAAAGAGAATACAACTGGATTAAAATAGAGAAAAGACGAGAAAAGGTGTTTGTTTACAAAATGAATAATGATTACTCGGAGATCGTGAGATGGGTCTGGTGTGACGTAGGTTTTAGAAAAACATTTTCTTTATAGTGCCAACGTTTCGATGTTTATTGAGATCATTTTCAGGGCTTGGGATTTATAAACATTGTTTAAATTTTACAAATACATGCAAGATGTGGAAAAAATGAATTTATGTAATGCTAGAATTTTTAAATTCAATCAAATTATTTGTACTAACTCAAAGTGTTTGTTTTCTGTGTACATGTGTCATTTTTGTGTGTCGTGTTGCAGTGTAGTTTGAAAGTGTGAGAAAATGAATAACCTTCATGTTTACTATTCTTAAGTAAATCCGTTATTAAAAATGAGGATTAACATTTGTTTGTTTTTGGTTTGTATTTTCTATTTTGTTTTATCCGACTAACAATAATACATCCGTTAATTTAATTAAAATTAATAGAATAAGAATAAATCACAAATATCCCTATTAATTTTTGAGCAGTTTATTTTCCTTTCAATACATTTTTAAAGTAAGAGTCAGACTTTTGTAAACATATTTATCGGCCTCCTGCCAAACCTTGATTATTTGAGCTTTTCTAAGAAAATAATTACAGCCTGAGGGGAGGAAAAACCAATTACCCAGGGAATGAAATTTACTATCTCCCAGTCACCTTAAAAGATTTCATTAAAGAGGGGTACAAATGTCAGGTGTCATTGATCTGCGATTTCCGTTATCCTACGTGGAAAACGAAAAATGGAAAAGCGGTGGGTGATTTTGTTTCAAAGGAATAAAACGAACCAGAATTCTTCGGTATGAAATAGTGTTAAAATTTTGTTGTATTGTATAAATCGCTTTCTGGCTGTCGTACACACCCAGAATAACATATCGGTATTGTTTTCGTGACAATGCCCTCCCAACATACAAAGCAAAACTTTCCCGACATGGAATAGAGCTTCTACCCTTCTAAAGCAACAACCGATAGTCCTCGACCTTCCTCCCGCAAGCCCCCTCTTCTTTTCTATAGGAAGAAAGTTTTCTTTCGAGATATCCATCCGTATTTATTCAAACGTACAAAACGAAAATTTCCCGAAACGGATGGAATCGAGCATATACTGCAACCATCCTATAGTCCTGGAATTTGATCCTGCAGATCACCTCTTTTTTATCTGTGGAACGTAAGTTTTCTTCTGGTGCATGCTCATGCTGAAGTACTCTTCTAGTCATACAAAACAAAACCTTTCGGTAATTGATAGAATCGATCCTCTACCGCAACATCCAGCAGACCTGGACCTTGCTCTTTTAATTCACCTCTTCCCTCTGTAAGAAGAAAGTTATCTTTCGAAAACATCATCCATCCGTACACGTTTCAATATACAAAACAAAGCTTTCCCGAAAAGGATGGAATCGAGCTTCAACCGCAAATGCACAATAGTCCTGGACATTGCTCCCGCAAACCACCCTTTCTTTTCTGTGGGAAGAAAGTTTTCTTTCGAGACATCCATCCGTACATATTCCAACATGCAAAACAAAAATTTACCAAAAATGTATATGCAGATGTAATATTCGGGGTGGATAATAAGATCCATCGTTCTGTACCTAGAGTTGAATTTCTTCTACAGTTGTACATCCCAATTATTTCCTCCTGCAGGCAAATGTGGCGCCACAGTTTGTTAGACGGTGTGGTAGTTTCTCATCGGCTTCCTTGCAAAATCTGCACGTGCCATGTTGGATTATACCAATTTCTTCAAATTCCCATTCAGTCCGCAGTGTACTGTTAAGAAGCCTGTCAGGATTCCTGCTTCCATTGATGCATTGCTTTGATTTCTTTCCTTCAGAACCTCGCCAGGTTCTTGGATTGCTTCTGTTCAATGAGTGAATTCCACTGTTTCTTCATTTTCATCTTGTCTTTTAGTTTAGATACTCATTGATGGTGTGAATCCCAAGGTAAGGCTCAGGACCTACCAATGATATAGCAGCCCCCTTCCTTTCAAGGGGGCCGATGTCCTGTTACCCTCTACCCCTACATGTCCTGGTACCCAGCCGGGAGAAACTTTATTTTGCATTTCTAATCGATTTAATTTAGTTTTGCAATTCATCACCATATTCGCGCTAATGAAGTTTGAGCTTAGTGCTTTAAGGCTCCCTGGCTATCTGTCTTATTCTTTTATTTGTACCCTTACAGATTGAATTGAATAATCTCAAAATTGTATGGGCTGAAAGATACCGGTGTACTAGTTTAAATAGTTCTGGACCTTGCTCCTTTAATCACCTCTTCCTTCTTTAGGAAGGAAGTTTGCTTTGGAATCCATCCGTACACATTCAAACATATAAAACAAACTTTACACGCATGGATAGAATCAAGCTTGTATCCTTCTATCGCAGCAACCAATAGTAGTGGATTTTGTTCTTGCAGACCAGCTCTTCTTTCTATGGAAAGAAAGTTTTCTTCCGGTGCATCATTATACGGCAGTACACTTTCAGACATAGAAAGCATAATCTTCTGAAACGGATTGAATACTCCTTGAATACCCCATACTTCTACAGCAAACGCCCAATTCTCCTGAGCCTTGTTTCTTTAATCACCTTTTTAATTCAGCGCCATCTTCGCGCTAAGGAAGTTTGAGCTTAGTGCTTTGATGCTGCCTGGCTATCTGACTTAATCTTTTGTTTGTACCCTTTGTGTAGATTGAACTGAGTACATCTCAAAATTGCATAGCCTGAAAGATACCGGTATACTAGCAGATGGTGGCAAACATCTAATAGTCTTGGACCTTGCTCCTTTAATCACCTCCTTAGGAAGGAAGTTTTCTTTCGAGACATCATCCATCCGTAAATATGGAAAAAACTTTTGTTTTGTACGTTGGAATTCCACGAAATGCTCTTCTACCGCAGCCACCTATGGCCCGGGAATTTGCTCCTACAGATCAGCTCTTCTTTCTATGGAAAGAAAGTTTTCTTCCGGTGCATCACCAGCAAAAGACCCAATACTCCTGGACCTTGCTCATTTCATTCACCTCTTCCCTCTATAGAAAGGAAGTATTTTTTCGATGCATTCTCTAGCTGAGCATTCCCCAATTTACATAAATAAACATTTCCGAAAAGAATAGAATTAAGCTTCCAAAGCGGCCATTCGATAATCCTAAACCTTGTTCCTGCAGACCACCTCTCCCTTCCTGTAGTGATACGATGCAGCATCATCCAACTCCTCAATGAACAAAACCCGGCTGAAATGGATGGAATCAATCTTACTCCGCCTGATCGCTCTAATTAGGCCTTGCTCCTTTCCACTACCCCTTCATATCTTCAAGATTATATTACTACTACTCGAAATTCGACAACTGTCATACAAACCATGTTTGTCACCGTCAAGTGAATCACCACTTAGACAAATAAAAAATAATGTGAAAAAGGATTTGGCTAAATTCCTCAATAGTTCACATCGCTTACTAGGTGAACTTCGCTAGAAAATTTATCAGTTATTTCTCTTGATTTATTTAGGAACTTTGGAGGAATTATCCACTAGAGTTTGTTCTAAAGTGTTCTACCGATTCTAATCTCCATACTGAACTGCAGTATGAGGTTTCGTAGAGGCGATTCTCATCTTTGAAATAAGCTGTAGTATAGGAAGACAATTCTGTTTAAACGCATTCATACTGGGTAGTTTCCGGTCATTTTGCTTTGCCTATCATCGCTGATGTGTCAGACACAAATTGATGTTGGAAGTTCTGGGTAAGACATCTGTCAAAATGCTAAACTCTCCTCCGCTCTCGATATACCATCTTTCACCCAAGACCCACACCTACGGTCGGTAGGTAAAACACACAGACCACCAAACCAAGGCTATCTAGTCCTCAAGAAGAAACCTCACACTGAAAACCCTCAGCCGTACACTTCCCAACATACAAAGTAAAAACCTTGAAATGAATGCTTACACCGCTAGTGTGTTATAGTTCTAACCTTACTCCCTTGAACCACTACTTCTTCCGAGCAATGGCCCAGTCCTCAAGAAAAAATCTTTGTAAGACGTATAGACGAGAAACGGTAATGCCAAGGAACTTGCCCTCTCACGGTAATTTTCTATGGCAACATTTCTATTAATAATAATTTATATTTTAATACTTGAATCGTTTTAATTATTAATAATTAACTTGTATAATACTTTTGTTAATTAAGCATTTATTGAAAATCTCTTATCGAGAAACACATTCAATTGTGCACTTTTCCACTTTTATATAGGAAAAACTTTAGAAATAAAAGTTATAAAAAAACGAACTCCCTGGAGCAAGTAATGTGAATCCACCGTGAGTAGATATTATTAATTTAATCAACAACACGAAAATGAGAAAGCCCCTGAGATCGTGGATAAAAAGGGGACAGCGCTCGACAAACAGTTTCAGCAAGATGAAGAAAAGAACTCCTTTGTTCCTTAGTGTTTTTTTTCTTTTTTTTCATAAAAAAAATCTATAAAACTCTGTAGAAAGGGGTGTGATTAAAGAGGAATCATTTTCAAAGAGGAGGGCTTTTCCTGAAGTAGACGGGGTTACTTTAACCACCAATGGATCTAAAAACCCGGCATGATTACTTATAAAAAAAATAATCAAACAGGAAAACTATGCGTGATTTCATAAAATGATTAGTAAATTTTTTAGTAAGCTTATTTCTATGACGATATGCCGAAGCAAAATTCTCAGCGTGCAACCACCAGCCACACAGAATAAAGTGCCCAAATTCTGATAGAATAGCACATTTCATACACACATCACACCATAATTTACTATTTAATATGAAGTTTTGGTTAAAGAAAATCGCGAGGAAGCACCTAGGAAATTGCTAAAATTCCTAAAGGTGCAATTTTGATGACAAAGACAGTGTGCAGAGAAAAACATGTGCTAAGAAAAAATACACTAGGGCATGTCATGTGTAACAGTGCTGTTTAAAAAATTAGCTATGAAGCATCTAGGAAAGCACCTCCTACTTAGATGAAGGAAGCATCTAAACAAAAGCTAACATTATTAAAAGAAAGTACAATAGTCGAGATATAGACATAGAGTGCTAAAATAGATAACTATTAACTGCCCAGAAGAAGCAGAAACATCAGACCATTCCCCACTTGACTGTAAAGTTGTAGTTAAAGAAATTAAGGACGAAGTATCTAGGAAATTGCTAAAATTCTTCATAAGTTAATGTTGACTGCAAGGCGGTAGAGAGCAGGGAAAGAAATTTTCTGTATCTGCCAAGAAGAAGAAAACGCGGTTATAGTTTAAAAAATCAGCGGTAAAGCACCAAGGAATGAGGTCTAATTCTAGAATTACAGCGGAATGGACAGTGCTGAAATGGATACTTGCCGACTAAGCCAAGAAGAAGAATATAAATGAGGCTACCTATTTGGATGGAGGAAGCATTTAGGCACGCGCTCGTATTCTTAAAGGAAAGTGCAATATTCGAGATAAAGGCATAGAGTGCTGAGATAGATACTGACTCAGCCCAGAGAAAGCTGAAACATTAGACCATGTCGTACTTGATTGTGAAGGGATTCCCAAGGTTATTATCAACCCACGATATATCTGATTAAGTCGTATTAAGTCGTACAAATGTTGATTTTTCGTGTACAATGTAATGACTGCGTTGTAATGTAAAACCTGTATCGTTTGTAGGGCGAGGTGATTTTTAAATAGGTAGCAGACAAAACAATGTGAACGTGGGCCGGTTCAGTCTATCGGCGCTATTACTATTATACGGTTATGTTACAACTTTATCCCCAAATTTTCTATCCGTGTATATCTTCCATGAATGTTTGTAATGAAGCCTAAACGATCAACTTCCTGTTGAAACGAACTTATAAACAAATTAAGGCGTTAACGCCAATTTCGCCGATATCGAATGTCCTCATTCCTCATCCCGGGACATTTCCCCGTCCACCTTTCAACGGAGGAATGCAATACCAAATTCATATCTTGCAAGGTTCGGGAATCTCTGAGGTTCGGATGGCCAAAAGTGGGGAAATGAAGTGGTAAAGCCTTCTGGTGGGGGCCTCGGAGGCGGAGGGGCGGCGGAGGCGGTTCGCACCCATTCCGACCGAAGAAGGGGTCCGGACAACATCCTCGACTCTTTCTGCCCCAGGATGGTACCAAGGTATTTAACAAAAAAAATTAAATATCTCGAGATAATCTTCGTTCCGATCAAACCACGCAGATATGATGTCATCCCACCCAGAGAAAAAATATTTTTGCTGTACAATATTTGTTTTTTAATTTATTTCTGGATTCTTTTACAAGCTGATGCTAAACGTTAAAATTAGCCTAAAAATAAATACAAAATCAAACATTGTGTATAAGTAAAGCATAAAGCCTCAAGTTCATCGTACCATATGAACTTTTTAAATTCAAATTTTCAAGTCACTGAATTATTGCCGTATTAAATCAATATTCCAGTAAAATAATGTTTTCATATAAAGTAAGACTCATTATTACATGGTATTTTTGTCTTTCGAGTGGCAAAACCATTAACGCCCTTTGTTTACCAACACAACAAGCCACCAATTAAACAATTCTGTTCTCAATAAAACCCTGTACTAATCCCAGCAATCAACTCGGTTTTTCTTAAAACTTTATATCGCATATAGTTTCGATTTATGTCCTGCATGTGTACATTTGATTATTAATGTCAAAAATACACATATTTTATTATTGTCGTAGTACAATGCAAAAGTGAACAAAAATGTGTAAGGGAACAAAATTGAGGTCTTAGCTGGACGAGTTTAAAAATGCTCCCGCATAACCGTCCACGATTTTTTTTTTAAATAAACATGTAATTGATAAGGGGTGATCGACACTAACTGGTAAAAGTTGTAAAACCTCGTAAGTGCGATTAATATTTAATAGCCTTAGTAAGCAAATAGGCAGAATTGATTGATTTACTATAGTACTAAACAAAAAATAAACCTACGCATTTGAGTAAATAAAATTCGATTATAACAATAAATAAGATAATTAAATAGTTTTTAAGAAAAATCTAAAAATAAGTGTATTTTTAAATTATATTTTAATAACAACCCATTTTTTTAAGGTACAAAGGTTTACAGAAAAACGGCATAAATCATCGCGGAAAAAAAATTCACTATAAAGACACATTCTTCTAGTGGGTCTCGTTTAAGTAGTTGTAATTATTGTAATTTTGTGCTAATTAAAACCTATTGACCTTTCCTTCCTCAAATTAATTACCTACGCCTACTCCTCCTGACTTCACACACATGGCTAGACTGTCCAAATAAATCCCAAAAATGCGTTACCACTGAAGTGCCAGCATAAATTACACATTTGTACTAATTAACCTTGTTTCGTTTAGTTAAGGCCAAGGTTTAAAAATTTTAATTTGTAAAGTGTGTAAATTTGTAAAATGGTCAAAATTAAAAAAGGGTACTTTTGCAAACAGTTTGTGCGTCTTTTTTAAAGCTTATAATCTTTCTGATTACGCATAATTATAAAGCTTATTTAGTATATTTCATTTATAATTTTTTTCTTGTTAAAACCCGTTTTAATTCAACTGTCTGACAAAGTTATCATTGGGCTTTATCACGAACTTAACAACGGCCTAAGCCCTTGGACGATGGGCTACCTGTTTTTGTTTAATTTTGAGATCGGACTTGCAAACTTTGAGTAACGAATTAACCGAGACTCAGAAACTTTACGGGCAACGCTCAAAAGGCTTTTCTCATTTTGCCAACAGCGAAAAAAAAAGTTAGCGAGCTTAGAAATTCAACACAACTTGTCGTTGTTCGTCTTAGTATGGTGGCTTAAACCGATGTGCCATAGACATAAAAATTCCATATTTTTTATAGTAAAACTAGGGCTATTTTAATTATGTTTCAAATTGTCTTCGGGTTGTTTCTTTATTTGTTACATAAGATTATCGTAATATAAAGTAGAATTTTGTCAGTTTATAATTTCATATCTGCTGAGAAATTTATGTTAGGCCCTTTGGTTAAAAATCCCCTCTCGATATACGATTGCTCGGGAATGTGGAGGCGAATGGGAAATCGCATCAAAAACCATCCGATCATTTCCCGACTTGTGCCAACCTCGTCAAAACGACCTACCTAAAAAGAAATATCGTGACCCTTAAAACCAAGGCTTTACACGAAATAAGTCAATTCCAATTTATTTCTAGTTATACTTATCGAATCTTTAATTATTGAATTCTAAAAAGAAAATATTGTTTCGTAGAAAAACCCATTTATAAATTAGACTTTTCTTATAACTGTATTAATTAATTTTCAATATTGTTGAACTTTGAAGGACTTGAGAACGTTTGATCGCTTTCAACTTTCCGCTTTTCGGCCTTTATTATGTATCCTGTATTTTTTGACCAGGCGCCATTTGGCAATTAGCCATCCTACAAACAAACACCCTAGGAAGAGAAGACACGGTATTTAAAAAGAATCGAATGGAAATACGTTAAAACTCAAAAACATTCAAGAATCGACCTGTTGCATCTAGAGAAAAATCTCTCAGAGAAAGCCCTAGCCAAAAAAATTAATAATTTCTGAAATTTTTAAAATACTGTTAACTCTGCGAAGTAATGGACCTTGATCGCTTCTGATCGTCCTGGTCGCCCAGTTCATTCATTCTGCTTATAAAAAGGAATAAAAAAGAGCCACTGAAGATGGCGAAAAGCAGAGAAACACGGCAAAACCATGAATAGTCTAGGATGATCCTCGATAAAGATACAAATTTGCTAATTTGATTACTTGGAGTTAAGTAGATTTTGTATTGTTTAAAAATAAATAAATAAACTACCAGAAACAGTGAACAGCCAAGTCTTTTCCTTTCATGACAAAGGAACAGATCGTTTTTCGCCGATGTCTCATAAATTGTTTCACGTGGGCAAAGACCTGTTGCCAGGTCAAGGCAAATTCTAACGTAAATCGTTGGGTCGATGGAACAAGTAGAAACTATATTACAAATAATTGTGTTCGGTCAAAATCTGAAAATATTTTCAAAGAACTTTTTTTTTCTGGGCGATATAAAATATTGCCTTATCCACCAAATTCTATCAATCATCAAAAACTACGAATATAAAGCAAGAATTGGTTTTTAAAAGGCTGAACATTTTTTGGAAGAATGGTATAATGAAATGGTCTGGAACATTGTTGATATCGTTTCATCCATAATATTCAATAATTGACTGTGTAAACATAAAAAGTAAAAACAGAAAGAACGTATTGCCTCATCCGCCAAATTTGGCCAATTGGTTAATAGAAGAAGCAAAGATTTTTTTAAAATGAAATAACGAAATATTTTTTGAAAAGATGGTGTAATTAAATCGTCTAAAAGTGTAGAAGTTGGGCTTGTATTTGGCTGAAAAAGTTTTAGAAGGTTGGCATAATAAATTCGTCGGGAATATCGTATCTACCAAGTTTGATCATTGTCTGTGTCAGTAGAGGAAAAAAAACTAAAAAAAAACTTTCAAATACTGAAAATTTTCAACAATATTCAAAATTGGGTCAATAAAATAAATAGTTATTCAGAAATCGTAAGATGCGGTCTGGTGTGATGTAGGTTTCAGAAAACCATTTTCTTTATCGTGCCAACGTTTCGATCTTTATTGAGATCATCTTCAGGGCCTGGGATTTACAAACATTGTATAAAAAAATATATTTTGTATTGTATAAATTCACTTTTTTTCCACATCCTACATGTATTTGTTAAATTTAAACACTGTTTGTAAATCCCAGGCCCTGAAGATGATCACAATAAAGATCGAAACGTTGGCACGATAAAGAAAATGTTTTTCTGAAACCTACGTCACACAAGACCGCATCTCACGATTTCTGAGTAATTATCGACTAACGGTCATTAATCACCACACAAAATAAATAATCCTTAAAAAATATATAAGCCAAAATTTCGTTTCAAAGACGGAAAATGTTTTATAAATTCGACAAGAAGATCGAACTGCCTAATCCATCAAATTTGATCATTGACTGGGTCGCTAGAAGAAATAAAGACTAAAAAAACTATATAACTAAGAAAAATGTTTATATCAAAAACCGATTTTTTTTTCGGAGAGTTTTATAATGGAATTGCCTGGGAGATTGGAGGTATTTCATCATGGGCCAAATTAGATCATTGAATGGGTCAATAGAAAAAAATAATCACCGAAAAATATACATATAAGGAAGAAACAAAAGCTGAAAGATTTTAGAAGGTTGGCATAAGAAATCCCTCTGAAAAATAGAAGGTCCTCATCCGCTAAATTTGATCATTGACTCGATTCATGTTTAGAGAGGATTTTGTAAAAGAAGATCTTGGATGATAGGCAAAATTATCATCTAAAAAGGACAATTATTGACTGTTATAGGAATAATAAAATTAAATATTTAAAAAACACTGTTTAATCAACCCAGTGTTCAATAAACCTTAACAACAAAAGCAAATTTTTCTTTGGAAAGTAATGAAAAAAGTTCAAAATACATGTTAATATGTGCAAGATACCTTTATTTATCTATGCGTGAAATTATTTTTTTTAGGGCTGAACTAATTAGAAAGATAATCAAATTTTAGAAAGTTTCAAAAACCGACTTTTAATTTTAATAACTTCGCTTATTTTGTTTTATTATTTTGTCCTATTTACATTTAAGTGTTTTGTCTGTGTATGATGATCAATACAAATCAATGATTTTTTCCAAGTTTCTGATTTTCTTCAATAATAAAGTACACGGGCGCAAAGCCGGCAATGCCCCCAAGTTGTCACGGTTTAGCATTCGTTACCGTTCAAATACCTTTCACCCCTGAAGTTCATGGGGTGTAGGTAAAAAAAAGAAGAAATAATTGATTTTAAAGTAATTAAAGATTCTCTAAATTTCCGACGTCAGTTGTTTGAAAGTCAACCTTTTCTGTCTTTTGCATCTCCCCCCTGCTCTAAGTATTAATTTCTCGTTCCTAATAATAAAGAAAGAAAGAAATTGAAAGTTCTTAATTGGATTTTTTCCATCCCCGTCGGTTCAGTTTCGGGTCCCCTTTTGCCTTTCCGCTCTAACAGAAACACAACAACAAAGGCCGATTTTCATCTAATACGAAAACAGATTTGAGATAAACAATTTATATTTAAAAGCAATTAAAAACTTTAGACCTATTCACGTTTTTAGGTCTTTCCTTCCCTAAACATCCCATCAATAGCAGCATATCCTGACAATATGCCACTTAAACATTTTTGAAAGTTAAAAAATGGAGACCCCTGATTTTTTTAACGTTGAAATAACAGTAGGTTTTATGAACTTTTATTGGATTTCATTAAGAATAAAAATAATGTGTTTGATGACCGTTAGTCAATGATTATTCGGAGATCGTGAGATGTGGTCTGGTGTGACGTAAGTTTTAGAAAAACATTTCCTTTATCGTGCCAACGTTTCGATCTTTATTGAGATCATCATCAGGGCCTGGGATTTATGAACATTGTTTAAATTTTAAAAATACGTGTAGGATGTGAAAAAATGAATTTATACAATGATAAAAAATTTTAGATAAAAAAAAAATTGAATTTATAAAATGCTAGAAAATTTTAGATTAAAAAAAGAATGAATTTATACAATGCTAGAAAAAATGTTAGATTAAAAAAATGAATTTATACAATGCTAGAAGTAATTTTAGATTCAATCAACAAAACTTTGCGAGAGTACGAATACTTTGATTGAATCTAAAAATTTTTCTAGCATTGTATAAATTCATTTTTTTTAATCTAAAATTTTCTAGCATTGTATAAATTCATTCTTTTTTTCCACATCCTACATGTATTTGTACAATTCAAACAATGTTTATAAATCCCAGGCCCTGAAGATGATTCAATAAAGATCGAAACGTTGGCATAAAAGAAAATGTTTTTTCTAAAACCTACGCCACACCAGACCGCATCTCACGATCTCCGAATAATAATAAAAATTATTAAATTCACTAATTTCGTGGTTCGCTTGACCAATTAATATATTACAATTAATCAAGGTTTTTAGTTGAGATACAAAAGTCAATGGCACGAGCGGGATTCGAACCCACGATCTTCGGCTTGATACGCCGCTGCTCTACCACTTGAGCTATCGTGACCTCGATCCACTCGGACATCAACTTCCCATCTCAACCGCACCTTTTGAAAAATGGCAAAAAGGAGGGAAAATTCAAAAGGTGCGGTTGAGATGGGAAGTTGATGTCCGAGTGGATCGAGGTCACGATAGCTCAAGTGGTAGAGCAGCGGCGTATCAAGCCGAAGATCGTGGGTTCGAATCCCGCTCGTGCCATTGACTTTTGTATCTCAACTAAAAACCTTGATTAATTGTAAAATAATAAAAATAATTAGATTTTTATAATTATAAAGAACTACATTTGTTTCTCCGTTAGAAAGAAAAGTTTACAATAACGTTCAATTTGCACACAGGTAGTGGAGAAATATGGAAGAAAATGAAGAAACGGTGAGGACGAAGGAAGAAGTGACAACATGCCTCACACACTACAACCTAGACGACGGTTACGGCTCCTCCAACAGTTCACCCCACAGTAATAAAACAAAATCTTATTTTAATAAAAATAATAAAATATTGTCCATGGTACATTTATTGTGTTTTCGAGATGTTTACTAGCGATAACAGTTCAATACAACATCGACAATTTCAGTTTGAAGAATGGTAAATATACTGATGGACAAAGAAAAGCACCATATATAAATTTTAATGTTTTTCGGTTTATTCTCATTTTGCATACCAAAAATAGGTCTGGTTTTAAAAATAAAATGTTAAAGAACAAAACAATTCAAAAACAAATTTTTAAAAAATTACCCCTTCAATACCAAGCATTTCCAACTCTGGTACAAATAACGCCCGTTAAACGTCTTTCCATTCCTTGGAAACGTTTCTTGACAAAATCCTGAGGAATTCTTTCCCATTTATCAAGAACAGCCGTTTCCAGTTCTTCTAGCGTGTTAGGACCTGGGATCCGCTATCATACTCGTCGCTTAAGTTGGCGGGTTTGATTGGGATCAAATCTGGACTTCCAGCTGGCCGCACTAAGCACTCAATTCCAAACTCATTAAGGTATCTTAAGGTATCCAAGGTATCTCATCCAAATGGGGCTTGGCCTTGTAAATCCCTCTGTGAAGTTAGAGATCTTCCTTGCGCCAATTCGGTGCACGTGATCAAGGAAATGCCATCCGAGAACATCAATGACCCATTGTGGAATGCCACCCACCTGTGGAACCACAACTTTCTCCTGAGCGTCTCCGTATGAAATTATGCCCCTCTGAAGATTTGAGGCCAATTCTTATCTCATCTGTAAAGAGAACTCGTCCCCAATCTACCAATGACCAATTCACATGTTCACATGAATTGAAGCCTGTCCACTTTCCCAGCTGTGGAAAGAAGAGGTCCTCGAAGGTTATTTTCAGTCCTGGAGGAAATCAAAACGTTTCGGGCTTGCCTTATTAGATTTCTTCCGTGATGCTGCAGTTTCGTACAGCTTGATAACGGATGAATCTATCGTCTCTCTAGTCTGTAGACCTAGATCGACCCTGTGCCTTCTAGTGTGGAGCCCCTTTTCTCTGAAGCGTCGAAGAACTCTTCCTTACGTGATTTACAGTCTCCTAACGACTTCGCGCTGGCACCCTTCCTCTAATGACACTGTCATACTCACTAAATGCCTGACTGAAAACATTGAAAAATGTTTAAGAAAAGAATAATTCCAAATGATTATTCTTTATATCTAAGGTTTTTGGTTGAGATGAAAAATTAGTGTCACGAGCGGGATTGGAACCCACGACCTTCGGCTCAATACGTCGCTGCTTTAACCATTTGAGCTATCGTGAAATATGATCAATTATGATCACTAAGCAAATATGGATTAATAAGAATAATATCAAATGAAAGCTACGAAGGAAAAAGGTTAAGCAAATGCTGGTATGGTATGGTATGGTAGAAAAGGATACGAAGAAGCGGGGTTTGTACTCCCCAGGCACTGCAGCCTTCTGGCTTATTGTACCTTCCTAGTTCCGTAGTTCAGTCAATAGACTCAATCCTTCTTCTTAGAAGTATCAAGTTGTTGCTGCTGCAATTTGATTCCTTAAGTATTTTCCGTACGTTAGGTTAAACCTCCATTGAGCTGTTGCTTCGCATTCGAAGATGATATGAGTGGCTTTTTCCTCCTCCTCATTTCATAATCTGCAAATGGAATCATCGCTGTATATACCTATGTTGTGTAGATGTTTTCTCAGATGCCGGTGACCGGTTAGTAATCCTACCACTCCTCTGAGTTTGGCCCTCTCCAATTGCAGCAGGATTTTTGCCAGTCTCGGTGGTGGTTGTTTCATCATAAGTTTACTAACCTTTTGTTTTGTTTGGATCCATTCTGCGATGGAGGATTCTGTATTTGTTTTTGTTATCCCAAGAATAGGTTGGGGGCCTATGTATGGTCTTGCAGATCCTCCTCTGGCCAGTCTGTCTGCTTTCTCGTTACCCAAAATTCCCCTGTGCCCTGGCACCCAAGATATAATCAGGTTGTTGTATTTCCCGGGTTTTGGAGATTTTGGATGCAATTACTGACTAATTTTGATGTGATTCTTTTAGCTAATGCTTTAATGGCTGCTTGGCTATCTGATCTTATGAGGATTTTTTTGTCAGTGTAACCTCTTTTAAAATTTTCCAGGGCACAAGCAATGATGGCATTTATTTCCGCTTGAAAAACCGAAGTGTACTTCCCTGATGAGTTTGATTGCTCATGTTTTGGGCTTGTACAGAATCCGGTACCTTCGTTTGTTTTGGAGCCATCTGTACCATATCATTGTATCTGATGCTCTCCTGTGTTCTTCCTCTCCTTTATAGTCCATTGAGACTTTATGGGAAGTTGTGAAGATTGTTTCCGGGATCATATAATCAGTCCCCATTTCTAATAATGGGTTTCTGATTTTATTGATTATGGTTATATGCCCGAATTGTCTAGTTCCTTTCCAATTTAATTGTTTCTGGAGCCTAAGTGAGCTTTTCCTAGCCTCTTCTTGTATGAATATTTCCAGTGGAAGTAGGTTTAGCAAAGTTTCTAATGCGTTTGTAGGGATTGTTCTCATTGCCTCTGTGATACATAGGTTTGCTAGTCTTTGTATGCTGCCTAATGTTTGGGTAGCTACTTTTTGTTGAGCTTTGTTCCACCAGTAAATGCTATCTTTATGCTTAGCAGAACGGAAAGGCGTAATGGTACTTTTCGTGCAAATGGGATTAATCAGTACAAAATTAAATAAAGGAAATAAACAAAGCATTATTTACTGTTTATTTTCACTACGAGAGCTCCTAATCACCTGCAACTAATGAAGAAAGATAATGGATTTAATTTTAAACTAAACAAATTGAGTGGTGCGTTCAATTTGTCCATTAGTGTAAATGATAACTGTTGAAAGAACCTAATGAACAGAACAATGCGACCAAATTAGTTGATTATTTGGCCAAACAATGTATATGTTAAACTAATTAAAAAGGGTTAAATTGTGTACTTAAAGCGAAATCCACGATCGGCTTGATCTCTAAAATTATCATTGATGAACAGGGTGGTTCTGCTTACCTTGACTCCACCGACTCTCCCAGCTTGGTTACTGCTATCCCTCTCATTGTGCTCTTTTGGAGAAATACCATGCACCGAAGCGTCTTGATAAAACGGTGGTTGTTGTCTGGATACCCGGGGGGCATATCCTGGAAGATAACGAAAAGGCGGACGAGGCCGAGACGTCTCACCTCCGGACGTAACCGCCGCGATCCGGCCCTCTGAAGCTAAAAATGCAATAAAAATAAACATAATTAAAAGAAACTGGCAGTGTCGATAGGCCGGATTGGTTTTCCTGAACCAAGAGCATGGTCGACAGGTGGCCTTCACAGGACATGACTCATAAAAGAAGGGACATCCTCACCCAATTAAGGATAGGCTATGCAAGATTGACACATGAACGCTTACTTACCTGTCACAATGTATTGGTATTGTTGTTAATAAGCTGGTAAACGGAGTGTGGTTAAATCCTAAAAAATTTAAATTGATTTGTCATTTTTTTAAAATATTCATATGGTTGGTGGAGGAAGTGAAATGAAAATCCAAGTTGTGAGATTTCCTCCTATGGTCTGTCGGATGATAACCGACCTACCTATCATCCTCGTCTGCCTATCCTCGCTGATTTTTGTTAATAAAGACGCGTTTAAGATGGCAAAATGCCGAAACCCGTCTGAATTAACAAAAATCAGAGAAAATAGACAGACCAAGGTAGGTGATTGGTTACTATCAAACAATAGAAAATCCAAGTCCGCGTATATGTCCGGCATGAAGACAGGCTGCTTGATGTGTCCACTTAATTAAAGGGTGCCATTCCTTGTCTCCATATAGAGAGCGTGTAGGAATGCCTTGAGTATTTGACGCTTGCGAGTATCTCGGTCCGTTGTACCGTTTCTTGGAGGAAACAGGACTTTTTTACTGTACATTATACTGATAGTTGTGTACCTAGCGTATGTTGAGAATGAATGCATTTATTAGCGTAGATGTGTAGTGTAAGAGATGGTGAAATATTGAGTACTCCATCGACCCCCAATTAAGTTAGTTATATAAGATATTCACACGAGTAAAGTGTGACGGACGAATATCAAATACTCCATCACCCTAACTGAGGACTGCGAGAAGTGATATGCTCAACTCTGTGCACGCTTGTATGTACACGTATATGCATATTTGAGCATATATAAATCAGTAATCAGTATTACAGAAAAGATGGAAGGAAAAGGATAAACAAATCAAAAATATAAATAACTTCTTGAAACACACTAAGGTTATTCAAAATTATTACGGTTCATAACCATATTAACACGACCGTCTTCCCTGCGAAACAAATCATTTAATTACTAGGGGTCTTTTAGGATTTTCAAATTAAGACCAGAGAGATAGAGATAATTCCGGAATAAGGTTAAATGAAAATCGAATTATAAAGATTGTCATCTTTCGCAATTAGACCGTGCCTCTCCATCTTAATGCCCACTCAGTTGAATTAGTGGTTAAATTACTTCCTTTTAACAACCGGAGTGACGGATGTTTACTAGATCTCATTCCATTACTAATCGGGGTGATTCGTTGAATAAAATCTCGGCAAGTTTATTCTAAATTGGAATTCGAATAGTGGCGGAAACCAAAACGGACGGATTTCGAACAGAAGCAACAACAAATTATATAAATTTATATACGAATCATATATTTTCCCCTGTTTAGAAGTAAGAAAATACATTTTTCAGAGTATCAAATTACATTAAATCACAGCGTGTATACTCATTTTTAATAAAATGGTAACAAAAGATTGGTTCAAATCATCAATTTAGCTTTCGTTGCGGGTGCTTGCGTAGACCACATATTGTCAGTCTTTGAACGTAAAGAATACTGTATGGGGACCATTCTAGATAGAAAAGGTCACGTGTGTGTGCACTAGGGTCTTCTATACAAACTAAAGCGCGTTCTTCCAAACACCTTATAGTCTTATACACATATTCTAGACTACTGTCCTGTGAAAGCCCACAGAGCAGTGTGCTCGGACCAATACTGTACCACCTCAGACATCCCAACTACACCCCCTACCCTCCTTGCATGCTTTGCAGACGGCACAACCGTGCTTTCCTCTGTTCCCGATACTGAAATTGCCTCAGAGGCGGTTCAGACACGAATAGCCGAACGGAGCAAACTTTGGAGGATAAGGATTAATAAAATCAAACAACTCTCCGAAATAAAATTTCTTACACAATATTCCTATCCCTAAACTCGATTGCTACCTTGGGTTTTTATCTTAATCTCACCTACTCACATTTAACCTGAAACCGACAAATACAAATAAAAAGACAGGAATTGTACACGTGCCTTGGACTGTTCTATAAACTACTTGGACACAAATCCAACTTGTCAACAACAAACAGACATACAAACGTTACTGAAACCATTTGATCATATGGACTGGAACTGGGGCACGAGATATCAAATAAATTCGGTCCTTCAAACCCAAAGACCTCAGAACCAAGTCAACACGACAACACGTCCTACTATGTCTCCAATACTATCCTCCACAATGACCTCAAAATATCCTTTGTAAATAAATTAATCCCCACCAAGTTTTCCATGTTCAACGTTAATCCCCCCAATTAGCCCAATCCATGTCCAACATAACCCATACCCTATAATCCAATAATAATAATATATAAATAATATAATAATAACTAAAATAAATAATATAAATAATAACTAATGTAAAGTAGGTACTCCTCAAAAGACATAATGTATTGTAATTATATGTGATAAAATTAAAACATATATTTTATACAGAAGGTAATAAATATTTATTCACTTATAAACTTTTACTTATAAACATATAAAATATTTTTTTTAAAGCTTGCACATTTTTTCGTGTGTTTGTTTTTGAAAAATATTTTCCTTTTATTTATATAGATGTTTCAGGATTTTTTTCCAATTAGCATCTACAATATTACACAATAAAATCAATTAAACAGGAATTACCTTATAATAAATAAGGTGATCCCTGTTTAATTTACCTTTTAAAAAATAAAATACGTTTTATAATTTATATTTTGTATGTTGTTAATATTTTATTTAAAAAATCAGGGATAAGACCAATTTGAAAGAAAAGACACTTATTCCTTCATCAAGTTTTTGAGGACTAGTATAAGAATATACATCAGGATTTTGAAACTTATTACTGAAGTACTGAAACATGGTTTCAAACATGGTAAATTTCTAAGTTTGTAATGGACAACATATGCAACCTGTTCATTCTATATCGGAATTGTTTCATTGTATTATATCGTTAAATCTAATAATATATATTTATGATAGAAAATAAATTTAATACATCTATTTTTAAGGATGCTTAATTATGCATTAATGGTCTTATTCGTTTGAAAGTGGTCGGATATTTTAAGTTTTTTGTTAAAGTTTTAGTACTATTTCTGCAATTTTACAAAAGCAAGGCTTTGTCGTGTGTGATGCCTGGGGGAATGAATCTATCCTAGTTTTTTATTCCTTCCAGTTCCAGGTGATTTGGTGGGAAGGGGGAGGCTGTTAATTTTCCGTGAGACTGCACATGTGATTTTTTTCTCTGGGTGTATTTCAATAGTTTTTCATCCTGAATAAAAACATTTAATCATGAATTAATTTAATAAAACTATTAACTATAAATATAAAACTATAATAAACTATAACAAATTATCTCATGTGAATTTATGCAAATTTTTAGAATGAAAAACCAATCATGTCAGACAAACATTTTTTTTTGTTAATGTTGAAAACATTTGTATTTTTTTTTAATATTATTATTACAAAAACTCGATTACACTATTTTTTTTAAGTATAGGACCGAAATATTTGATCAAACTACATGATTTTTTAAGATTGAGACTTAAACATTTTTTAGTATCACTTTTTATTATCAGCCTGTAAGAGTTTTACAATAAATTGTTATCTTAACAAATGCCTAAATAAATTTATAACACCCGCAATCCATAAACAAGTTTGTTTGCCATTCTCTCTGATAATTAAATTTATTACCTTTAAATTAATGCCTCTTTTTTTTACTAATACAAACAAACTTTATAATTGTTTCATATGTGTTTTTAATTTAATATTTTTCACTATATTTTTTGTTAAATTATATTCAGCAGCAATTCTTGAAACAGCTTAAAGGCTGACCAAGCAGTAAAACTGAGTTAACTTCTGAAAATAATGCATCTCCAGTTTTCTTCTGGTTACATTTTTCTTATCGACAAATATATATAAATATAAATAATTTTTAAGTTGTACTTAAATTGCTAAATGTTAGTCTATTTTAATTGTTATATTAAATGCCAAATTTGTATTGGCTTATTGATACATTTAATATTTTCTGATGTATTTGACACTCTTTAACATTTAATTGTTACCTAAATTTAAATTGTCATTTTGGGACAGCATTAGCAGAGTGGTCAGCAAGATAGACTCTGAGCTCTTAGACCCCCATGGTTGTGGGTTCAATTCCCATGTTGCCTTGACCTTTTTTGTTTCTTGATACCCTTCCCCAATAAATAAATATGATATACTTACATACTAGAATACTAACAAGCAAGAATAAAGAATATAAGGCCAAAAAATTATGATTTAAAAAAATGTTTAAAACCCAAGATTGTCAAATAGAATATTTTGGAATCATTAAAAATTCAGATGAAACTTGTGCTTAAAGATATCGGTGTTTGATGATATTCTATAAATAATATATGCAAATAGTACAAACATTATTGATATTTATACAAAGTTTTCTTTTCATTTTAATATTCATTCAGGTTGTGTGCAGTCACAGTACTGCAGTGGGCAGAAGAAGAAGAAGGAGTTTCCAGCACTAGCACTAAAAACGGAAGACGAAAAACGTGAATAATGACTTGTTTTGTTGTGTCTATTTATACATCTTGAAGTCATAAAAAATTATTAAATTATTTTTATTCTTAAGGATCTTTGGAAGTACGGCTTATTGATGGAGTACTGAAGACTGAGGCAGTTGCTCCGGATGGAGGAGCCAATGCCGAAAGAGAGACATGGGGAAGAGACGCAGATTTTCTTCTATCAATTATCGGTTTTGCCGTCGATCTCGCCAATGTCTGGAGGTTCCCTTACCTTTGTTATCGAAATGGTGGAGGTGAGTTTTAAACGATATTAATAAAGTTCTAATACGTTTAACAATCAAACAATAAAATTGTACTCCAGGGGCCTTTCTTATTCCTTACACCCTGATGCTTATATTCGGGGCAGTGCCGCTCTTCTACATGGAATTAGTCCTTGGCCAGTACAATCGTCAAGGGCCGATAACCGTCTGGCAGATCTGCCCCATATTTAAAGGTGTTGGAGTTTGTGCAGTTGTCGTTGCCTTCTTCGTCTCATTCTACTACAATGTGATAATTGCTTGGGCACTGTACTTTTTCGTCGGTTCGATGCACAAAGAGCTTCCTTGGCTTTTCTGCAATAATACTTGGAACTCTCCTGACTGCATTTCCTACCAAGGCCCAGACAATCAAACCAAAGAGAACTACACGAGAGAGGCTGATAGATCACCAGCAGCTGAATATTTTAGGTAAGCAAGTAATTAAGATCTATATAATTGCAAATTTATCTGTTCCACTGCTTTTAGTCAAGGAGTTCTTGAAATGCATAAAAGTTCTGGTTTTGGAGATCTGGGATACCCAAAGTGGCAGCTGGCCCTCTGTCTTTTCTTTGTCTACATAATGTTGTATTTATCATTGTTCAAAGGTATTTTATTCGTTCATATGAATAAGCAGATCAGAATTTCACATCCTTTGTGTATTTCTAGGTGTCAAATCAACAGGGAAAGTCGTCTGGGTAACTGCTACCCTGCCTTACGTAGTGCTTACAATCCTCTTGATCCGTGGCCTGATGTTGCCAGGAGCTATGACAGGCATCAAGTACTATTTACAGCCTGAATTATCAAAATTGAGAGAGCCTCAGGTTGGTGTTTTTCTTTTATACAGAAATGGTCATTTTTGCTCTTTCCTTACACGTAAATTCTCAGGTATGGGTTGATGCAGCTGTACAGATATTCTTCAGCGTTGGTGCAGGCTTTGGTGTACATCTCAGCTATGCAAGCTATAATAATTTCAAAAACAACTGCTTCAAGGATGCCATAATAACATCAATAGTCAACAGTTTTACAAGTTTTTTCTCAGGTTTTGTCATCTTTACCTATCTGGGATTCATGAGTCAGAAGCATGGCATACCTATCAACGATGTGGCAGATGAAGGTAAAAATAAATTCACATCAATATGTTATACAACTGCCTGTTGGGTGTCATGGACGAGGGAACAAACCACTTTACAATACCTTTTACATATTATCAATTAAAATTCCATGGGTTCCATTCGACCCAGAATGTTAATGTGGCAAATACAACTTGAACCACACGACCACTGCAGTCCTCTTACAATTGATCAATTTATTTTGTTTTTATTGTTTAACAGGGCCAGGACTTGTTTTCCAAGTGTACCCAGAGGCTGTTGCAACCCTTCCAGGGTCACATTTCTGGTCCCTCCTGTTCTTCTTTATGCTAATGATGCTTGGTCTCGACAGTGGGGTAATTCCAAATGGCATTATACATAAAATCCTTAATCACATGGTATTAATTTATGTTTCAATTTCATTTTGTTGTAAGATGGGTGGGCTCGAGTGCGTGCTGACTGGACTCATGGATGAGTATGGAAAGCGTTTTGGACGCACTAAGCATCTTAGAGAAGGCTTCACAGCCATAATAGTCGGAATAAGCTTCACAGTCGCTCTCATCAATACAACACCCGGGGGCATCTACTTCTTTCATATGCTTGACACTTATGCTGCTGGGCTTTCTCTTCTTTGTTCCGCTCTATTCGAGGCCATTGCCGTCTCTTGGTTCTATGGTAAAAAAAAAACTCCTAAGATTATTTTGAATAAATGCGACTAACATTTATGCTGATAGGTCTGGAGAGATTCTGTCAAGATGTACAAGACATGATTGGCTCAAAGCCAGGGATCTATTGGAGGATCTGCTGGAAGTTTATTTCGCCTTCATTCCTTATAGTAAGTTGTTCTGTTTCACCTAAAAAATAGAGTTTTGATTTACTTTTCAATCTTTTTTTTCCAGGCAGTGATCGTTTCAGGTTTAGTAAACCATGAAACATTAACATATGGCAACTACGTCTACCCGGTCTGGGCACAGGCCATTGGGATCGGAATGGCCCTTACTTCATTTTTAATGATTCCAGGTTTCGCCTGTTATGAACTCATGAAGACAAAAGGGACAAATAGAGAGGTAATTTTCTAAAAATATACTCTAAACATCTTTGTTTATATATTAAATTATTATTAATATATTTATTTATTATTTTTAGAAAATGGCATTGGGCATTTCACCAAAAGTAGAACATGAGCATATACGCACGACTGGGGAGGTGAGCAGGTTTCGCCTCCGCCACTGGCTTTATATATAAAATGTATTTATAAAAATAACATAAAAAAGTAGTAAAAAAGGAAGAGCAATCGTAAATTAAGATAGAATTTCAAATAAGAAAAACATAAATTAGAAAATTATTATTTGTTTATAACAAATGTATATATTTAAATTTTTGTATACAGTACTGAACCAAATTTGGGTGTACGTTTAAATAGAGGTTTAGATGTTTTTATGATTGATCTACTGAACTCTTGAGATGGGAAAAATTGTATTTTTCTCTTAATTGTATTTTGGCTATTTCAGTATTTCTGGTTCTAGTTTTGCTTCAGACAAGTTCAAAAATGGTGCAAACAAAAAATTCAAATAAGTGACTAGGGCTCAAATCAGCCAAATATTTGTTTGTTTATTTATTTATTTGAAATCATTGTCTAACATTTGAAACAAATTGGGGCTTTCAGATAATTCCATTAGTGACTAGTAATCCAGCGTACATGTATTAATTCATTTTCTTCATAAATTTTATTAAATTAAACTCAAGCAAACCTGATTAAAAAAAAAGTATTTTTATACTATTTATTCAATCTTTATTTCTTTATGTACAAAAATGTTAAACAATTATTATTCAACTGGAGAATATTATAAGCCCTCTTTCCTTAAACAAAAATGTTTGTTAAATATAATAAATTTAACATTTTTAGTAGATTGTAGAAGTTTATAGGCAAAAATTGGTTAGTTAATAAAATTATAGAAAGATATGAATATATAAAAATTTGTATTGTGATTTTTATTGTAGGCAAGCATGTGTCACAATGTAAATATTTATAGAAAAAAAAAATGATAGCGTTTATAAAATTATTAACAAAATAATAACTCCAAAAAAACACATAAAACCGAAAAAAATAAATAAATAAACAAGGGAGCATATGTACTTACTGTTGGAAAAATAGCAAGTATATTCTAAAGTACTAAATGAATGTAGCATTAAATTTGTTAGCCATTTATTATACTATAGATAAGAGAAAATGTCTGAAGAACAAAGTCCCAATACTTAAATGTTTCTTATTGTACAAACAAAAATAATGTAATTATTTTTTTAACGTTAAAATAATTTGTTTAAATTGTAAATGGATTGAAATTGGTGTACATTTATTAGAAATTTATTTAGTTTTGTTTAGTGAGGACCAAAATAGAGAGAATAGTATTTTATAGTAATTCTATTTATACTGGTATAAATATAAAAATATAGATAAGTAAACTGTTTTAAACAATTTGTAAAAACAGCCATTTTTCAAATTGTTTACTTTAAAAAAAGTCTTACAAAGACAGTACAGTTTTAAAAATGACAGGAAACAGCCATTTCTTGCCTTTTTTAAAAATTAATAATTAAAACAAAAATTATTGCATAATTTTGTATTTATTTAAAACTTTCCCATCAATAATTGAAGATAAACATGCTGAAAATTAATTCTTGTATTAAAAGAAGAAGAGAAGAATATTGGCAGATTATTACATTGTGAGGACTGCTTCAAACTAAACAACGTAGTCTCAGATTTTGTTCAGTTAAAAACAAGTACAAAACCAGTATAAAGAATCACCCAACCATGGAATGTCTCAATTAACAACTATTCTAAACGTTCTTAAAACAAGCCAAGCACCAAGAATGATACATATCTGAACATCATGGAAAGGTAGTTTGTCCATACTACTTTTGGTAGCTTGTCTGTAAATTCAGTGGTTGCTTTGAAGATGGGAATAGCTGAAACACACCTGACAGACCAAATAATCAACAGGCAAGTCAAAATGGTAAAATCAGGGTCGATCAAGTGACAAGCTAAGACATGTGCATTTTACGATCGTGGAAGGGTTAAATAATACCCATCCACAAGCTAGGCAATTCTGCTCTTTCCAGCCCAACATTCCACAATCCAGTCTCCTAGAAATTTTGGTGAATATTTGTGATGTTCTCAAGCGTTGATTACAAAGTTTCCTGATTATTCATGTTTTGGAGGATTTAGAAATTATTCTATTTGCCAAGTGAAGAAACTCTCATAACATTATAAGATATACAGGAAGTTTTCAATAATTAATAAATGGCATGCATCAGTTTTATCATAAAAGACATAAAATGCAATGATTAATTTTTATGAAAATATCTTTTTTTAAGAATTAAGCTTATTAAAGGGACTAGCGAAGAGGTTAAGGCAACCAACTCGTATTGAGCTAGCGGTCCTAGATTCGTATCCCGGCAGAGCCCATGGTTTTTTTTAATTGAAAATAGTATTTAAACAAGTATAATCCTTTTTTAAAAAAAGATAGTTCCTACTCACAGTAAGTTGTTTTCCAACTTTCCAGATTTCGAGCCCTTAGCTCATCATCAGGTTGAAGGATTTCTACAACCATGTCTCTTGACATGAATTGCAAAAGTGAACCCGCTGAAACCTCCACCAACGCAATGTTCCAATGAGGAGCTGGTTTTTTAATGGTCTCAATTTGAACATTGTATGTAAGGACATGTTTAATGGAGATGATGGAGCATAAAATCAAGAGAAAGACTTGAGACGAACAGATTTGATAAATAGAAAGTAAAGTATGATAAAAGAAATTCCATAACAAAGTAAGTGTTCATTTGAATTAAATTTATCAAGCGAGAGCACAGGCATGTGTGTGAACATAATTTATCAGCGTGAATGGAAGGGCATATCCAAATCACCCCATAGAATATCGAGTTCTCTGGGCCAGTGTGGATCCTAACCACTGTCATGTTTTTATCTTGTTTCTGTTTGTTATTTGTGTTATTTTATCCACAATTGACCAGGTAAGGAGAGGCTAGCAATATGAGAAAGAAAAGAGAGAGTTGGTTACCGTTATATCATATATCATACTTAGCTAGAGAAAAGAAATTAGTAGGTTTAAAATGTGAGAAAGATAAGAAACGAAAATCTAAGAAAGAGAGGGTTGGTGATGACATGTAGTTTTTTGGTCCTAAAAAATAATCATTTTTGTACAAATTCTGTACTACTGTCACCGCACATAACTTGTAGAGTAAGTTATTTACATATTTTTAGAAACTGAAGTTGTGCATTTATTCTCCAGTTTACTTTACAGAAAAATATATCCATAATTCAGTATAAAAACGAGTTCGAAGGAAATCAGGGAAAAAAGGTTGGGGTATATAAAAAAATAAAATAAAAAAACGTCAATTTATAATAAAATATTCACTTTCAATTGAGGGTATATACATAGCGTATTTTGGGTTTGGTTTATCACAATAGTTTTCATATTACATATTATAATTTACATAAAGTTGTTTCTTTAGAGACAGAAATAAAATTTAACCAGAATGGTAATTTTGTTTTCATTCTACATTTAATTAAGTCAAAATACTACAATGTAAATTATTTCTCTTAAAGTATTGTATAAAACTTAAACTAGCTGACTTGCTTGATTTTAATTTACCTTCCTTCCAGAATCACAAAAAAACTTTTTAATGCAAATTATTTTAGGCACATGCAAAGCTTTTACTGATTAATAAAAAATGAAAAATATGAGCCAACCCAAATACCATTTTTTGAAATAATTTTTTTACACAAAACCTCCACTATTGTCCCCCCCCCAAAAAAAAAAATTTAAAAAAAGAATTATTTTTTAAATTAATATACTAAATAACAACAATGATAACAATCTCTCCCACAGCAATCAAAAAGGAGATGTACTGGTATATTTATTTAATTTATATAGGTTAAGCCTTTTCTTTTTGTCAATTTTGTCTTTGCATTATCTGCTATTCTATATCATTCACTTTAGCAACGTACACGGCATAATAAAGCATATAAAGATGTTAAGATCAAATAAGGTTTGAATTTAGACATTTCCATTTATACAGAATTTAAGTCAATTTTTAAAAATATTTACCTCGCTTCCCTCTATGTATTTTTTCAAATAAGTAATTTTATTATTACATACGATTTAGATATAAGTCAAAACACATTTACAGGAAACGAATAAATTTGCTGCAAACCTGCTAAATTCACTGCATCCAGTGAATCAATTTACTGTTTGAATAATCTGTTACTGGGAAATTATTACTTTTATTTTCACTTATTGAGAAAAAGACTGGAAACATTTTTTAAAGCTTCCCAATAAAACATGAGTATAGTTAAACATGATAAAAGTTACCTCTAATTTGAAAGTATTGTATTAATTAAATCAGATAATAATTTAGATGGTGAACTATATGCTTTTCGACAAGAACAAGATTTCTTCAACAGCTTATTCTAAGGTAGAAGTCTATTATTTTATGTTTAATGCCTTTCCTGGATTGTTTATTTATTATCGTTAATATTTAATAACAGTGGGAACATCACATCTTGAGGCTTCTTTCAGTAGGCATCACTATTTAATAACATTATTTTTCAGCTCACAAAACCTGTAAATAAATAATTATATAATTAACTTAAAACAATCTGAAAATAAAAAAATTAACTAAATTAATTAGCCAAATTAAAAAAAAAAAAAAAACAAGTCTGGCGAGTACGAATGTACATTAAAAAAACTTACACAAAGCCGGTTCACCTTCCATCGATTAATCTTACTGGCGCATTTTCTGCCAGGCCGTCATCCCTCAACACTTCCGCTTCATCGCCTTCTTTGTCTGCCTCTACTTTATAGAGAATCTCATGGCACAATGGACACCTGTCCTGCACATACAACCATTTCCTTAAGCAGACGCCGTGGAAAAAGTGTTTGCATTTTGTAATTTTGGCAGTCCTCATCTCCTGATAGCATATGGCGCATACATCGTCCAAACTTGCCAGTTGGGATTCATTGGCTTCCGGCAATGAATCGATTTTATTTACAGCAGTCCTTCTCTTCATAAATACAGACCAACCCGCCTTAGCTTCACACCTAAAAAATCATTCAAAAATAATACTGATTATATATATTAACCTTCACTTCAATAATTAATTTTGTAACTTTAACCATATGCCATTTCTATAACACAATTACATTATTTTATTATGAATACTGACGAATATAAAACTAGTGCAACCCCTTTCCACGCCCCGAAAAAAGATAGGATTTCTATACATTTTAAATCCTTCTATAATGGAACTGCTCAATACCTGTTTCTGGGTCAATGTTACAACAAAAAGCTCAGGAAGTTGGACAAAACGTAAAACTAGGGAACTTCAAAGCTTTGACTTGGGACTCCCAGGAATGTGGAATGTTATTAGGTGGATCGACAGGTGTCATGGCTGACGGTCGTGAGAAGAGCTTTGACCGCTCAGAAAATACTTTTTTTCCCCTCCACCCTTGTTTTGGGGACCAATGTAAAAGGGGAGGAATGGAAAATCAGCTGAGACCTGGAAGAGTGGAGACCCGGGGAGCTGACTGGTCTGGTGATAAGGAGAGTCCTGAATAAGTCTAATTGAAAACCAGGAGAGTTGAGTCGGGATATGAAGGAGGCAATCGAAGCAGATAGATGAGATGAGATAGGTAGACATGAGTTGAATAGACAAGAGTCTCGAGACCAATAGAATCCAGAAACCAGAGACCAGGAAAGGCATCAAAAGGGTGAAAGACTGTTCTGGGCACATATCATCTGGCTGACTTATATTTAACTAATTAGATCAATTTAATGATTGAGACGGTCTGGTCAAGCGTTGCAATAAATGCGTATGAATTTTATTTCTCTGAATTTTGTAACTAAATGTTCTCCCGTCACTTAGCGAAAGGGATAAAGAGTTTGCTTACATGTGATTCTGATACACTTGCTTCTGATAATAATAATCATTAAAACCTATTTTAGATAACCTACAGATAATAATAACCTAATTATAGATATTGTAGTAAATATTTGAATTACATGGAATTTTTAAACAAAAATTTAAAAAACTAAAAACTATGAACTTATGTTTATAAAAGGTCCATTTCCTCAAGGATGAAATATTTTCCAAGCTATTAATATAATTGGATCCACATGGCTGCACATTTAGTTTGGTCCTAGACTTTTATTAAAATTAATAGCAAAAATTGAATAATCTTACCATATGTTGAAATAAGCATGGATGCCCATCATGCCAGCACGAATAGCACCTCCCGATTCAAACATTAAAATCCAAGCACCGTTGAAAAATAAAAACACGCCAAAAAAGAATTCAAGCTGAGGATAAAACAATAAAATTAGTAAACTCGGGTGTGATTTGAATACCAATTTTAAGCGAAATAGAAAAAAAAGAACAGTAGTTACCGTGTTTCCAAAAGCACGTATGTAGTACACGTAATCATCGAGCTTCTCCCAGAAAGTGGCCCTGTGGGCGTCGATAAGGAACAACATATAAATTAGGAGGGACACGATTACCTTAAAAACTACTTCGATGCTAAATGCAGAAACGGCTAGTAGCCACGAGCTCACTGGTTGGTGGTACCACAAGTACGACACTAAACCCACTGGGTACAACATTAAAAACAGGCAAACCATAAGAGCTCGCACATGCCTATAAACAACGATAATAAAATGAAAATAAGGATTACACTTAAAGAAAAACAAAAGTCATTACTTATGTAATGCAGGGTTATGCGATGCACTTAAAGACATAAGTAACGGGTTGACAATATTGTGTATAAAGTGAAGTATTGCTGTAAACAAAAGGCAGAAGTTTCTACATAATCTAATAAACCTCTTCTCCGGTTCAAGACTAGTCAGGCCAGTCTGTAGGGCTAATATGTAAAATAGTATCGCAGACACTGTACCAATACTCTTGTCGTCTTCATCATCGGTTAAGAGTATCTACAAAGAAAACATTTTGTAAGTTATAACTTTTGCTTTTGGATAGTTATAACACAACAATGGACAACTTTTACTGACCCATTGAACAAATCTTCCTATGTAATGGGAAAGGTATGAAACAACTGAAGTCATTCCTAGAACTGATGTAAGTGTTTCGCATCCCGTGGTAAGAAGCGACTTGGCCATGCTGATAAAATCCAATATCGTAAAGCCAGCTGGAATTTGCAAAGCAATGGCCTGTTCGATAAGTCTAAGAATCCAAAATGTCCGTAAAACGCATGGAACGTTCAATCGCATCCATTCTACTTCCATTAAAGCAGAAAGGCCAAAGTCGCTAAAAATAAATAAATTAATTTAAAAAAAAAGGAAAGAAATAAGGTAATTAAAAAGTACTCATAACATTAATATTCCAATGCAAGAGAAATTTTTAAGCTTTTTCATACACACATTCAATACATGATGATAAAATGTAATGTTAGTGTTTCAAAAATAATAATAATGCAAATGATTAACTTTGTTCTATCAATATAAATAAGAAAATATAAGACAAAAAGTTAATAATTACCTAATAAATGCTCGAGCATGAACGTAGCCTCGGCTCACAGTTTCGATGACACTAAAAATGCTAGTCCACAAAATAAAGTTGACCATCGCCAAAGGCAAAACTGCTGCAAAGACTGGGACTAGTGTCAGGATGAATGAGGGAAGAGGAAGTGTGGCAAGAAATGTAGGTGCTAAAAAAGTAACAACCCAAAGCTTTTGCAGTAATGGATATCTGGGTCCTAAATGTACAAAACAAAAAATAGAAGCTAGGCTGCACTGTGCTGCGAAATTTTCTAAAAGCATAGTCCCAGGGCTCTCTTCGGACATTAGGTGGTTGAGGTTCAACTCGAGAATATCCTCTATTACGCTCGGCCTCGTGCTATCTGCGGCGACTATCACCGACTTCATCATCCTCAGGTTGCACCAGTACGATATGAAAATGACGCTTCCTGATATTAAGTACATGTACACTATAAGGAGGTGTTTTGTCCATAATACGAAAGTACAAAGGGCAGCCACACAACCTGAAAATACAAAATCAAATTCAAATTAAATACTGAACATTAGAAATTTAAATTAAGAGAAATCGATGTAAGTCCCTATGCTCAGTAAAAAATGATTATCATATAGCATGGAAGCTAAAGTAAAATGACTTTGTAAAAGGCCTCAGTTTACACAATTCGAGCAAAACAACAGAGAAAAAAATTATTTTAGTTTGAAACACAATTAGTTAATATAGCGAATATTCCAAAATTATTTAAAATATTCATGCTGAGCAAGTTAACTTTTGAACACCTTATAGAAGTATATTATATATTATCCTGCCAAGTGTATTAATATACTAATGAAAATCTGGCTATTAATAAACATACTCATTGAACATTCTCAGCATCTAATATTGCGAGACTTACTGTTTAATTACTCATGTACAAAATGTTTAAAATAACATGCCAGCGAGAAAAAAATCTGAAGTAAAAAAATAAATAGATTCTAGCTATTTGAAATAAAGCACATGGTTAACAAAAATTAATAATGACAAATTATCTGCGGGCATATTTCGCTATTTTTAAAGACTGGTACTATGATAACAATATAATTATACCATTGCAACAAATATGAGCAATAAATGTAGTAAAATAGCAATAAAAGTGTAAAATAGTAGAAAGTAGTGTGAACATTGTAGAATTCTGATTATTACTTAATTTCATCAGCTTCTATTAAATATATAAATACTCAATTAATTATACACAATTTTTTTCGAAATGAAAAATTTGTGTCACAGGCAGGATTTGAACCCACGACTTTCAGCTCAATACACCGCTGCTCTACCACTTGAGCTACCGTGACTTCGATCGCCCATGCCACAAACTTCTCATTTCGACTACCCGATTTTATTCTAATTATAAGCAAATCGTGGCTTCATACAGAAACACTTTTTATTAACGATTATACTAGATTAGCGGGACTGTGTACGATTCACAGGTTTGATTCTAGATTAATACTTAATTTCATCAGCTTCTATTAAATATATTTTTTTATGAGATTTTTTTCGAAATGAAAAATTGTGTATAATTAATTGAGAATTCTGATTATATTAGTCAGTTTACTTGAAAATCCGAACCAGGATTAAAAGAACTTTAATTGTTGAACTAATGAACACCGCTGTACGTGATTGTCTAACGTGCAAGTCAATCAATTGACCACCTTTTTACAAGCCTAAAGGGCACATTCTCATGATTCAATTTTTGTTGATTGACTAAAGTAGAACAAAATTCATCGGTTCAACAAAGTTTCAATCAATCCAGTGAACTTTTGTGTTGTTTATGTTGAGACTTCCGATCAAGTTATGAGTCATTTCTTTCAAGTTAAAAATTACTTGAAACATGTGAACATCTCAGTTGACTGTTTCCTGTTCAATTTTTATATTGTGTATGTTGTATTATTTTGTTTTTTATTCTTAAAATACAGTAGAGTCCTACTAGTGAGAACAAACTGAGGCCGAGATGATCAGGCAGGTCTGTTGATATATTCACGAGTGTATTGAAAAATACAATGGTAGTTTTGATAAAGCAGGACAAGGAGAGAGTGCAGTTATAGTTTCATATCATTTTGGATTGCCTAGCCTCACAGTTTTGATTTCTGCTTCAGTTCCTAACGATAATTTTGATTAAAACCCACCACCAAAAAGTGTCAAGTTTAATTGCATCTGAAAAACAAAACGTTTGTAAAGGACCAAACTACAATTCACCACCATGCAGAGCTCACAATTTTTGCGCAAAGTCAAAATAACATCATTAATTCACAAAAATTATATTTTCCAAATAAAAAAAAATTCCTCTCTGCCAATTAAAACATATTTGGTTTAGCAGACATTTGAAGTAGATATATTCCACTATAAATCAAAAACAAACATGAGCCTCAGTGCTTTTGAAGTGAGATGATGAAATTATTAGAATTTTATCATAAGCATTATGGCCTTTGGAATCACTGACTTATATAATATTATAGAATATTAAATTCACTATTTTCGTGGTCCGCTTGACCAATTAATACTTTACAATTAATTAAGGTTTTTTTTTTAAGTTGAGATGGGAGGGAAAACTCATAAGGTGGGGTTGAGATGGGGAGTTGATGAAATGCTTTTTGTTTCACTGTCACAGAATTATTATTGGAATTGCCAGATTTATTATTGTAAAATTAAGACATTTGCCTATTGCCTCACATTACCAAGCAATTCTCTGGTGGCATGTTTAGCATAAAAGTTGCTGACATTTATGATTCATGAACCTCACAGCCTAATGATGACATAACTTGATTAGTGTAAAAATAAAGATGCGAAAGAAAAAAAGATAAAAAGAAATATAAATTGTCTTGACTTTGGTAATATTGATCACTATAAAATGCATAAAAAATATAAAAACAATAAACCCTAAACAATGCTTAAAGCAAAGAAATATGCTGAAGATTACTAGATTATTAATGTTTTTATAACAAAACTACAATGAGAAATTATCTGTAGTGTATGTTTTTGTTGAAGATTGAGAATAGAATGATTAAATAAACCTAACTATTGGGAAGTCTCTTTGTTTTTTAGCTTAGTATAAAGACTTTTATTTTTCAATCAAAATCAACATTAAGGGGCTGTTTAATTGTCTGAACTACTGGACATGTTTGCATATGAATGCAATGAGAACAGTTAATCAATGGACTGAAGCCTCCTTATGTATATAACCAGGATAAAATGTGTTTGGAGGAATAATTGTGTAAATTGTATAATTCTGACTACATATATACAGTGTGATTCAATTTTTGAAGTACCATAGAGAAATCAGTGTTGGTGCATTGAAATATGAATCAACTATTCTGGCAGCATGCAAGATTCACTTTTCAGTGCACTACCACCAATCCACCATTATACCCTGATTGACTAAACAAATAGTAAACTACGCTAATAAAATATTATTTTATTATAGCTCTTTCCTCTTTATTTTTGGAAGTATTTTCCATCAGAAAAAATAATAATATAATACAAATTAAGTTGAAATAGATGAAAGAAAAAACTGTCTTTTTAAAAAACTTCTAGAGTCAAATGAAAGTAACACATTTTCATATAATAAATGTTCAGATAATCCTCCCATTGCTAATTTGCATTGTCCTAATCGGTCACAAAAGGTTCTGTGAACATTATGTAGTTGACTGTGTTAAATGTTATCGCAACAGTCAGTAATCGCTGTTTGTAGCTCTTCAATACTTGAAAATGGCTCATTCACGTCAATTGAAAATTTTATGCCTTGTCAGAGATTTTATGTGTTTTGATTTCATCTATTTCAACTTGATTTTACATTGTCATTATTTTTGCTGAAAGAAGGTCTTCCTCATACGATTAAGAATAAGCCATGCTTGGTTGAAACAGAGACTTTTGGGCCAAAGCCCATGCATATGTGCCCGGCATGTAGAGAGAGGTTGCTCGTCGTATCCCACTTAACTGATGGGTGCAATTCCTTAGCTCCATACAGAGTGCATGGGAATGCCACCCAATATGAGAATCATGCTTGAACTCAGCAGCATGTATCAGGGTCGATTTTTAAAGGAAACAGAGTTTTTCTATTGAATATAACAAGGATATTTTTATCTCCCTAGAGTATGTTGAGAGTGAACATATTTATTAGCATGTATATAAGAGGGCTGATGGCAGAATATAAAGTACACCATTGACCCTCAATTAGGTTAGTTATATAACGGGTAAAGAGTGATGCTGGAGTATCGACTACTCCACTATTCTAACTGGGTGAATGGTATTTAAGAGTGACTGAGAGTATGAATGGGTTTGGTTTTAGTAACTGATTGCATTGGGTGCTGAAATAACCTAGATGTTAATAGCACCTGGAGTCCAACTTCAGTGGCTGTGTGGATAAGACAGAGGTCTTCCAGTAGGGATAGGCTCTGTATGCGTATGTGCAAATGTACAAGCATAAGCAGACTTGAGCTTATATAAATCAGTCATCAGTATTCTTAATTTTTTTACATCAATATAAGGTTTTTCATGTTATAATCAGATTTGGTCTGTTTAATTGAACAATGTTGTGTAAATGTTAACACAATGTGACATATAAGTCAATCAATTGATCGAAGCCTTCAAAAGTGTAACCAGCACAAAAGAATCTGTGAAGTAGTCGATTGTGCGAAATGTTATCGCCATTTGTAGCTCTTTAATACTTGAAAATGGCTCATGCCCATAAATTGAAGATTTGTCTCGCCAGAGATTTTGAGAGCGATTGGGTAAAATTTAGAATTCTAACTATTAAACTAAGCACTGTTTTACATCTGTAAGCACAACGTACATCAATTGGACAGAGACTTTGTACAAGCATAGCTGTAGTCTCATCCTCGACAAATGTTGAAAAACATTTCTCATTTGTAAGCCCTCAATTGTTCTTTTATGTAATGCACGGATGATTATAAAGATTACTCTCATGGTTGGGAATTGCACATGACCCTGAAACTATAGCCTTTACCATATGTTAATAAGTGTGGGTGCTGACTTGCAGACCCTGATATAAGAGCTCGTAATCGCCTGAAGGTGATTTTGTTAAATGCTATGTGACATGTCAATTTTAAATTAAACTATTGATTTCAGCTTTATCCGAATGTATTGATAAGAATGATAGACTTGGACCTAGATGACAGCTGATCTGTCATGATGTTTCAATTAATTTTTGTTGATAAGATTTTTTTTGTGGCTAAGGTGAGAAAGTTATGATAATCGACTAAAGTCTTATATTGACATGTGGACTACATGGAAAAGTAAATCGTTATTTTGGATAGTTGTGTGCAATTTAAAAGTCGTTATTGCTGGTTGTGGAAAAGGCCAAAACACCTCCAGGGTCTCGAGTGGCAAGATTTTTCTTGTCTTCTCGCGCAACATTACTGGAAAACGCTTCCAGTCGTTAAATTGTGCAAATTCACCACCGCCTGCGTTTAAGGAGAAAAAAAATTTAAGGTCCGAAAGAGGACGTGAAATTTTGAAATTCCCTCTTGCGTAAAACGGGTATGAAAATGGGCAAAACTTACCGAAGCATGATATAATGAATTTGAAAGCGTAGGTCAACAGGAGTTTGTAAAATTGTGCATCGTAATGGAAAATCCTGCTGGCCGCTTCGTACTGGTCGTATTCCTGGTTGAGATAGCTTTCGTTCTTTCCCAAAGCGTTATCGATGAACTGTCCCTGGGGGAGACCCAGTCTCATGCGGAAAAGTTCATCGATGATAAACAAAGGCGGCACCCGAAGTAGAACATCCACTAGGCTCAGGAATTTGATTTGTATAGACATTTATGAATTTGACACTCTTTAGCTCCTGGGATCGTCGTTATCGCTGGGCAAAACGCTGTATCTTCCTCTATGGTCTGACATAAATATAAGATTTGACGGCACGGTTTAACGGCAATTTTGAAGACTTGCTAAAGCCGAGTACGAACTGCGAGGTTTCTCTCCGCCGTCGGCCAGGATCCGATCGCCCCGCACGTATCACGGATGACGTATGCGGCCAAAACAATCCAAAACACTAAAAACCCGTTGATCAGATGAGTAGGACGAGCTCGGTCAAAAACTCAATTCTCAGAAGAGCCAACCTTCTGCCAAGAATTTCCCCACGCGCTCACTTCAGCCCGACTCACCCCGCCTAAATTCAAATTACAACAATCCACCAATTAAAAAAAAAAAGAGCAATATGAGGAAAAATATTTTTCACTTAAAACTCTCTTTTATTTTTTACTTGATCGCTATTTAACACTTAGTACAAGGCAAAAGTTTAAATTCCCTGTTGTTTATACATAAAACAAAAAAGCAAACGGATATTCACTTGGTATGGTATCTAATTGCAATATAATTTTTTTTTATATAGCGCTTCTCATTAGCTTAAGGCTTTTTACCAGATCCCAAACATTCAAGGGATATGTATAAATAGGCGGCCACAAGGTCTATTGCACCTCGACCTGAATAGATCTATTGTGTGCCTATTTATAACTCACTGGCCAGCTTCAGGTTGTTAATCAGGGTGGCATCCTACACGCTTTCTATATAGAGCGAAGGAATTGCAACCTTTAACTAGGTGGGACTCATTGTGCAACCTTTCTCTACATGCCGACACTTACGCAGGCTTGGGGCCAAAATTAAGTGTCCAAGAGTCAACATCGTATGCCCAATCTTTAATCGGTAAGCAGGACCCTTCTTTTAGGGGTCAGATCCTCCGAGGCCCACCTATCGATAGTACGGATAGAGATAGGGATAAAAGAGGCGGCCACAAGGCCTACTGCAATTCGACCTGAATAGACCTACTGTGCTCCCCTGTTATTTATAACTCACTGGCCAGCTTCAGGTTATTAACCAGCTTCCATTAACCAGCTTTGTCAGCGGCTCCTTAGTGTAGATCTTGCTTTCGGTTTTCCTTGTCCTACTTGCAAGAATCTGCACCTACATAAACCTTCACAGAAACATAGAATGTGTTCTTCGGTCTCCTCCTCTTCCTGGCAGTATCTGCAGTGTTTCTTCTGCCTGTACTCCTATCCGGTGCATGTGCTTTCTTAAGTGGCAAGGGAGGAGGGAGTCCTACAAGAATCTTGGTTCGGTTGCGGTTGCCTTCCAAATTTGTAAATTTTGCAGATGGTCAATCTATGAATCTCTTTGTGTGCCTCTTGCCTGTGGTATTGTTGCACCAGGTTTTGGACTTATTAAGGATCCATTTTAAGATGTATCCTCTTTAAGGGGGAATACTAAGCCACAGTAAGGTTCAGGACCTAAAGAGTCCATGTTGGCCCCCTTTTTGGCAACATGTCAAACCTTTTCATGGCCTCTTTGCCCCAAGTGCCACTCAAAGTGTTTGTTTTCAGTCATTAATATCTCACTGGCACTCTACACCCGACACACAGTAATGACAAATCTACACAGAAAACAAACACTTTGAGAGAGTACAAGTACTTTGATTAAACCTAAAATTTCTATCAAAGTATAAATTCATTTTTTCACATCTTACATGTATTTGTATAATTTAAACAATGTTTACAAATCCCGGGCCCTGAAGATGATCTCAATAAAGATCAAAACGTTGGCATGATAAAGAAAATGTTATTCTAAACTTATGTCACACCAGACCGCTTCTCACGATCTCCAAATAATCATGTAAAATTAAACAAGAAGATAAATGCATAAATAATATAATAGATTTTGATTTACCTCCTATTTTAAAAATGTACCTAAATAATATTTGACATACAAATTAATCACTAATTAAAAATTAGTTTTCTTACAGTATTTATTAGGATAATATTTAGTTGTTTTGTAATTCACGTTTTTCCCACGTTCAAAAATGGGCGCCAATAAAAATCATCTTCATTGTAATATTATATTGGCGGTGGTCGGTGAATCGGCGCCATCGGCAGTCACTATTACAATTCATGTCGAGGGACACGCTTATAAATCTTTTCAATCTAATGATGAGCTTTACGCTTGAAATCAGGATAGTTCAAAACAACAAAATTGTGAGTAGAGCCATCGTTTCTAAAAATGAATTTTTATGCTCACCCCACCTTATCACATCTACAAAGGCCTTTTGAGTATCAAAAAAGCAGACACACTGGCCAGAGGAGGATATAAAAGACCATATATAATTCCGCAACCTATTTATTTATTTATAGGCAATAACTCATATTACAATAATTACAAGAAAGATAAAGAACATTTAAAACATGAAAACGTTGCAATATTAAACAATGACAGTCATAAAATAATGAAAATAGTAACAGTATAATTTCAATTAATTATTCTTTTTAAGGTCTTGGTTGAGATGAAAAAGTTAGCGCCATGAGCAGGATTCGAACCCACGACTTTTGGCTCAATACGCTGCTGCTCTAACCATTTGAGCAGCGGAGTATTGAGCTGAAAGTCGTGGATTCGAATCCCGCTCATGGCGCTAACTTTTTCATCTCAGCCAAGACCTTACTTAAAAAGAATAATTAATTGAAATGAGTTATTTGGTTAATTAGACCATTAAACATAAATGGATTTATACACTATAATGATTACTTGGAGATCGCAAGATCTGGCCTTGTGTGACGTAGGTTTAGAAAAACCTTTTCTCTATTGTGCCAACTTCTCAATTTTTATTCAGATCATCTTGAGAAAATGAATGTATACAATGTTGTACACAATATAGAAATTTTAGGTTTAATCAAATTGAACTCACTCAAAGTGTGTATTTTTGTGTAGATGTGGCACGGTTGTGTGTCATGTTGAGAGTGTTAGTGAGATATAAGTGTTTTTTGTTTATATACGTTTGATTTTGAAGGGCGAGGAAGGAAGTAGGAATATAAATTCACTTTTCTTTGAGGTGAAAGGGGCTGACAATGGGAAAAAGGATAATGGTTTGTCATTCGGGCTTAATTATCTTTCCACAATTATTATAGATGGGATTATTAGGGAAAGAAAGGGTATTGTTGGGGATTTAGACTATGGGGAAATTGTTTGTTGTGTGGAGTTTAACGATTGTTTTATATATTGTATTATATATTTTGCGCGCTATAGATATCAAATTTGATTTATGGTTTTAGTGTAGATGCAGCTGAGTTTACATGTGTTTGTTCTGTGATTGATGCTGTTTATCTTTGTTGATGTAAACATTTCTAAAAAGTCACGTTTATGTATGTTTTGTTCTGCATTTAATTTTTTGTCTATGTGGGTAGCATATTGACCAGATTCATCGTCCTGTATATTAGAGACAAGACGTATAATTGGTATAGGAAAATTGATGGCAGAATAATATAAATAATAGAATATTATAATTTATAGAATAAGATAAATAATAATTTATATTATAGAATATATTAATATTAATAATAATATAAGTAATGTAAAATAATAGAATATTTTTTGGATAAGCAAACACAGTCTTACATGGATACAAAAAAGAGAAAAGGAGAGGTGGATAAACTCTAGAGGTGCTAAACACAATAAGCTTATACTAAAACAACCCTCACTAACTGAACTCTAAACTCACTGCTACAGTTATAGAGGGCTGAACTCAGAGGAGTGATAGGACTATACTCCTACCACTGCCATCTGAGAAAACTACATAATGTTGGGCATATTCGATGATGAACCCACTTTAGGTTATCCGATGAGGAGGAAAATACAGCCACCCATATCATCATTACATGCGAAGCAACTGCTCAATACAACTTGGAAAGCAAGAAACCCAGGAAATGAATTGTATCAACAGTCAATAACTTAGTACTTCTTATGAGAAAAATCGAGTTGATAGACTGTTCTAAGGAACTCATAATCATCATAGGTTGGGGTATGCGAACTGAAAAGGTTGAAAACCACTCATATAAACTAATCAACTTTGCAATTCTGTAACAATTGAATAATAGCACCAATATTAATTATAGACAGTTAAAGAGTTTATATAGATTTTTCTTAAGAAATATTTAATTCATGTTTAAATATATTTAGTTGTGCTAGGGTGAAATTTCTATAGAGTCTGATTCATTGGACAAAAAGGGAATAAAATGAAGTCTGTCTCAATATTGGCACATCCCTTGGTACAACTTTGGATGTTAGTTGAACGAAATAACCGCTAGAAAAATTCCCCGCCCATAAATACCGAGGTGGACCCAAGTATTTAAAATTAAATTTAATAGTTCCAGACCAGAAAATTTCAATTACTAACGAAAGATGAGTGTATATTTGTTAGATTTAAATAATAGTCTTTTTTTCTCTTAATACGAACGATGTGGACTAATATTAAGAATAAATAATTCATTACGATCGACGTACAATTTATAATTTTGATTGAAGGAACAAAAGGAGTACATGAAGTAAAAGAAATAAAATTAAAATTAAAGTTACTTAGCCTTAACCTTTAGACATTCACACAGATATTACTGAATTTATTATTAACTTATCAAAAATTTAATATTAATGTAAGTATGGATTTATATTTTGTTTTTTAATTTATATAATGTGAATTACCTGGAGATCAGTCTAAATGTACATCACTGCAAATTTAAGAAGTAAAAAGCTAGATTTTTCTTAAGAAATATTTAATTCATGTTTAAATATATTTAGTTGTGCTAGGGTGAAATTTCTATAGAGTCTGATTCATTGGATAAAAAGGGAATAAAATAAAGTCTGGTCTCATTGAAACATCCCTTGTACAATTTTGTGTGTTAGTTGGACGAAATAACCGCTAGATAGCTTACGCGTCCATAAATTCCGAGGTGGACCCAAAATATTAAAATCATTTAATAGTTCCAGACCAAAAAATTTCAGTAATAATTCAATATTCCATAATAACTAACGAAAGAAAAATATGGACTTGTTAGGTGTAAACAATATTATTCATTTTTTCTCTTAATGCAAACGATATGGACTAATATTAAGAACAACTAATTGATTACAGTCGACCTACAATTTATAATTGAAGAATTGGAAGGAGTAAATAAAGTAAAAAAAAAAAAAAAAGTTACTTAGCCTTAATCTTCAGACAATCACACAGGTAACGATATCACTTAATTCATTCAAGTTGAATCACACAGGATCACCTACTGGGTCTGCCTCAAC